CCCCCCCATCTGAGTCTTGAATCGAGACCGTGGGGCTCCATTATCCCAGAGAGAAGCCACCCGTGAATCGAAGCATGATGTCGGTAGAGTCGTGGACATGCCGTAGATCGCGCTTTCTCGGGAAGATAATCATTGTTCGGATCTCAATCGTGTACGAGTACGATTCGACAGGCTGCACCGTACGAAGGCAGGAAATACTTGAAAAGGCCGGGGCCTTCCCGAGCGGCGACTGTCTTGGCCCTGGTCCGTCTTCGGAAGCTCGATCTGATGGCAACGACCTACCCTACCATAGGCCCTGTTTCCGAAACCTCTCCCGACCCAGAAGTCTGTCTCATCCGGGCCGCAAATGGTTGCAAGGGGTAGCGTGTCGTGGTGAAAGGCCAAGACGACTGAAATAGCGACCACAGGTACATAGTCGTAAGATGGGAAATCAACGATCGCCACCAAGCTTTCCATGTCCATCCAGAGGAAATGGCTTACTGGCTCATGCATTAGATTAATAACAATTTGAACAACTATACAGCACACAATGCGCTCGCTCATTCCGTTTCGAGTATCTCGAGCCTCCCAAAGCGCGCTTACGCCGCCGCCCCTGTCGAAAGGTCCTTTCTGTCGGTATAGACCTCAAGGCCTGTGGAAACGTGGCTTGTCAGACACAAGGCCATCTCTTGAGCGAAATTTGTCTTCTCCTGCTGTTTTCTACCTTAGACACACCCTGTCTGCCATTGTTTTCCTTGTCCTCGGAGCTGGTGGGTTGTCGGCATGGCAGGCCCTCAAAGCTGAAAAAGCTTATCACAAGGAGGACATGCAGCCAAGTTACGCAGATAGGTCTCAGATGGAAAAGGTGGGTTTCAAGGACGAGCATCGCTGATCCCTACTGCTTCTAACAGCCACCGCTAGGCCATCACCGAGCTGAGGTCCATGGCGGGAGAGGAGAGCGTTAGCACCGACGACGAAATCCTACAGACACACGGATTCTCCGAATGGTCGAATCACAATATCGACAAGTTGCCTATAGCAGTTGTATACCCTAGAAGCACAGAAGAGTGCTCTGACATGGTTAAGGTGTGTTACAAATACAAGATCCCCATTAGTAAGTGAGAAGAACCCATTAGGGTCTGGTTCAGGCGACGCACAGCTGCTAAGTGACAGTGCAACAGTACCGTATTCTGGTGGTTCCAGCGTTGAAGGCAACTTCGCGGCTCCTTTTGGTGGTATGTGTTTTGACTTTTTGAACATGGGACGAATTCTGGAAATACATGCCGAAGAGTAAGTTTGTTCGCTACATGCTGCTGGTGGCGATGAACATAAACCTGATTTCTTGTCAGTATGAATGTTATTGTACAACCGTCCGTCTCGTGGATGGACCTCAATTCGAAACTCAAAGACAGCGGCTTGTTCTTTCCGATCGATCCAGGTCCCACGGCAATGATCGGCGGCATGGTCGGCACCAATTGTAGCGGCACAAATGCCGTAAGATATGGCACGATGAGAGACTGGGTGGTCAATCTGACGGTTGTACTTGCTGATGGCTCTATCGTGAAGACCAGGCGACGACCTAGGTATCTATTTTCCAATATTTCTGTCAGTTTAAACAGATATTCTAACCAATTTTCATCCAGAAAGTCGTCGGCAGGCTATAACCTAAATGGCTTAATCGTAGGCTCAGAAGGTACGCTGGGGGTTGTCACTGAGATCACCCTGAAATTAGCAGCCATTCCAGAGAAGACGGCCGTCGCCGTAGTCACATTTCCCTCTATGCGGGCTGCGGCTCAAACGGCAATCGACGTTATCCACAAGGCCGTCCCGATAGGTGCCGTCGAGATCCTCGACGAGGTTCAAATGAGCGTCATCAACCGCGTGGGTGGTACTCATCGAGCCTGGAAGGAGTTGCCCACGCTTTTCTTCAAGTTCGCAGGCTCCCAGGGTTCGGTCACGGACGGGGTGGCTCAAGTCGGCGAGATTGTCAAGAAGCATGGTGGAAGCAACTTCGAGTTCGCCCATGGTGAAATTGAGCAGCAGAGGCTATGGTCGGCGAGAAAGGAAGCCCTCTGGAGCATGTTGAGTCTTCGCGGGTCAGGGCGAGAGGTCTGGTCGACAGATGTTGCAGTGCCACTTTCCAGTGTGGCAGATCTAATCGGTGAGCTTTTTTCCCCGTCTTTGTTGAGGCTGCAATCAGAGCCCCAGATGCTGATGTTGAGATACAGAAGTCTCGAAGAAGGACATGGACTCTTTAGGACTGTTTGGGAGTATGCTGGGACATGTAGGTGATGGTAACTTTCACGAGACAATCTTATTTGATGGAGTGAAAGAGAGGGAACTGGTGGAAAAATGTGTGAACGATATGGTGCAACTGGCGTTGAAGATGGAAGGGACTTGCACGGTAAGTTGGGGCAACATGATTTGTGGCAGACAGTAATGCTGCTCCGGGCTGACATTTTCTCACGCCAGGGTGAACACGGAATAGGTCTTGGAAAGAAGCAGTTTCTTCAAGAAGAACTTGGGCCGGGACCAATTGCTGTCATGAGGTCCATTAAGAAGAGCCTAGATCCATTCTGGCTGATGAACCCGGGCAAGATCTTCGATGCGTAGCAAAACGTTTGTTGGGTCAAGGTAAATTTGAAGACCGGTTTGACCTCGATAAAATTTGGTGCAGCGCCATCAAAATCATATCCAGTGTTGTGGTTCTCATCTGGGAACTACCTGAGAGTTCCTGTGGTCATGCCACTGCCAAAGGAATTCTGCAAATTTTCAAACAACGGTAGAAATCCTTCCATATCGCCAAAGTTGTCGAGATCCATTTCGTTCAGAGATGCAAAGGCTTGTTGGGTTGGGCTCCACGACTGCCAATCGCCTGGAGCAAGTCTTAGTGGCTCATCCGTTGGAAAGAGATCTGCTTGCATTGAAGAGGAGGTGGTTGATTGAGGTAGAATTTCTGTTTCGGGATGACCGGTGGATAAGGTGGTGTCTAGATGGCTGTCACGGGACAAATCTCGACAGTGAAAGACAGGAATACGTACATTTCTGACTTTTCAAGGGATCAACACAGCGTTGCCTGATCGCTTGCAAGGCCATGGCACATTGTCCTGCCATTGGGTGCTTGCGATTGATGATTTCTAGAGTCTCGATCGCCATGTGCCACCAAAAATTGAACTTACCATTCCCAATGGCAGTATTAATGCGGTTGTCATTGGCCCCGAAGGTCAAAATGATCGTGCTAGTTGCAATATCTAGGATCGACCAATTAACTTTTTCATGTTCGAGACGAGTAAAACAGAATGGGTGGAGTTGTATCCTCACAGTAAATAGCATACCACCAAGCGCCCCACATCCCTTTGATGATTGCAGTATGAAGTAGCTGAATCATATCACAGGAAGCCTGATAAGAGGCAAGAGCACAATGGAACTCAAACACAAAGCCAATAGCCTCCATCTTGTTCTCCGGGACTTCACATTGCTTGTCGGAGCCTCTGCCGTTTTGTTGCGACTGAGCGCAGACCCTACAAAATGAAGGTCGAAACAGCATCAGTCGGGCATGTAGTATTCTAGGTCAAACAGCATTAGAAATCAAATGCGCTCCTTATTGCCTCAGCTATCACGGTAGCTCACCTTGCTCGAAGCACATAGCTTTGACGCAGGAAGTCGATCTCAACCTCTTGTTCATCAATCCCTTGGTCATCCCAATGCTTCAGTTTGAGCCGGTCAGGTAGTTCTGTTTCGAATTCCGTCAACGAAGCGTCAAGAACAGCTAGTGCGTCGAAAGCGGTCGTCGCCACCAGCGAGCCTTTTGAGGAAGAGGTCTTGCTCCCAGAATCATTTCCGACCTGATGGCTGTACAGTTGTTGAAGAATGTTTCCAAGGATGTGGCCGAGCTTGACATTTTCTACGGCGAAGGCAACACGCGAAAGTTTTCCAGCTGGTTGATGACAATTTTCTGACGCTATGTTCAGATACTCGTCGTCGATCGGAGAAAATAAAGGAACTTTGGGTGCTCCTAGCAGAACGGAAAATCGCCCAAACGTCATACTCGTGATTCTGGGACCTGATTCAGCTTTCTGAATGGTGCGGTTTTCAAAGCAAGCCTACCTATCATAAAAGACGCAGCCATGCCACGCCCTACGACGCATTTCGATTTCCAAAACGGTGTACTGTGAGTCGTTATGGCTTAGATGAAGCCCAAGCCCTTGAGCCATTGCGCACACGGACGACATCAGACCCCACGTCTTGTTCACTTTCTGTGTGCTTTGCAGGTACTCTATGACAAGCAATAATGCCTGAACCAAAGAGAGATTGGGACTATCCAGAAGATCGGTATGGAGCAGGCCAAATGCCCTGTCCATAAACTCTGCGGCTGTGTCTTCGGGCTGATCAGTGGCTGTATTCGAGCCTTCACAGCCAAGGGCAAAGGCGGCGTTCAATGCCACGTTGAACACATGATTGGGGCAATCCGAACCACCGAGGCCAACTCGAGGCAAGGTATCTGTTGACAATCTCGCCCCGGTTGGGTCCCATAAGGCTTCATAGGCCTTTTGAAAGCTCTGCGTGTGGAACCAAGGGTAATACAAGTGGTTGTTGGACCAATACTGACCCAGAAGGTCATCAGCGACACAACGTGGTGGTAAATGGAACCACAGCCGGTTTCTCGAGAATGCGGATCCTGTTGGTCGAGAGATGGAATTTCTGTTAGCGAAATTGGCGAGAGGCTGTCGAAGGCGGTCATGGCCAGACCTTTCTCTGGCAGGCTCCGAAGGTATCGAACTCAGGAGCGAGGCGACGGAAGATTTGCCGTAGAAGGCAGGATCCGGACTCTGCTGGTTCGAGTCGATAGAGTACACCACGCCCATCGCACCGAAATGTTCGTGTTCGTCAACACCTGGAGATGAGGGAGACTCCTGTGGATTTGGCGGTTGCGATGTGTTGTCATTGTCATGGAGCGACGAAAGTGGTAATGTACTACCCACATTTTGAGAGGGCGGAGGGACTGATTTTTTGGTTTCTTTCAGTGCCACGGAGTCATTTATCTCGGTCGACGTGCTCATCGTTTTGGAGGGTGGCAACATAGATGTTGACTCAGCTCTCCGACCATTAGCTGAGTGTTTGATGCCAGCGCTTGAACATGGATTTGTCACATGTACAATATTGGACAATAAATGACCATTGCCTTCCAGAGCAGCCAGGCCGACCTCGGAGAGTGTATTCACTTGATTACGAGTGGTACTCTCTGCAGTGCTTGCATTGTCCGTCGGCGATTTTTGAGTCTCTTCCAGCCGATGAATGCGATCATGGAGAATCTTGATATACCTACCACAAACTGTCGGTCAGCTTGCGGTTGTGATATTGACGAAATTGAGACTTGACCCACTCTCTCTGGCTATCAGCTCTTGCTGGATTCATGTTTGAGCTATACACACATTGTGACTCGGTAAGGCCTCGCGTCTGGCATCTTGCACAGACGGGCTTTGTGCCTGAACAGCGCACCTTATGTTCCCTGCAGACATCGCATGCTAATGGTGTCCTTGTGTGTCTCTTGCCCTTGTTGTCGCCGCGGGAATTTCGATTGACCTACAACAGTACGACGTCAGGGTTACAAGGGCACACCGTTCCTGCAAAAGAATATACCTACTTCACGTACAGCGGGCGACATCATGAGAATGGTTCGAAACTTCAGCGCCAATGTACTGGCTGATCGGTCACACAACTGATCAGGCGGTCACACAACTGATCAGGCGGTCACACAACTGATCAGGCTGACGTTGAGAACGCAATGACTGAGTAGCTGTAATAAGACTGTTAGATGATGTTACCTTGGACTCTTTCAGGCGAAGGCCTTGGAAAGCGTTTCATCACCACCTATAGCAGCTGTTGTCCCAAAAGCTCGTCTTTCGGTCCTCCACACAGGCCGGGATAGGTCACCTGGATCGCTGAGCAGCATCGGCTGACAGATTGACGAGATGGAAAAAGGGAAAACGTACCGAGGTCGAGGAGGCTAGGACCAAGGGGGAACGAGCAGGGCAGCAAAGAGTTGTGATGGAGGACCCGTGAAAACCTGGGAGCCCCGCGGGCAATTGCAACCCCATTGCCCAGATCCTACCCCGCCCGGTCCGGTCTCCCATGTCCAGGGCCGCTTCGCCACCAATATCCACTAATGATGCAATTCGCCTCTCGGGTAGGTGCCGAGCTGCCAATCGGATAATTGCTATAGGGGCTCCCACCTAATCGGGATCTTTGGAGCCAAGGCGCTCGAAGTCGCGATGTTTTCACGCACGTATGTAGTTGTGGTTTGAATCTTGCCCCAGATAATGCCCCACAGGTTGTTAAGGTTTTCACAGCCATGCCGCGAGGTCAGGGGGAAGGTAGCAGGCGCCAGCTCCCGGGCTAGGCAACGAGAAGCATTAACCTGGCAAGCTGCAGCAGCATTTAGCATGGATAAGATGATTGACATCGGCACTGCACAAACTCTTTGTGCCTCAAGCCATTGGTCTGGAGGCCAGTTTGAGAGACCCGGTAAATTTCACGCTCATTCAAATACATCAACCTCTGCACTTGATTGCCGTTGACGTACAGTACTGTCCTAGTAATATAATAGCCATCCTTTTGCTGGTGAGTTTCGAACAGACGACATGGTCAACGCCTTCGACTCGACAATATGGCCGCCAACGCCTATCTTGCCAGAGGTCAAAGCTCTATTGGCCCGTTTCTTTGACTTGATCGACGCCCAAGATCCAGAAGGCTCAGGAAAGGGGTTGGCGGAGGAGGTCTTCACAGAAGATGGGACACTCATAACCGGCAACGGAACCTTCACAGGAAAATCGGGTACGTACACATGCCACAGGTCGTTTCATTGCTAGTGGTACGCGTGGCTTACTGCGTTGATGCAGAAATTGCTCGAAGCCGATCCGATGCGTGGAAGACAACGGTCTCTCGCAAACACAACTTCGACAAAGTCTTTGCGGCTGGCAGCACAGCAGACGACCTGGTCTTTTTCGGTACAGTGGAGTCAGAAACTAATGCCGGCCAACACTTCAAGGGCGATTTCGCGGCCAGAGGACTTATTAAGCATGACACTTTAGGTAAACCGAGGATCAGCTATTGGCAACCTTACAAGGGACATATTTACCATGCTTGAGCAATAGAATGAACAATCATAACACATTGATGAAAATTAATCCCTCTTTCTATCCAAATGGTCGACCAGGCTTGGGCACGGTAGTAGTATTGTTATGGTGGAAATCATTGTACCTTCTGTGCAGTCTATCTATGTAATGGTTTTCTCATTTGTTCCACTCAATAGAAAGCAAGCTTGTTGGCTATCTTTCCGATCTTCTCGATCTCAATTGCCACCGTCTGGCCATTTTCAAGCCATATGGGCTCCTTCATACCAGCCGCAACACCCCTAAAATAGTCAGCTTTGTCGTGTCGTTTGCCATTCTCACGAGCGGCGTCTAAATTATACCTAGGAGTTCCGGTCATAATGACAGTGCCCTTCCTCAGAGTCTTGCCGACGCTAAGGAAACGAATGATTTCCTTGATACCAAACAGGAGGTCGTTGGTTGAGCCGTCTTGTCGTAGATCGCCATCGACCCAGGTACGGAGCCTCAGGTTTTCAGCATCGCCAATAGTCTGTGGAGACACGATGACAGGACCGATGGGAGCAAATTTGTCAAAGGACTTCGCGATGATGTGCTGGCCGCCATTGAGCTTAGAGTCAAACTGCCAATATCGTGCCGATAGATCGTTTGCCCCTGTATAGCCTAGGACATACTCGAGTGGATCCTCCGAGTCCTTGATATCTTTAGCGTCCTTGCCTACGACTACTGCCAGCTCACACTCGTAGTCGAGATATTTGGCTTCGACATGCACAGGTATGTCCTCATACGGTCCCGCAAGTGAATCTTTTGGGCGGTAGTCAGCAGAAGAATAGAGACTGAGGCACTTGTCAAGAGAAGACAGACCTGCGTGTTTGAAGAAGACAATAGGAGCGTTGGAGAGGAGCAACTGGATTCTTGAGTTTCTTCCAACTCCTTACAAAACTAGCTGATAGACTCACCTTCGCCTCTTCTGCATGCTTTTTGTAGTTCAATCCAATTCCTATAATTATAGGCACACTGGCCAAAGGACAAAGGACCTTGGGAGTATAAGTGAGATGCTTGCTGAAGTTGTTGATAATACCACTTCGAGTCGTACCTCTGATATAACAGCTTTTTTACCGGACGGTCCCAGATTGAAAGGACTCGAGCCAGCGAATGTCTCGACTTCGAGGCCCTTCAGGTCCTGTTGCCAGGTATCACCGGCCTCGCCGTAGTATATCTGGTCGTCACTCGCCCTGAAGCGGACGAGCCGCGAGAATGTGGAAGTCATGCCGCCCAAACAAAGGAATACAGTAGAAAGATCACCGCAATGTCGTCGCCACAGCAATAGAACTTTCGATACTATTGCATATACCAAACGAGTTTTGCGGGTATAGTCGTATTAACAACGAGAGGGGTATCGTGATACTTACATCAGTTTGGTCCGGTACGACCGTGTCCGAGGCTCGTACAAACTGCCATATTCTCATCGACTATCCGAAGTACGACTTTGGACGCTTCCAACATTGGGCCGAAGTACTGTATGTCTAGTCTTTCCGGGTCGCACTACCGAACTGAAATGGATTGTGGATCCGACAGGACTAAATCTCTTTCTTGAGTCCCGATCATGCTCCGAGTTCTGAGATCGTCATCTTACACTAATTTGCTCTAACTGTCATTTCATCGGACCTGAAGCGTGCCTTGCTTTCTAGAACACTATGCAAAATATGACTAGATAGGCTCCCGCATTTCTAAAGACTGGTTAGCAAGGGTGGAAGAAGTTCAAGCGCAGATTTTGGATACTGGTCCGATCACGGCTCACATTCCCGGTCGTCGATACGGCTTCATTATATACAATCGCATTCATTCAATTATGATTCTTCCACAATAGCATCTGAGTCTGCCCGTTCTGTAAATCGTTGCATTCATCGCCCAGAAGACCGGCCAAAAGCACCCTCGCCCTGTTCTGCCATCATTTCTACCAGAAGCAAATATTTCCCCCCACTCAAGAATGGGTTCAACTGTGGTACAGAAATCGTACGTGCCTCTGGATTCAGAGAAGTCTATACCTTGACTGATCTTCACAGGGTCTCTTATACAACGTCGTTCGCGTTTTTCGAAGCTATTTGGGAGGTGTGAACACACGATGTTTTTCACCTTCGTGTACAAAGTTATTGATTAATCACGACAGGCCGGGATTACTCATTGTTTCGTCAATCTAGGGTCCGATCACCCATCCGTCATTGAAGCGATAGTCAAGGGCCAGAACGAAAAAAATGGTCACTTTCCAAGAATTATCACATGTCCGAATGAAGTATGCGTTCATGTTAGATCAGACAACCTTGAGAGAAACTCCCTGACAGTCATGTAGATGGTAGCCCTATCAATGGCAGACGGAATGGCACGGCTCACGAACAAACCACAGTGTGTCATTGTTCACGTTGATGTTGGAACTCAAGGGCTAGGGGCAGCAGTTCACAATGCGTCGTGTGGGCGAGCACCAGTCCTCATATTTGCAGGTCTATCTCCTTTCACATTCGAAGGCGAATATCGAGGCTCTCGTACCGAATACATACACTGGATTCAGGACGTTCCTGATCAAAAGCAAATTGTTGCCCAATACTGTCGATATGTTGGTGAGATAAAAGGTGGACGCAATGTAAAGCAGATTGTTAACCGAGCCCTGCAATTTGCTACCAGCGATCCGAAGGGACCTGTTTATTTATACGGCACCCGCGAAGCAATGGAAGAGGATGTAAGGTCTTTTTCGGAGATGACACTGAATAAGAACCGACCCCGTAAGCTAACGGTATATAGATCCAACCTTACCAACTCAATCAAGAACTATGGCAAGCAGTTGAACCTACGGCATTGCCCCGAGACGCGGTGGAATTAATTTCAAATGAATTTGTCAACGCTAAAGAACCTCTACTCATTGTAGGGTATACTGGTCGGAATGTCGAAGCGGTAAAGGCGACAATTGCTCTAGCCGACAGAATCCCCTTACGTGTCTTGGACACTGGAGGATCCGACATGTGTTTTCCTTCAAATCATCCTGCAGCCCTTGGTCTAAGATACGGATCGGACCCAGCGATTACCACGGCGGATTATATCCTTGTGGTCGACTGTGACGTTCCCTGGATCCCAACACAATGCAATCCTCGGCGTGGCACCAAGGTCGTTCACATCGACATTGATCCATTGAAACAGCAGATGCCAGTTCATTATCTGCCTGCTACTCGACGGTATAAAGCTGATTCCACGATTTCTCTGACACAAATCAACGATTATTTAGATTCTAGCCCTCAACTTCTAGCGACCTTATCCGACGATGTTCACCGAGCTTTATTTGACACAAGAAAAGCCTCCCATACCGAACGATCGGCCAAATTCAGAGACTTGGCCAAGCTACCTACAGACCTACACCGAGCTATCGATCCCTCTATACTCGGGGGCCAAATAAAGAATGCTGTCCCAGAGGATACTATCTTTGCTGTTGAAGCAGTTACTCTCAGCATGCCTATCTCCGATCAAATCGCTGCAACTCTACCCAAGTCTTGGATTAACTGTGGCGGCGGTGGACTAGGCTGGTCCGGTGGAGGTGCGTTAGGCATCAAACTCGCATCGGATTTCGAACATCGCGACATACAGGCCGGAGACCTAGCTGGGACTAATAAAGGAAAGTTTGTGTGCTGTATTGTCGGAGACGGTACTTTTCTATTCTCCGTCCCTAGTTCCGTGTACTGGATCGCCCAGCGATATAACATTCCGACTTTGACCGTCGTCCTGAACAACAAGGGATGGAACGCACCCCGACGATCGATGCTACTGGTTCATCCGGATGGAGTAAGTCTCTCTTTCTAAGTATTTCTCTTTACCATGTAGGATAATTTACTGACTTTGAGGAACAGGAGGGAAGCAAAGTAGACAATAAAACCCTAAACATATCTCTCGATCCTACTCCTGACTTCCCGGGGATCGCGAATGCAGCCACAGGCGGACATGCGTGGACGGGTACTGTGAGTACCGTGGCCGAGTTGGTACATCAGTTACCACGAGCTGTCGATGCCGTCAAAGGAGGTATTTGTGCGGTACTCGAAGTGAAGCTCGGAGAATCGTAATACAAAAGGCGAATCCATAGATTTTCGGGCCCATCTGGCGCTATTCAATGTTTCTACAGTTCACTATGCCCCCTAATTCTTCTGATCCAACCAGTCCGAAAAGCCGACCGCACGAAGTCTCCAATATCGACTCCGATCAGGAAGAGCTCGCACCACAACTTCCGAAATAATGGAGTCTGAAAAGGAAAGTCTGGGTCCTCATTGTTTCGTAGATTCTAAAGAGCGAGTGCTCTTCAAATGCATAATAGCTAAAGTTGATTATCTGATATGGACCGCGTGATGACCAGAATTCGAACTTAGCAAAGCATTGCTTGACTGTGGGAAGACGTGGCCAAAGGTAGTAATCATGAAGCCAGAGGCCTAAAGAGGAATGGCAGTGCTCAAAGGTGTTTACAAGGGCACTGTATCCGGTATTGATGGCAGAGCTGCATGGAGAAGTCTCCGCAGCTGGCTTGTCTTCGATGCCTTGCACCGAGGACCAATTAATATGGAAGCTCCAGGCTCGATACCACCGGTAGTGATGTACTAAGCCGTCTCAACGACCCTGAAAATAAAATTGAATATTACACCACATTGAGGCTCTTAAGTACCAGTATCCCTTTGACCTTCCGCCGGCTGGGCTTGCTACTATGCCACTGCCATTTTGAATGTTCAATCGCTATGGGAAGAAAGACGGAATTGCACAGTAGCACACAAGTTTGCTAGCAAGGACAGGCTTGATCAATCAACCAAAGTTCCTCGAAGCGGTGTGAACGATCAACACTTTTTTTGTCCCTTTACTTCCGCAGAGCTGGGATTCTCTCAATCTTGGGGAATTTCCATTTGTGCTCGAAGACCTCTGGCTTGGGGCCAAACATTCGTACTATTGATGCAAGATCAGTCTTGTTCGAATGCGAATCATTCACGGGATACTTACAGCTCATGGTCCAGTTGGCACCTCCAATTGGGCCAGGGAGCCAGCTAGTACTGAGTCAGCCGCGCACAATATGTTTGTATCAAGTATCAATGAGAGGCCACTTACTTATCGAGCCATTTGTCCGGGGGGGTTATGTTAGCGGGTTGCATAAGAATCTGGAACGGCCCATCTTCACGCTCAGAAAGTAGTGTTCCATCTGGATACCTCAAGGGACTTCTGTCGCCGCGCGCATACTGATTTCGCTCATTGGGGATGAACCACTGATCTTCATCGTATATGCTCAAACTCCAGTAGCCAGAAGAGCGCACCGCCGGCTTACTGTGGAAGCTGAAAAGATATGCCTCGTCTGCCTCGAGGCGGTAGACGCCATAGTTGTTGCCTCCAGGGGCATAGAAGGGCAGGATACCAATGTCTGGCGTTTGCTGGAGGTATATGAACTTGGTCAAAAAATAACGACCGGTGTAGTGTGAGCCGTAGTTTCCGGTGATCCAAGGAGCGGTCATGCTCCAGTCGTTCCCCATGTCTTCATTGACATTCGAAGATTTGGCCCAAGCCTGAGCTTCTTCATCTGCTATCTTGGCCACATTGTCAAGATCTGTGCCTGATGGCTGGACGAACTTTCCGTCCTTTATACCAGCCTCAGCCAACTTTTCTGTCACCCATTTTCTATCCGCAACTGCTGGCAGGTTGTATGGCGCAAGAGTAGCCGTAAGTTCCAGGGTTGCCTTCACTAAGCTATTTGTGGAAGAGACGCTGTACTTAGGCTCTGCCCACATCTGGAGGTTGAGCGGCGGAGCAATCGGTGGGCCAGAGCGCTCAACAGGCTCTGGAATGATCGCATCTTGCCAAGAATGGACAGTCTTGACATCTGTGGTCGTATTTCGGAGCAGAAGTCGCGTCGGGAGAAATCCATACGGTGTTGAGCAATTGACATATCCTGCGTAGCCCTCCTTGGCGCCCTCAGTCTGAACGCCATGATTTTCGTCGGTGCATCGAAGGAGATATTTCCCTGGTGGATACTCCGGTGTCAGGCTTCCAATATTCGCAAAATTGTTGCCATACCTGCAAGAGTCTATCAGTAGGCTGAAGAGTGCTTGCTCAAATGGTCGAGACAATACTTACATGTCATGGAAAGGAAAATTCCAAAATCGTGTGCCCATGTCAGGCAGTGTTACAGCCAGATCGGTGCTTGAGAGGTCGAAAAATATGTAGGTATAAAGAGTGTCTTGATTTGGGCGAGGAACCTCTTTGAATTCCGGGCCCAGGAGCTTCCGCTTATGGTAGGTGGCATTTGGTTTGGCATCAGGAAATCCCGTGATGACTCTGCCATAGTAATACAATGGTAGCCCGTACTGTTCGACCTTATGTTAGAGCACATCGATGAGAAAGATGGTTTCAGACAGCCTACCTGGAACGCGAAAGAAAGTGCATCTTCAGCCATGTTGTCTCGAGATGGGAGGAATGTTTCGGATAATGAATAGCGTGTCTTTCGCGCTTAAGCATCCTGCGATCTCAACGTTCGTACCTTCAAGAAGCTTAAATATGCTATGATCAAAGAGACAGAAACCTCCAGTCTGCGAAGTTGCGGAAGAAGAGCTCGGCAGGCAAATCCCGAAGGCGGACCCGTTAGGGTCGTGCACCGACAAACCATGACTAAGTGCTCTGTGAGACCGAGTAAACTGCAGCATAGAGAGCTGTGCGACCGACGATACCTTCCGAAAATGCTCAAGGATGGACAATTTCACTCTCTAAAGCATGACCGGATACGTTTCGACCGAGAACGAGAAATGAGAAGCCTTCGGAACTCTCCCAGAGACATAATAAAAAGCCGTCCCAGTAGACACGGGAACGGAACGTGACGCAATCGTCTCGCGTCCGGATGCTTACCGAGTCATGGGATCTCCGGCCACGCAAACCTCGAAATGCCTTAGATCGACTCCGGCCAAAGGAAAGTGGCTCGCCCAATTGGGATTATTTGTCAGGGTTGTTAATTAGGCCCGTCGAAGTGGGTCCCCAGCCCAGCGGGGGTGGCTCCAACCCCAGTACAGAGTCAGATTTGTGATCATATATACTATTGCGTGTGCAAAACAGAGACCATAACGAGGAGCCTGTCTAGATAGGGTGGCTTGAATGCCTCATGTGCTCTCGCCCCCAGTCCATCTATATCTTAGCCGTAGCTCCTCAGCTCTGGCACACAATTCTTGAAGAGTGAAAATGGTCTTACTTTGCTGAAACTGTACCATTAAACTCGTGTGTAATACAACAAGATGGTTTTCGATACCCTCTTCAAGCGCACCCTCGGCATAGCCATGTTTGCTGCCATTGGGACGTTCCTGGTCGTATGGCTCCCTTCAGACCCTACCTACCTCTGATTTGAAATGAAACTGACCACCCTACAACAAGGGTTTCGATACCGGTATAGCGACTACCAGTCAGTACTTCCCCTCAGCTGAAGACTCGAGGGTTGAGATATCTAACGGATTCTCCTAGCTATTGCGCACAAAAGCTGGGTTGCCTACTTTGGTCATCCTTCTGCTGGAATGATTGGCGCGGTAGGGAAGTACAAGCTTAGGCTTTATGCACTAGCTAATCTGGATTGGTTGCTCAGGTGGTTTCCCTGTACATTGCCGGAAATGTCATTGGATCAATTCTGGCGTCCGTCCTGGGCGATAGACTGGGACGAATTCGATTCATGGAGGTGATGTGTGTCTTCGCCACTGTGGGGACCATCATACAGACAGCAGCGGTCAGCCTTGGTATGTTTCTGCTCGGTCGCGTCCTTGCCGGCATTGCAGTTGGGTAGGTGCTATTAGCAGACCAGATGTTCATCCTCTCGATTTGGTTCACTGACGGTGTGAAGTGGTTTCACATCTACGGTTCCAATCTACCTGAGCGAAATTTCGTCTCCAGCAAATCGCGGTCTTATTGGCGGTATCGCTGGCTGCGGTATAACCTTCGGAAACTTCTTGTCAAACTGGGTCGGCTTTGCCTGCAGCTATGCACCCTATGGCCCCGTCCAATGGCGGGTACCTCTCAGTATACAGATCCCTTGGGGTGTTGTCCTCATTTGGGGTCTTTTTACATTTATGCCACAATCTCCGCGTGAACTGGTAAATAAGGGGCAGGTCGAAGCTGGACGCGAGGCATTTACGAAGCTTCGCACCGACCTTGCCAGCCAAGACGCCATCTATCAAGAGTTTGACTTGATGTGCCGCCAGATCGATTTCGAGCTCCATCGACGGATGCCTTGGCATGAAAGCTTTAAGACTTTCAGACACCGTATTCTTATTAGTATTTGTACGGTGTCTATCACTAGTCTTTGCGGATTTAATGTGATTGCGGTAAGTCTATCATATCTCGGGAGAGTATACATCTAGGGAGAAGTTGAGGCTGATGACTCTGTACTCTAGTACTATCAATCTATTCTCTACGCTTCTCTTGGGATCCAGAGCCATATGATCCTTGCGCTGGCCGGGATTTATGGTACTATCGCCTTCCTTGTCAATGTGCTTACCACTATCTTTTTGACCGACCAGTGGGGACGGAGGAGGTACGTATACACCTAGTTGAAACCTATCATGTGCGAAAGCAGCAGGAAAGGCATATCAAAGCTAACATCTAATTTCACAGGATGATATTGTGCGGTGTTGGGGGCATTATACTAGTTGAAATCTACTTAGCTGTCATGCAGCGTGAGTTTGGTAATTCCCACAATAGCGTCGGCAAAGGCTTTGCTGTGGCCGGTATATATATGTTTTGTGTACTCTACGGTACGTTAAACTCCGTTCACACACCGTGTTGGGTTTATACAGGAATTCATTATCTAACTGGCGCAGGCGGTATGCTGAACAGTACCACGTGGCTCTATGCTGCCGAAGTCTTACCCACTTCCCTGCGGGCAAGAATTGTAGGCATGGGCTGTATGACACATTTCATCCTCAATATCGCGCTCACCGAAGCGGGTCCGACTGCTTTCGCCAATATCCACGAAAATTACTACTACGTCTTCGTCGGATGCAGTACTGTGTTCCTGATGCTCGGTTACTTCTATTTGCCGTATGATTGCTTCCTGCTACTCTCTGGAGTCATGATCCCGCAGCTGACAGTGAACTTTATAGCGAAACGAAGCAAAAGACCCTGGAAGATATTGCAGCCGCTTTTGGCGATAATGTCGTGGAAGCCAATACAGTCGACGCTACCGTCGAAAACGTACGAGGAGAAAAGGAAGTCGTGGCATTCTTTGATTAATTTCAGGAACCCTAGAGAGTAATTTACAGAGTGAATAGAGACCGTTGCAAAATATTGGCGACGCTGGCAGAGGATGATGGCGGACACCGAAAGGAGCTGACCAGAACCTTAGCATGCTCAGAGAAAGTTGATGCCAGTCCAAATATTCATCGGGTGATTGGATACGCAACATCTATGAATGGTAGAAGATTCAAATTGATTAAAGCCTTTACAGATATCACGTAGCCATTCTTCGTCCATATGGGTGCTGTTGGCGCCAATATGTAGCTAGCGCGTAATGGCGCTACTAATACATACCACACTAGTAAATGTAGATACTAAACTCTATAGCACTTAGTAGCCGGAACACCTCCTATCTTGAACTATAAAAACGCTACCATATCAGTACTTCTGAGAATACTTCAAAATAACAATAAAGGGGCTTCTAGATATAAAATACCTAGAGAACATTTATATAAACTAGAAACGAGTCTATAGAGTTAAAGAAGATGCAGATTTGTTGGAGGATTTGGACTATACAACTGTACGGGCCAATCGATACAGGCAAGTCAGCGTAGTTGAGATTTCTATCTTCTTCTATTCTATGGTCACCGTTCTAGTTTATATAGATAATTACTAGGCAAGATGACCTCTTGGAACCTATTTTCCATGATTCCAAAGCATTCCAGAGGCTGTAGCACTGACTCATTGATCGTCATCACGAGGTTGTCTGCCTGTTCCGTCGATAATCACTTTGGCGCCAACAAGATTTTATACAAGTTTACGGATCGGCAAAAAGTACCTTAGCTCAAAATCGCCAACATCTAATCTCTATCCTGCAACTTACCCGCTAATAGACTCACTGCGGGCACGGAGCTCGTTGATTTTTCCGTAGTTCTCTCAACGCGTTTGGTAGTGCTTTTGAAACTATGACGCCTTATGCCCAACGACCAACTGTGGAAAAGCAGAGTCGATACTCTTTCTACTAGCCGTCCGCAGAAGCCTTCGCGTCTATGGCAAGCGACTTTCGGGCAAAGACCCTTAATGCCACAGGTTTTAATTTTATTCTTTACTTAATAACGAATCTACGACGGGGAGCTAGGGGCACTCGTTTTCTTCCTGTTGACGTCGTACATGCTGGCGCTTACAATGAGCATGATGTTTCGTTGTATTGCGTCAGTATCAAGGACGTTGATTCGGGGCCCAGGCATTAGTGCCGACTTAGTTAGTATCTTGATGATTACCATCGTGTTATATACGGGTAAATCTTACACCTCTCGATCTGTAATCCGCGCAAAACAACATGCTACTGATAGGGCTCAACGTCGAGCAACGAAAACGATTAACCATTGGTGTCGAACTTACTACTAAGCTTTAGCTTCTTCCGTTTGTCGATGAACCTACGTCATGCTTCAACTCACAAACGTTGTGGTCTATCTTAAACCTGCTCGACAAACTCACTAGAGCTGGTCAAGCAATTTTCTGTACTATCCACCAACTATCGGCGATCCTATTCCAGCGTTTTGACCTCCTCTTATTCCTAACAGAAGGGGGAAAGCCCGTCTACTTCGGACCAGTTGGGTAAATTCCTATACCTTGATAGACTACTTTCAAAGAAATGGAGCACATACTTGTCTACCGCAAAATAAACCCCGCCGAATATATGTTTGAAGCAATTGGAGTCGCGCTAGGCTCGCATAGCGATGTTGACTGGTTCCGGACCTGGAGGGCATCCTCTGAATATCAAGAAGTGCATAGAGAGTTGGAACAGATGAAAGTCGAAAGGTTACAACTAGCTTTACCTACCATCGCCAAGACCGACTATCGCAGCACCTTTCCCAGTGCAATTTTGGGAAACACAGAAACGCGTCTTTTAGGCAATACGAGCAAATATGTAAGTACATTATTTCAAAAATTCTCCTCTGTGGACTCGTTGTGAGCAATATCACTTGGCGACCCTTTCTTCGAGCTAACAAAAATAGGGTTTGTTCAGTGGATTCTCACCTTTCAATACTCCAAATACTCTGCAAGGGCTGAGCAATCGGCTATTCGCCATCTTCATGCTCCTAGTTCTGTTTTCGCAATTAGTACAGCAGGTCATGCTTCTCTTCGCTTCCCAAAGCTGATTATACCAGGCCCGAGAGCGGCCGTCAAAATCTTAGTCTTAGAAAGCACTCATACTTTCCAGTATTTTCGTTGAATTGCCTTGGGCTACGATAGCCTCGGCTGTGCTTTTCTTCTGCTGGTATTATCCCATCGGGTATTACCGGAATGCGGAATACATGGATTCTATCTCATCACGCAGTGGACTTCAGTTCTTCCTTGTCTGGGAATTTATCATGTTTAGCTCAACTTTTGCGCACATGGTCACTGCCGGTATCGCAATAGCCGAGACGGCAGGCAACGTTACGAACTTTTTCTTCTCTTTATGCTTCCTCTTCTGTGGCGTGATGACCCGACCAAAAGCCATGCCTGGATTTTGGATTTTCATGTTCCAAGTCAATCCTTTCACCTATATTGTTGGGGCTTTTCTTGGGAATGGTGTTGGTAATGGACCAGTGGTCTACGTCGAGAACGAATATTTGTCTTCTGACGCACCACCTGGCTCGACATGTGGAGAGTACCTTTCACAGTATCTCGATACTGCCAGTGGCTATCTGATTGATTCAAATGCTGTGGCTAGTCAGTTGTGTCCGATTGACAACACAGATACATTGCTTATGACCGTCAGCATCTCATTCTCGGATCTATGGGACAATTTTGGCCTTACCTTGGTCTATATCGGCTCCAACATTGTGGCAGCTGTTTTCTTCTATTGGTTGGCGAGAGTGCTTAAAGGGAAGAGATTTATCCGGAATGGGGAGGAACGCCAGAGTGGTGACGCTGTTGATATAAAATGGGAAGAAGATTGCCATAAAGATGCTAGAAATGGCTTGAACATGGAAGGCTGAAAGACTCCCGTTGTTGCAGAATAGGCAGAAAGTGCTGGCAAATTCTTGGTTGCACATTCCACGAGTGGCCAGGCGACTGATTTTGCAAGGGAATGGATAGGGTGGTTGCCCTCTTCAAACTACGGTTGTGGGAACATATTTTCAATTTAGAAGCAGAGTGCTTTGTCCAAATCTATCACGGAACTCGCTAATAGTGCATTCCGCGCTCGCATACTATAAGCCCTTACATTATTCGCGTAAGAAGCCATACGAGGGCAAACCCAGACTGTTCGAAGCTATTGGCCTAACTAGACAACCTTGTGAAGGCAGCAACGGCTCTCGCAGTGTCCTTGCCGTGGCCAGCCCTTCTATTTAGTATGTTCCAGGGAAGCAGGAAGGCAACATCGCAACAATGCCTACATGATTAGAGTTGCTCCACATGCACCACGTCCTGCTAGCGTGACTCAGAGGAGCAGCGGGCGGCGTATTCAGGCTACAAGAGATCGACGGCACGCTTGCAAGCTTCGAGAACTCGGTAAACTCGCAGACAGACATGCGAATGGAAATACAGATGGATCAGGGTGTTGAGCCTAGGCGAACTTGTCACGCGTTGTTTACATAATTACTACTGGTATCGATGTTGATTTGAACGAACGAAGATAGAGAGAAGAAGATCCAGAATATGGCAATTGCGTCCGATACTCTTGATAGATGCGTTATCCAACAAATGCTCGCGTCCTCGCAGTCTTCCCATACGATTACTATATTTGCACCACTGCACTGCTCTGGGGACCCTTGGTCCAAATTCATTTTATTCGAATAGCTCACGCCTTCGTCCATGACCCGGTTTTGACCATATACTAGTCTGACAAGTGGTAGACTTGGTACCACCAACGGAAGTCGTCAAAGTCGGGTCGCGGGTGCCCACTATTGTTTGCACCGCTTAAGGCTGAAACTTACTTAAGCCCTTACTTTTGCAAATAATTTGTTTTCGAGAAGGAATGGTGTATTAAAATATCTCTCTTTATGAATATGGCACTTCAAGCGCTGACAGCATCCCAAGCTTCACAGCATTCTAGAAGCCAGAGTGCGAATACAACTTTTCGCTAATCCGCTTTGGCGTTATGAACCTTTGAAAGGTTTCAATGTTTCGCACATTCAAGCTGAAGTATCGCCCTTGGCCTTTGAAGCACGTCTTCCCAAGACAATGGTACCTCCGATCAACATGACTACGCAAACGGCCACAACCGCTGCCTGCGTGGCAAAAACTGCAGCAAGGCCATCTTTTGCGATCCAACTAGGCTGGAAATATCCCACAGCAAAACCACCGCAAGTCCTCCACATGTTGATGATGGCACTGACAACGGTCGATTGATTAGGATACTTTTCGAGTGCAAAAGCGGTGATGGCCCTGTAGAGATAGTGTTAGTAGTTACCACTTTTAGATGTCCCAAAAACGTACACTGTACTACCAACCAGACCTACGTTCACCATCACCCACCCGAATGCCAACCCAACCCAGCTCTTTCCGTAATGGAGGGTTAAGCCATAGGTAAGAAGACCGCAGACCATACTAGCAATTGGGAACCAGACTCCATGTAACCGATACTCACTCCGCCAATGAGTCTTTCGTTTTCCACCAGAGCCATTGTAAATCCACTCATTGAAGAAGTAACCAAAGGCAAAACCAAGAAGAGCGCCAATGACACCAGCAAAACGAATTGAAGCGTCAGCAACATCGTCAAATAGATAAGGGGGTGCTCGAACAAAAGAGTCAACGGTTGTGGTGATGCCGATCGGCCAGGTAAAGTTTACCATGGTTGAGATCCCGACCAGGAGGATGGGTGGCGTGAGGGTGAGCTTGATAATGTTCAATGTTGAAGCTAAGAGAGTTTGGCGTTTTGGCAGATCCGTGTTTCCAATGCCGATCAATGCCTTGACACGATTTGTCGGTTGCTTGCCGGTAGATTTATAGTAGGTCTCACGCCCAAAGGCAAAGATTAGAAATGATGACAGGCCGTAGAATCCAGCAAGGACTCTGAAAGAATCGCGCCAGGAGCCAGTTCCGCTTAGAATATAACCGGCAAGCGCAGGAAAAAGAAATGGTCCGATGAGGAATGTCGTGCCCCAAATATTGATGTACCGAGGCCAATCGCGAGGAGCGTACATATCATGAATGATTGGCAAACCAATCACCTGGGGCACAGTACCGAACAAACCTTGCAAAGCACGCAATGCCGTGAAAACCGACCAAGACTGTGCGTAGATGCATCCAACAACAACGAAAAGGGTGACGAGTTGCGGATACAACCAAAGTGGCAAGCTGTGAGGCATTAGATGAAACTTTGATGACCAAGGCAAATGCAAACTAACCGGCCGTATGCATCGATCAGTGGGACTGCAAAGATACCACCGAAGCCTTGTAGCAGAATACCATAGTTGAGGGAAGTAGCGGAGTGTGATATGGAAGTTTTCCATTCGATTGCTTGCGGAACCACAAGAGTCGCGCCCCAAGTCATGCCACTGTCGCAACATCAGTTTCACGTAGGGATTTCTCAAGTCGGTGTACAAACCCATCGGCAAGTATCGAGCTCGACATCAAAGCCATAAACACCAGTCTCTTTCTCCAGGAGCTCCAATTCTGGGGATTTTGATCATCACCGCGATCTGGTCCTTCGAGAACCCTCGGCTCATTCGAGTCATTGCTGAGTGCGAGAACTGTCGCCTCAGGCTCGATGTTTTTCTCCGGTTCGACATGGTTATCGGCGGTTGAAGGACGGCTCATGGTTACGTGCAAGATTCTGATGAAAGATCTGCCAAAATGGGCCCCTGATTGCAGTATCGTGGTGAATAAAAACGTGAAATAGTGAGACCAGAGAAAGACATGAGATTTTTTTCAAAGCAAGCTTAGCCCAATTGCTGATGCTAGGGAGGTGGGATCGGCCAAAGACCTGGGCCAGAGGTTCGCTGCAGTAACTTCGCTTACACGTGTCTTTGTAGATTCCGACCAGTCGAGAAGCAATAGTTCCTCGCCTCAGTCTTCGCTTGGATGACTTTGGAGGCGGTGAACACCGTGAATGCTAGAAAGAGGGGCCAGTCGTCTCCTATCGAAGCACGTTGCAACGCGAGATCATTGAAGGCAACGATCTGCGAGGCAGGGTCAAGCCTAATTCCACAAAGCGGCCTAGAGAGGCACCTGGCAATATTACTGTAGAACAGATCAGTGGACATGAAGCACATCGGGCTTCATCAAATTGACTAAGGCCGTCTAACAGAACCTATTGCAGTGATAACAAGCACCAATGTCTGAACCAGTGGTGTGGAACTCCCGTACAGACCAGTTTAGCAGTGGAGTGACTTCGGCATACTGAAGATACCCCATGTAGATGCCATGCATGATGAAAACTACCGTGCAAGATTGAATTGTGTCCCTCTGTATTACTCGTACGGTGCTCCTGTGATGTGAGGAAAGCGTGCAGAGTGGGCCTATCCACTCGTTCGTCTATCACTCAAACCGCAGCCGACTAGCTCTTAGATTGTCGTAAGCAGCCTTTGGTATTATAACTCATAACAATGGGATGCTGTCGATCGGTGTTTAAGGACAGTAGGTAAACCCACCAGATTGGCCCTTGTCAACAGCGAGTTTCTCTACTGTCTCCATCGTTCGTCGATCCTTTGTACGACTCTCTCACATCACAGTAGCGTGGGAAGAGCAGGAGGTACTGGGAGTCATGGGTTGACCATGACCGTCATGAGATTGCAAGGGTGGTCGCGCCAAAAGGACATGCAGGGGTTTCCCCGGATCATTCCGGGCATTGTCTTCCCTAATTGGACGATCTTCTACTTCATGCTTAGGCGGGAAAAACGCTAAGGATGAGGGGCGTGAAAGCTTGATTCGCCGGGGAACTAGACAAGGCTAGCACGTGAACCTGGCTGTGTGTCAATCCGGGAGGTGCTCCGATGTCAGCCGCCTCCCCGTCAGGCCAGCTCTATAGCTAAAACAGAATCGTTGCCTCGTTGATCCACTTCGCAGCATGGCTGACAAAACTTTCCTCGTGTACCCCAGCAGCGTCGCCCTAAGAGCCCCGAGCATACACATAACTGTCCGTGAACCCTTCATGCCAATTAGCTTTGCCTGCTGGCCAGGTCCTCGCAAGAAAGCCTTTCCAGTATGGACAACCCCGGAGCTGTTCTCGCCTCCACAGTGACAGCTGTAAGAAGACTCACACATTCGGAAGACGCCAAATCTGACTGATCATCTCACCAGCCAGCGGCCTTAGGCTTTGTGCCTGTTGCTGTCCATTTCAACCTATTTGGACTGCTTAATCGCATTGGGCCAGAAGCAACAGCAACTCAACTCACCGAGGCTTCAAACGCGGAAAGGTCTCAGGAAGAGAAGACTACGTCACCACTATGTGAGAATCCGAGTCTTTCAAGGGCTAAGGTGTATGCTAATGTTGCCTCAGGTAGCCGTTTAACAGGTTCGTCTGGGCTGTATGGGACAGCCAACAGCTAACTTGCGCAGAGGATACCATGTTCGCTATGGCAGGACTGGGTCTTGTGGATTTGGTGGGTGAAGAAACATATCGAACCAACACCATCACGGAACATATGAAAACGGTTCCTTCGTCGATACATGGAATGTTACACTTGTAAGTATATCTGCTTTTGGAGTTCATGTGCTCACCTGATCAGTACATCCGAAGCATTGTGGGCAGCTGCCTTTTTGATGCGAAAACTTCGAGACACGAACTTCGACTACCCTTTTCAGGAAAACAAAACCCCAACCCAATATGCATATAAGCTTCTCGGGGAAGATGACTATGCTAACGAGCATACTTACTCGATTATGCAAGACCAAGGCCGGATGCCCAGTTTCAATCTTTTCATGGAGGGAAAATTTGGCAGTTTCGGAACCATGCCAGACCGACTGAAAAGTTTTGGATACGACCTAGATTCTGTCTTCAAAAGCACTAACAGTGACATAGCCATAGTCGACATCGGTGGAGGGCGAGGTGAAATGCTGCTCGAAGTGAAGAAAGTGTTTCCGTATCTCGAAAAGCAGAATTTGGTACTTCAAGAGTACCATCCAGAGCTTACCAACGACGAAGAACTAACAATCACCCATTGGGACTACAAAGATGATTCTCCAGAGCCGGTACAAGGAGCTCTTGTATATAGCCTTACGCATATTTATCACAACCTGTCCGATCTAGAGGCTTTAAGGCTGATGAAGAAGATCGCTGGCGCAATGTCTTATCATTCCAGGATGTTGATTCACGAATTTTCGAAAAATTCGACCTACGGAAAGATGCATGCGACCATGATTGAGCTATATGCAGGAAGGCTCAGAAGCAGTAGAGAATGGAAGCAAATGGCGGAATTAGTTGGACTTGAGGTGACTTTCGAGGCGTATCCCGTTGCTGGAGAAGGACTCGTTGAGATGCGAAGGCAATCGAACTGATCAATACGTGACTCCTTGCTCGCAAAGAACAAGCAACTAAAGCTTCATGGATTGTTAGGTATCTTGCTGAACCCAAAAGTGTCAATCATCCTTTGTTGGTTGCATGATTGAGAGCTAAGGAATCCCTGCCCAACGTAATTTTCATGTCTCCCTGGCAGCAGGGTAGCTCTTTTAGCATGACCACTAACGCTCCTTGCCGCTTGCCTTCCAAACATGATCCGCTTGAGATCAAGGATGTATTCCCCTGTACATATCTGGGTCCAGCTAGTTCGTATTATTGCTTTCCATAGTATCTGAAGCAGGGAGAATCTCTGTGACCATCCAACTTTCTCCCCGACCCAAGCTGATACTTCCCATCTTTGATCCTGGCTCTTGGCTAAGCCTCAGGAGAACATGAACATAGAGTACCCGTGCGACACAACGTCCTTCCGGCACTAATCAAATTTAATGAATAACCGCAACGGGACGTTAATTTATATTAGCCGATAGCTTGTAGTGGTTTGATGACACTGTACGGAGTACTTCGTGTGAACTCACCCCCGGCATTGGAGGTCCGTCCTCCCCCAAGGCCTCTGTGAGGTTGTTCCCACCTGTATCCGCACAAGTATCTCGATTCACCGTTAGAGATGTAGGGATTCGGGGAGAGAAGACGCACGTGTTTGACAAAATTGTTATGCGAGGTTTGGTACGGCGCTGACCTTCTTCACGTCTTGTCACAATAAATGAATCCCGCTGTACTCATGGCTAACTGCTTTACCCATTTCTTGCAGAATTTGTCCTCCAACCACTGTTCGAGGAGATGGGCGAAGGTTTCAAGCCCCGGTTTCCACTGGGCTGAAAAACAATGCTTTTGTGACCCGCAGAAACGAAGACTTATTGGTAGTTCTTTGCAGTCCCCACTGACTGTTTCTGGTAGGAATCCTACCCGGGGCAAGTACCTGAGCTACTTGCAGGTATTCCTGGCCATGCTCCAACCTGTGCTGCACCCTAAACTTATCCCTTTATCTTTTAGCGCGTAGCCACTGCCACATATTCAAGGGGCTCCTCGGATTCATGTTTGAGGTCGAAGACCTCGAGAAGTGATAAGACGGCAAGAAATTGACCGTCGCTAATTTACCGTCGCTGTTACCTCACAACACCGTCGAGTTTTTCTTGTAAGCTGATTATCGCAGGATGGATGTCCCAAGGCCCGATGGTCCAGATACAGACAGAGGTACCGGCGGTTGACCTCAATGCTTCGCAAATGACTGACTTGAAGGTATAGGTACTAGAATTCTCATCGGGTGTTGGGTACTTACAGGACTTGTATTTCTTGTCCTCGTATTTCGATACACGGTGAAGGCATGGGCCGCATGGTTTCTTCCGACGATTTCGAAGCCTGAACGCATCTGGGGTCCCGAAGACTTTTTTTTTGCACTTGGATATAGCTTTGATGTTGCTCATACTGCACTTGTTTGGAAAAGGTTGGTCTCTTGAGAACACAGCAAGATCGGATACTGATACATCTAGCCATGAATGGGGCCTAGGACGACATTTCTTCTATCTGACACCGATCGAGAGAAATCTTGCCATGAAGTGGGATTTCATCTCTCAACCACTCGCGGTCGCTGCGTCAATGTGGTCGAGGACTGGCGTGATCCTGTTCTTATACAGATGCTTCGCGTCAAACAAGAAAAGCCTGCGAATTATTGTTATTGTTTGTCTCGTTGTCCAGCTTGTTGCCAACCTGTTCACGATTCTTCAAATCTTCCTACAGTGCGGTCCTAATCCTTATCGACTCACCAATAGAGCGGCCTACTTCCACTACATGTGGGACCCATTGCCGAGCGACGGCTCGGCAATATGTCAAGCTCCTACCGTGCAGGCAACGGTAGGATATGTCCAAGGAGGTACGTTGTGTTCTCGTATGTGATGATCTAGCTAAGCTTTAGTAGCATTGAATTGTCTTGTCGACTTTGCCCTAACGTACTTGGCTGGTTTCGAGCTCTGGCAATTCATATTCCGAGACAACCACAGCGGCGTGCGTCGTTCTCTTCTCTTGAGGTTCAAGAAGCTTGATCCTCGTGTCCGTAACCAGCGGCTTTGGCAGACGGCGCTGTTGTGTGGGCCACTGCTCCTTTCCGGAGTTGCGTCGATCGTGAAGACTTATGTAAGTTAAACGTGGCTTAAAGTGAGATGCCCTGCTCATCCGTCCAGTTACTCTCAGCTCTGGGGAATAGATTAGATTTCACGTGGAACATCATACCCTTCGTTCTCTGGGTCAAGTAAGAGTCACCGCGCTTTCACATCATGCGCTAACCCGCGTCAGAATTGAAAACTACTGCATTCCAATTGCGACCACGGCGCCCATCATACGCCTTTTCATTCGAACCTTCATTGACCAAAGAGGTGGCGCTGGTGACAAAGGATATGAAATAAGCAGCACTAGCGGAGTACCATCGAAACGTGGCCCTGCGGTTGAATTGACAACACGGTCGAAGCTCGGATCGCATGTACATCGTGATGACCATCCTTTCGTTCATATGCGAGATGTTGATGAGATTAGTGATCCTCCGCGGATTGGGAGTGCGCATGGTTCAGAGAATGAGTTGGTTGGGTCCAACATCTTGGTCAAGCAGGAATACGAAGTGCGAGTTGAAGAGGATAAGGGCCAGGTTAAGCACATTAGGAAGCACTTCTAAGTGAGCTGGAAGGACTGACCAGCGTCAACATTTTGGGATGAGGAACCCGGCTGACGAATTCTTTCCGGCAACCCATCTTTACTGTAGCTGGATTGGATTGGCGTGGTGAACGGCAGTCCCGTGGCCAGGGACTCAGACGGATAAAAGTTCTGACTAGGTAGTTGCAGGATTCGTCGCGGCGCATCAGGAACACCCTGGTGCGGCACCTTGCTTTGTACGATAGCGGTGGAGTGGAGGAGCCTCGAGGACCACGGCAGAGATAGAACGGTCTGTACATAAGATGTATAGACATCGGAGCATTAACACAAAATAACTGATTCATATCCAGTCTACAGCTCAGTATTCTCGCGCCACACGTCGATTGAACCAGCCTTAGCTACGAACTAATCTACGAAGTTCCTAAGGCATGTCGTCGATCTACTGCACCTGATGTTGTACATGCGCTCTGAGGGGTTTGATGTTGGTCAATTTAGATTATGCATTACATTAAATTACTTATCTTTCAGAATGAAGCAAGCCAGTCTTGTAGAGTGTTTCCTAACTTCTTGATTTGAAAGCATACCTTGTCTGCTTTAAATACTGTAGTGTGCCCACTTATTCATCCCACACAACTCTCTACCGATATTGATAGCAAAGGTCAAACGTGCTGGGGCTCATCAACTCGCCAAGAGACTTCTCTCCTCCCAAAATACCCCAATCCATTGTCGTCGCCAACGTGACTTCTGGCGTCGCGTCCGAATTGAAGATTGTACTTGTTCCATTGAGAGCATTATCCCCATAGGTTCTTACCCAGAGGTCTTTCGCTTGCCATTGGTACCAAATTCGATCTATTTGGCCATGATGAAGGAAGAAGGCTGGGTCCTGTGGGCTGGCGAAGAAATCCTGCAAGCTTTGGCCAAGGGCAAAATGACCATTGCCATGGACACCCAGTCGTGAAGTAGCCGAGGAGAGGGCGTCTTGGAAATCGGCGATTGTCGCAGAAGCTAATGCGGCATCAACATAAGTCTGATTTGTCCTTTCTGAACAAAACTGGTTGAGATCGCGCAGCAGACAGTGCGGATTGTATTGGGTCCAGGTGGAGGGAAGCCCCGTAAAGACCAGAGTGAATTCGAATGGCCCCAAGTTAACCATGACATCCTTGAAGGGACCACTCTTGACACAGCCGCCTCCTGTGCCACGAGGAACAGTGTCCAGTGATCCATCAGGTTTGACACCGACAACATAAAAGTCAAAGCTTCCATCATAATAGCCATCTCCGCCCAGAGATGTGTCGCTGCCATCAAACAGGGGACTAGCAGAGAGATTGTGAGCCCATTTGGGCCAGTCCCAGTATGGTTGTGCTCCAGTGTAGCCACATTCTTGAATAAGTGCAGTCTCCCAAAGCCAGACGAATTGGCGATGCCAGCCCAGAAAGATGCCGTCAAGATGAATTGAAGTTGTCTGATTGATGTGGACAGCGGCGAAATCGTCGAATCGAGACTTTGAGCCTGGAACCACGCCAGCGGGGAACTTTGATGGCTTGCTCTGCAGGCATTTAACAGCGGAGATGTAAGCTTTCTTCTCGGTCGAGGAGAGCGAGCCATATTCTTTTCTGATCCTAGGGTTCTTGCACGATGACCTCGGTACAACGGAAGCAGAGGCAAAAGTTTGATTCAAGGTCAACAAAATACTAGATAGCAGCGCCAGTGAATGGGTGATTTGCACCATCTTGAATGGCAGAGTTAGTTGTAGCAGCACACGATCTTCCTGGTGGGAGAACTCAGAGTACTTGAGGTCCTCTACGGTATCCCCACAACACCACGTGTTTAATGCATAGTTAGCAGTGGAAGAGTGATGGAACATTAGTAAAATTGTAGGGTCTGGAATACGTTTGATCGGGTCGGTGCCAACCCTAAGTCGCCTAAGCGAAATGCACCCCAACCTAGCATAAAATTGGTGATAGAGGAAGGGAAATTAAATGCATATAATGAGCGGACGCGTATGCCTGCATACGGCCTTCACTACCTATTTGAACGTATTGGCTCCAATAGTTGCAACAGTAGGCAATCCCCTGACTGCGAGATTCACCTTTCAGTCGCGAATTCCAGAGGAAGTGGTGGATCAAGAATAAATTAAATTACCCGACTAATGTTCGGCCCTGTCAGTGGGGAACTCGGCCCTGTCCAAGCCTCACAAGCTACAAGCTAAGGGCCAAGCTAAGGGCCAAGCTATGGTAGCCGGGGTTCACGGTATATTCGTAGGCCTTGCGAGTATGTAGTTCATTGACCTTCTCTTGGCACTCTGATCCTGTACTGTACTTACGAGTACGAGTACGTAGTTGAGCTGATGCATATATACACACAACCCGTGCTACCAACCTTGATCCCCAGCGAGGGCTGCGCCCACCTTGCTCAAGCCAAGATCCTAACTCTGGAATCTCATGGTCCCTCCTTTCTGAAGAGTAGCCTTCTTAGCAAGTAGATTTAGCGCCTAGTTTACATTCGGAAGTTAGGTAAAAATACCAGTGTCACAAAAGGAAGAGGGAAGTGAAAAGCGGTTCGAGACGAATCCCGCTTCCTCTTGGTTACGGAAGGAGGAGATTCTAAGGGTTGCTCCCTCTACATACCCTGAACTTGGAAACGACATGGTCAGGGCAGTGCGACCTTACGAGACTTCCTGGTTTCGGAAGAGTTTGGCACGTGGGCCGTTCCTGGTCCTTAGTGATAGAAGGAAGAGGACCGAGCTAGCTCTCGCCATCTTACAAACGCTGAATCATTGAATCACAATATCTATCAATTATTAACTGACTTATATAGGCCTAGGCATCCTGAATACATGTATCCCCGTCACCTGTGAGTATTGATTCAACCCATGGTCACGTTAGACGAAGCGATCGTTTCTGTGGAATCCTCGCCTCGCCTTAACCTGGTGTTTCCGCTCCGTCACGTGCTAGTCAGTGCAGCCTCTCTACATTCGTCGCTCTTATGCAAGGCTGTTGCGAATATCAGAACAATTGTCAATTTTACACGGCTTGCTACCAGTACAGAGCAACCTCTAGTTCGCCAGCAGCGTGCGCGGGTAGTTGAAGTCTTAGCCGGTGAGTTTCATTTAGGGATCCTAGAGGGATTGGCTTTGTTCTGACTAGGAGTAGCGCTTCAGCCTCGCCATTTTGCACAGAGTATCGTCTGGTCGACGAGCACAATCGAGGCAATTGGTGGGGATATGCCTGTGGTACTCTCCCAACAACAGCCTTTGCAATCGCAGTTTCTGATGGAAGCGAAGAAGGGACGCAACTCCAAATTGGTAGCACTGTGCCAGCGACCACCACCAGCACAGCAAAATCCACGTCATTGGTAAGTGGATCAGTAACTTGGACAAGCACACCCTCAGGTTCCTCATCTGCCACCTCAACATCATTTTCAACACATTCCGGGCCATCCCGAGCACAAGCCGGTGGGATTGCTGCCGGTGTCATAATAGCGGTTGTACTTCTCGCAATCATTGCTGGATTAGTCTATCATCATGTTCGGAAGAAGCGCCGGCGGAGACAAGCCGCGATTGACGCTGTGAATTTAGGCCCTCTTATTGAAGACAGGCCTTTGATGGGACAAACAATACCTTTGAGAGGTGAACCATACTAAGTGCATCATGGCGATGAGAGGGGGCAGTTTTGAGGCTCCACAGAGTGGATAGGGCAAGAATAATAGTGGTTGGAAAGCATGGGGGCTAGACGCACAGTCATCACCATTTCGTTATCAAAGTGTCTCAATGCAATTGATGGCAAAGATGATCCTGTTTTAGGTCGCACTTTGTGGGGATTGGCGCCCTGAGAATATAGCGCTATGGGTGGCATTTCCTGCATGTTCTCTACCATCTCGACAAAAGGTCTCAACAACAAAATGGCTTCTTTATGATTTCCAACACCAACACTTATCTCGCGAATGAGATGAAAAGGAATAATCTGTTCCATCAGGTCTGCCTTGACATCCAGAGTACCCGAACATAAACCATCAAACTCCAATGTTCGAGCGTGCATGATCGCTCGCTTCCTCCTTGGCAAATGGTGTGAAAACACATGTGCTGGCCATGATCTCCTAAGGAATTCCCGATCAAATATAAGCTGGTCATCAACAACGCATCTCGACTGATGCGTCAGCCTGCCTGTTGGCAAAGATAGAATGTCTGCTCTACGAAGGCTAGTGTGAAGCTCATGCTTGAGATCAGGCGAAGATAATGACTTCACAAGACCAACGTTTGCTGTTGGAGGCCCGAAAACATATCATCCCATGAGCCAAGCTGCCGCTCTGATCCCCAGAGGTCTTTAAGTGCTAGCTTGATAGCGTTGACGGAGTCGAACTTGATATTTTCATAGACTGTCTCCAGTTTTTGTATCACCGTTTTCTGGTTGGCTGCAGAAAATGTATGAGCAGCTGCGGTGAAGATCGGATAGAGAGCGCAGTTCAAGGCCTTGCTATCCGCCGGCATACCCGTGATGCAGTCCAGGCAAGCTTGCGCATGTTGTTGGACAAGAGGATGTTGAGGGGGTAAGGCGCAAATCGCCCGGTAGAGATAGAGATTTGCACTGTGCTGAAATGCCCGACAGAGTGCACGACATGGGACAATATCTTCATCCAGCAACTGAGGATCTTTTTTTATGTCCACCTCCGCAAGCGTGGTTGATTCCATCGTAGCATATCCTGGACGAAATACATTTTCAAATGCTTGTACTTTCTCCATCGTGAACTCACCAGGATCCTTTTGTACGAGATCTCGGTACCTAGCAAGGTCGGCCATCTTCTTGAAAATAGTGGCAAATGATTCCATTCCAAACGACGGTTTGTCCCACCATACAGCCTCGGGATCCATCATATCCCAGACATCAGACGAAAAGCAAGGGACTCTTCCCTGAAGCAAAGCATTGGTTACATCGGTGGTTGCGAACTCCGAGAGCAACATCTTGACAGATGTATCAGTCCCACACATGATGGAGGGAAGTCCACCCAGAGAGTCGATGATTGCTCTGACTCCTGCATGATGACTTGAGGTTGATGCGGACTCTTGGCTACATTCCACATAACCATCTGAGAAATATAAGAGCAGGACCGCCACGAGAAGAGTGGATAGTAGCATCTCGCCATTGGACACTTCAGCTAGCTGTTTCCGTAACGTAGCTAGACAATGAAGTCGTTTGCTCTGAACAATATCTCGGCTGTGTCTTCCATCATGCAGAACACGATGAGAATCGGCCATGACGCACGTCGCCAAAAGCACAGAGCGATCTCCTAAGGCGAGTGCGATTGGGGGCTGGCACGGAGTGCTGGACATATGGAACAGTGGCCAGACTCGAAGTCGGAAGTATTCTATGGCGCGCTTTTCATTGGTTGCTAAGGAGTAGCCCAAGGAGCCTGGAAGAGATTGATGATATAGACATAACTGATTCGCAGCAGGAGCCCCTTTGGTTGGGCGGGTGTTCCATTTGAGCACTATTTTGTTGTAATTGCACTTCTCATCAGCGTCAAGGCATTTTCTGCAGCTGGGTTTCTGAAGATCGCACTTGACTCGCCGCTGCTTGCAACTCCAACATGAACCCTCAGTCGTCCGTATCCTCTTTGGAGGCATTGACTGTGATTATGTGCAGTCGTCTAGCTTGCCAGCGCCGAAATATAAGGAGCCTCCGATACTCTAGATGTTGCGGTCAGTAGTCGCGTTCCGTCGCACAGGCGCCATTTGAGAGCCGGATAGCCCGTGATTCATTAGAGTGTAGTACCAAGACGATTGCCCTCAGCGAATGGCGTAAGCTCGTATCAATCGCGTGATAAGTAGTGGCATAGAGTGTAACTGATGATAAGGTCTTGGATGCACGAGACGAAAGAAGAAGACCGTGGATTGGAACTTTTGTACTGGTCAGTGGTGATGGCTTCTCCGCAACTACTTATCTCTTGTGTTCTGCTTCACTTGAGGTGCCGAACGAGCCCAACGGGTAGTCGGTCGAGGGATGATAACTAAGTGTGGGCGGAAAGGCAACTGATTAGCCCACGCTCCCACGTTTCCGGGATGGAAGCCTGGCTGGAGCTGATCCCACCCACCGCCCAGGCGGGTGCCAGGGTCGTCTATCGCCTGCTTAGCCCAGAATAAAAGGAAACTTTGCATCTAAACCTGTCAGCCGTACGGAGTGCTCGCTACCATGGTTGGCTAGGAGCGTCCTTCTAAATGCCAGAACGAGGATATTCTCTGCTGAATGCCGCCCTACTACAGACGCCATTCCCTGGGAAGTGGAAGGTGGGGTGGTGTCTCCCAGTCCTGCGCTCCTGCCTAGTTTAGGCTGAGGGGCGCGTCGAAGGCGCGTCGTGCTTGGATGCTGTACTCCTCCGTACTAATAATTTTCCACCAGGCCGCATGCTGGACCTCGTATACATCTTCTCTAGAATAACCATCAACCAACGCATGCAGCCATTGTCCCAAGGGCTTGTACCTCCTCGAATGGATGATGATCGCTATCCGCCAAATAAAAGGCGGCGCACCTCCAGTGTAGGATCCTCCCTGTCTGGGAATACCCCTGCACGGCGTTCGCTAGCCCATCAATCACAGACAAACCGCTCGGGCCAGAACACAATGAGGAGAGGATACTCCAGTTCAAGAAGCAGAGCAGGAAGTGAAAATGAAACTCCGCAGCGGCGCCGGTCCAGAAGTCGCTCTCATTCCAGGAGGGGAATAAGCAGGAGCTCTTCTGTCTATGATACTGCGGACGAGGAACAGGGCTTTAACGAACGCAGACAATCTCGTACAAGACGTCGCTCTATATCGAGGTCGAGGTCGGGGTCGGGGTCCAAGTCAAGATCAAGATCCCGGTCAAGATTTCGATCATATGGCTCCTCGATCGATGAACCCAAGCCGCGATCGGCCTCACCGCGGGTACCGCCCTCGAAATCCTTGAACTTCATACCACTGGTCACCATTCCACGTGCCCATGCTCGAGGAATCACCTCTCTCAAATTCTCTCCAGATATGATGTTACTTGCTACCGCATCGGCGGATAACACGATTAACATATACTCTGTTCCTTCAGACCCCACTCCTGGGGTGGCCCTCAAACATCTGCGCACTCTTCGTGCGCACTTGGCTGGTGTCAATGCTATTGCATGGGCGCCCGTTGGACCTCCGTATTCCCTTGCATCAGCAAGCGATGACAAATCCATTCTTCTCTGGTCCCCACTGGCCTCAGATTTCCCCATCTCACCCTCTCCGATCACTGGTCATAGCAACTACGTATACAGTCTTGCATTCAGCCCTAAGGGCAACATGCTGGTTTCTGGCTCCTACGACGAAGCCGTTTTCCTATGGGATGTGCGTGCAGGACGCATCATGCGCCAGCTGCCGGCGCATTCGGATCCAGTTGGTGGTGTTGACTTCGTTCGTGACGGGACAATGGTTTGTTCTTGTGCGGCAGATGGTTTAATCAGGATCTGGGATGCTGGCACGGGGCAGTGCTTGCGCACGCTTGTCGATGAAGATCGCAGGCCTGTTACAAGTGTGCGCTTCACACCGAACGGGAAGTTTATTCTAGCATGGACATTAGATAGCTCCATCCGGCTCTGGCGATACTCAGATGGCAGCTGTCTGAAGACATACCAGGGCCACTTGAATAAGCAATACAGCCTAGGCGGAGTTGTGGGGACTTACTATCCCAACGGTCAATGGGCTGGCGCTACCGAGTCGTTTGTTGCCAGCGGCAGTGAAGACGGTGACGTGCTGGTATGGGACGGTACCAGCAAGGACATCCTGTGGCGTGGCAAGGGTCATAGAGATGTCGTCCTGGCCGTGGACTATGGACGCACGAAAGACGGCAAGGGCCTTCTTGCCAGTGCGGGCAAGGACCGCGACGTCCGCATCTGGATGATCGACAGTGAGGAGACGGACAGAGAACAGCAGGCGCGCAAGAAGAGCGGCCAACACGCAGACGATGACGATATGGACTTGAATATGACGATGGACATGGATGAGGCAATGGACCAGCGGGTTAGCGCTGCTGCTGCTGCCGCAAAAACGGCGCCGGGTGAGGCAGGACCTCACAGTGTGCCGCCAACTCTCTATGGTGCTATGGATGTCGATACCCGCCCGGCCGGTGGGGAGCACAGCTAGAAGCTCGCGCTGAGACTACTTGGCTACACCGACGACAATTACCACAATGACTTTAATAGGAGAATACGAAACATTTCTGTCATACTCCCTGCACCCAAGATGACCCCGGAGTAGTAAGACTGCGCATGGAGGGGATTTAAGGGGCCTGCTCCTGCCACAGGGTGCTCATTGAAAAGGCCGAATCCGATTCAACTTTACTGATAGTTCGCATTCATCCATAGTGCCTCCTTCACGGCACCATGATAGCCTCGCGAGCTGCACAGACCTTCCGGAGATAGCCTCCACCACAAAACACTGTCAATCGCCAAAGCCAGCGGCCGACCTAAGTGACAGGGAAATGCATTGAATATTTGACGCGATGCTGATCTTTGCGCAAACAACAATTGCTTAGATTCGCCTCAAAGAATGCCTCGCTGGACTAATTCTGTGGAATCAATCCATCAACATCAAAACGCCCAACATCACGCCCACACTTTGGGCAACAATTTCTGGGGGAAAAAAAGGATGTGGTGTAATACTACGACAGCGCTGCGGTCGGAAAATTCTTCTAGGTAGATTTTGCGTAGCTGGACTTGAGCAGCAAAGGCTCAATCATGCAATTGCCCTTGATGGGCGTAAATTGGGACTGAAAGATTGGGCGCTACGAGCAAGGATTCAAGAAGGCTACAGCGTTCACGTTCCTGGAGGACGAGCAATTAGATATTTTTATTTCCTCCAGTTGCTTCGGCCACCGAAGCAGCACATGGCTACTCTTGGGCACGCAACATCTGACAATCGGCAGAAACTGACATTATTCCATCATTCGACGTTGAACACGTTTTATCGTACCAAATATGTTGGAATAATAAGGAAGCCTCGATAAAAAGATACCTATCCAATAGGTTAGGTAGGAGGGAGGGCTGCATCGCCAGAAGTGGACAGTATTGCAAGGCTCCAGGTCAGCAAAGCAGGTTACAGAAGACCAAATCGAGGACATCAAAAGAAGTCATTGAGTGCGGTCCGCTGGAGGGCCACTTGAGGGATATCGACACATCGAGCGCCAAAATCAAAGGCACAAAAATGAAAGAATGAGCCTTGAATGCTCGTTTGACCGCCGCCTTTAGCAAACCGAAGCTAAGTGAGCTTTATTCTCTCTAGTCGTGGAGCAGCGTAAGCATAACAGGTATCAAACGTGCCGCTGTTTGAACGACGCCCATGTTCTACCAATTAAACACTTCTGACAGTGATAAGCTTAACCGATGGGGCAGGCTAGAGACCACCTGCATATTCTGCATCCGGTTAGGGTAGTGGAAGGCCAACAGCTTCCAGCCTCTTCAGGGTGTTCCAGCGTCATTGGCTATCGCCCAACTTGCTGTTGACCCTGTTAGAGTTTCGATACGAAGAGGGGGGCAAGTAGAGCTCAGCGCAAGAAGGAAGGGATCTGCAGGGACAATGGCTATAAAAATGGCCCAAGCACCACTTTCAAGGGCGGTCGATTGTTCTCAGTCATATTCAATCCCTCCCCGGCTTTCAAAGTGCCTTTATCAGTGCCCCTCTTCGGATCAACTTATTTGGGAAAATGTCTCTCTCTGGTAAAGTGACTCTCATCACCGGTGGCGGGAAGAACCTGGGGGCAGCGATCGCAAGCCTCTTTGCCCCCGAAGGATCCCATCTGGCGTTGCACTACAATTCTGCTTCATCCAAGAAAGCGACCGAGTCACTTGCAGCCCAACTCTCGTCAAAACACGGCAACATCACGGTGAAGGCATATCAGGGCGACCTCACGAAGCCGTCGAACGTGTCAGCGTTGTTCGACGCTGTTCACAAGGATTTTGATGGAAAGCTGGATATCGTCATCAACACGGTCGGCATGGTGCTCAAGAAGCCTTTCACCGAGATATCGGAACAGGAATACGACCAAATGTTCGCAGTCAATTCAAAATCCGCCTTCTTCATAACCCAAGAAGCCGCCAAACGTGTCGGTGACGGCGGCAAGATTATCAACACCGTCACAAGTCTACTGGCCGCTTATACTCCGTTGTATACGAGCTATCAGGGGTCAAAGGCCGGGGTGGAGTATTTCACAAAAGGCCTCAGCAAGGAATTGATGCCCAAGAGGATTAGTGTCAACGCCGTGGCACCTGGCCCAATGGTAAGTACTCGGCCTTGCAACTCATCTGATTTGATCTAACAGCGAGGAACAGGACACTCGTAAGCCAAGCCTCGTCATCTATCCCACTCCGGGCCCCGTTGCCCCCTTTCCACTCCCTTTGTTCGAGCCTTTTGTTTCTAACAGACTTGACCAGCATTCTTCTACGGCCAAGAGTCTCCCGAGGCCGTGGAATTCCACAAGTCCAATGCCATTGGCGGCCGCTTGACTCTGGTAGATGACATTGCGCCGATTTATAAATTCCTCTGCACAGAGGGAGCATGGATCAATGGTAGGTTTACCCTTGACTGGATGCTTAGATGTGATGCTTGCTATACTTATCATACACCACAACAATGTGTCCCTGCTCCAGGGCGTCTGAGAAACCGTGCTAACCCATGGATTGTCGGTACCAGGCCAGACACTCTTCGCCAATGGTGGTTACACGAGCCGATGAGCGGGCCCTGGAGGACGGCCTCTCTGCGCATGACCAGGTGATGTATTTCTGCACAAAAGGTAGACTTGACGAAATAAATCTATTGAGGATGAGAAGCACTCTTTGGCTGAGTAGCATCCGTCGCTTCCAGGTTCCGGGTTTCACAAAGTCATTAATAAATATTTCAAACAAAGATTCACCAGGGACAGAAGTTTATCACTCAAACTGACTTGCTTGGTACGAGATATCGAGGCAGTTGGCCTATGCTGCGTATTTCTCTACCCAAGTCTGAAAAACGTGCCGTCGGTTGCCGCCGAAGCACAAATTGTGTGGTGTTGGCGTTGACGGAAGTCGTACATATAATTATCTACATACTAGTCGTCTTGCCTGTCGTAGAATACCCCGCCAAGGAGGAGTGACCCCTCGGGCCTCCTTTACGTAAGTATCCTCCTACGTAGCCATGTGCCAGGGGTGCCAGTACGTCTCTAACTACAGTAAGAACCTAAATTCACTGACAGACCTCAGGTATCGTCAAGTGGCGTATTCCGGACTTTCAACCCTGAAGAACCGTGCCACAAGGGGCAGTTGAGAATGTCATAATGTCTCGTATTGCAGGATGAAAGTATGGCCCAGCCAGCGTTGGAGTTCGTCAATGCAGGTTTCGTCAACGGGCCTGAAGCCGAGCAAAACCGGCGGCGAGTAAGATCTCATGCGGCGAAAGCCAGTGGAGGAGGGGCAGCCAGCAGCAGCTTCAACGCTGGCTTGGACAAATTTCCACCGCAGCAAAAGCCACCTCGAAAGCGAAGAAGACCACGGCGCCAGAACCTCAGCTGGGCCGTCCAAGTGCGAGATCCTGAATATGAGTCCCAACAGCCACACCACTCCAACACGAGTTCGGCTTCTCTTAGCAGCAGCGGCGGCGGCAGCAGGACCAGCCCACTGAGCCCACTCTCCGGCATGGCCCTGATCCCAGCATCCAAAAGCCCCGTCTACCACGAACCATACATGCCGATCGTGGTGCAGAACTACCTGGACCACCTCGCGGTCGCGATCCCGGAGCTTGATGGCGGAAGCGACTCGGTGCTGTTGAAGACCAGATGGTTCCCCATGGTGATGCACTCGCCCGTCATCTTCCAGGTGATCGTGCTCTTCTCGGCATCGCACTACGCCGCACAGCGGCGCGACTCCTCGCTAGCGCGCACGCTCCTGTCGCTCAAACAATGCGCCTTGCACGGCCTCCGCCAGAGCCTATCCTCCGCCTCCGAGGAGGGCACGGCGCCGGTGCGCGACGAACTCATCGCCGCAACGGCCAAGATGGCCAGCTACGAGGCGATCTGGGGCGACGCGCACGCGTACCACTGGCACATGCGCGCCGTGGACGAAATGCTGCGCGTCCGGCGGCACGGCCTGGCCAGCTTAGGGCTTGATGGATTTTTGTCGAGGCTGTTGATCTTCATCGATACGAATTCGGCGTTCATGCTGAACACCTTCTTGCATTTGCCCGGCTCGACGTTTCCGAGCGGAGAACCCTTTTTCAAGCCGAATTTAGGCCGCTTCGTGGGGGACCCGTGAGGTTGGTCAAAGAAAGCTTGAGGATTTGGGGAGCGGGAGCGAGGGCGGGAGGCAGGGGATAAGAAACTCGAGTGGGCACACTCCTAGGAAGGAAGAAACACGGTATACTGTTAACGCTACAGAAGCGCCCTTCGCCGAAGGCAAATCCTGTATAGCATCTAGCTATGTAACTACATCTCGAGAGAGTCATCGACAACTGGATAGAGTAACGTTCTCAAACGCATCCAATTCTTTCTTTCTCACCGGCATGACGGCCTCCCTTTAAAGTTCACTCTGGAGGCATATAACAGTAGCGAGAACAACAAGAGTGAAATAAACCTGTTGAAATTCGATTCGATTCCCTATGAAAGGGGCGGACTTGATCACACACGCGCGCATCGCTTAAATCAACTACTTGGGTAGTCAATGCACCAAAGGCGAGTCTTTCACGGATCATCCATCACCGCCCGACTATTCCTCGATTTTCAGTTGACCATCAATCTGCCCAGCCACTCCTCTGCCCACTGTGGCATGCAGGAAAGCACTATCTCGCATGGCGGAAATTGCCTCGCGCCTGTTCGGCCTTGAACCCATCCTGCTGACTCGGAAGTGGGATTCGCTGTCTGGACGCCGCAGCGCCATTCGGTGGTGTCCCGATGCCGACGGCGACGCCTGGCGGCCCACCTAGACCAGGAATGCCGGCCCCGACAGGTGTGTTTGATTGCGAAATTAATCCAGGGAGCCCACCTGGTGGGAACTGCATTCCTGGAGGCGGTGGTGGGGGAAAGCCCGGCGGCAGGTTTTGGAGGTTTAGGTTTGCGAAATCAATGGCGTAGTGAGGCTGGTGGTGTGAGGGCAAGGAGAGGGGCGGTGGTGGTCCATTCGTAGCTCCTGGTGCGTGTGGTTGCGGTGTTTGCTGCTGCTGGGCGTGGGAGAAGAGCCGTTGTAATGCATCCGGGTCCAATCCAGGAGGTGGAAAGGGAGGAGGTGGGTGCTGAGACAGAGTTTGAGGGAAGCCCGGAAATAAACCTCCTGGGTTTACTCCTTGAGGTGGAGGAATGGGCGGAGGGGGGAAGCCCGGTAGAGGTTGTGTTGGTCCTGGGACGCTCGATCCATTCACCCCAATCCCAGGCAGCCCACTAAGACCTGGCAGTCCCGGGATACTGAGGCCGGGAAGTCCCCCACCCTGAGCATTTGGAGCTTGATCCTCCAAACCCTCTGCTTCGTCCTCTTCTTCCTGCTCCTCTTGCTCTCTGGCCTGCTTACGACCAGATTTCCGATCCCAAGTACCTTGAGCCTCCGCACCTTCCTCTCCAAGATGGAACTGGTCCTTGAAACATGTCGTTTGGCCAGGTTGACTGCGTGACCAGAATCGCGTGTAGTGGTCGTTAGAGCCAGATGCAAGGATGTGGCCGAGGGGATGCCAGTCGAGACTCCAGATGGAAGATTCGTGTGCGTGAGGAATGCGATGGGCGGGGTAGATTGACTGAGGTGGTGCAGAGCGTGGGTCGGGTGTATCGTAGGGCGAGACGGTTGTGGAGGAGAGACCTAGGGGAGTGTTGGGTTCCGTGAGGAGGTACGAGAGCAGCGAGCCGTCGTCACCACCCGTGCTGAGAAGAGAAGGATGGATAGGGTGCCATGATAACGTGGCAACGCCTTTTTCGTGGCCTCGGAGAATAGCCACATCGCGCATCATGCGTAGGTCGAAGATACGCGTTTGTCCATCTCGACCCGCCGTTGCAAGAAGCTGGTCGCGTAGTCGACTGAAGACTGTGGCTGTGATTGCGTTTTTATGGCCATGGAGGGTCGTTAAATTCCTTGTGGTTCGTGGATCCCATAGCCTCACGCTGTGATCTTTGCTGCCCGAGACGACCAGGCCTTTCGTCGGGTGCCAATCACACGCTTTCACATCCCAGCCATGGTCTTTGAAGGTGGATTCATTAGTCGAGGAAGTGAAATCCCAGATCTTGAGCGTATTGTCATCGGAAGCGGTGACGAACTTTGCATCGCTGGGGGCAAATGCTAGATCTCTAATGGGAGCATCGTGAGCTTTGAAACGGTGCGGGTTGTTCAAGGTTGGCTGTAGATAGTAGACGGTCCCCTCGTCATTTGCAGAGATCAGCCAATCCTTTCGATTGGACCATTCGGCAGCACGCAACGAGCTCGAGCCCATGACAGTAACGGTTTCGAAGTTGAAAGACATGCCGTTCCAAAGCATGAATTCACCGTTGTGCACGCCGGCCAGCAAGCGACGGCCCTCAGGCATCCACCGTACCACAGTGACAGGCTTTTTGGATTTCCCCAGAGAAGTGTGCAAATGACGCACGGGAATTGATTCTGCTGGAGCATCGCGTCGCGCATGGGGCGGCAACATATCGACAACATAGCTGAGACTGGGTCGCTCTGATTCATAGTGGTGAGACCCTCTATACCCAGGTTTGCGCTTGTCTAGCCATTGTACCATGGAGGTGCCGTAGTCGGTGATAGGCCGTGGTCGTCTCCTGCGGAACCCACCTTCACCTTGCTGGTCATCGTATACGCCGGCCATAATTGATGACTATGGTCATCCACACTGTAGACTAGGGTCGGGATGAGATGAGATGTCCTGTTGATGTTGACATGGGGTCTCAAAACAGCGGCGAAGACACCTTGAATAAAGACAGTGATGAGTGATCAGTTTGCAATCATGATCCGGTGAACATTCTACGCTGCACTGGCATCACCCTAGATCACGTTGCATCTTGCACAGAAGTGAAGGTCGGCCGAGAGGACTTCAGTTGAAGGGGTGAAGTTGTTGTGCAATGGATGGCGCGCGAAATTCAAATGTCAAATGTCACGTTCAAAAATGCCAGCCTCTTCATTGTGATCACGTGATGATGGGCTGAGCCTAGACGTCATGGAGCACGTGATCTGCTATAGTCGAATGGAGACATGTGAGGGTATGAAGGCAAAGAGGGACGACGTGGCTCCTTGCACATTTGAATGCGGAGTGATTGATGTCTACTTACAACATGTTTACCTGATTCATCCACGTTGGTTCATCGCTTCACCCAGTAGACCATGCCTCGCTTTATAACTAAAAAAGTATAACATAGCGGCCAAAGGCTGGCCCACGAAGACAAAATTAACCCAGAAAATGCAATTCCCAATGACTTTTCCCATGCCTTCTTTTTTTGCTAGAGGTTCGGTGACCATAATTAGTGGCAACTGAAGGACCATTCCAAGGAATGCGACTCCGAGAATGCTATGACATGGAATCCCCACTGCCAACTCGTGCAGAAATCCAGAAAAGACAAACACCCACATACTGGCTGCTTTGTGAGACCAACCACGGCCGACAAGAGGTGAATAAATATGTCTTCGCATAAAATGATAGACTGGCTTGTTCCAGGTTGACCAGTACATCTTCAGGGTGGTACTGTTCCACCAGTCTTGGTAGAATTGTCGATCGCCAAATCTCATGATCTCGGCCAACGCATTGAGGAACGACTGGAACAGGGCAAAAAAACCGGCGAGCCATACTATGAGGGAGATGGTCGATAGTTTCATTAATCGTTCCAAAATTGAGGGCACGTCGAAAACAGCCATGCCATTGAGTGAGTTCTGTAAAAGAGGAACCGCATATTGGGCACAGGTGAGCCATATGAAGACACTGAGGGCCACCACCTCTCCAACCCGCTTTGCAACGAAAGTCCATCGAATTTGTTGAGACCTCGGGTAAAAAGGTTGATAGACGAGGGTGGGTGCCCACCAGAAATAACAAAGATTACCCAACGTGACATTCCGGGGATATGGACATTGCAAGTAGACCTGGGGCAATGCAGACTCCGGGCCTCCTGGATGTAACATAGCATGTCGAAGGTCTCGATTTGTGAAGGCGTATGAACAAGTCTTGAGCCAAACCACAATGGCATGAAGTTCGCTAATGGCGCCAAGTCCAGGATTGTCCATCAGATAGTAGACCACAAAGCTGGTGATTAGCAAAGCTAGCGACGCATTCAATGTATGAACCACAGCAATCCACCACCATGTATAGTAGAAATCCTTGTTCTCTTTCTCGATCTGAGGATCGTTGTTGTCCAGTTCGGCCTTTTTGCGTCTGCCAATAACACCCTTGACATTTTCCATGGCGATCCGTTCGATTATGTAGGCAACGAAGAGATGAACAGGAGTGAGTGCGTAGAGGAGGGCTGCTGCCTTGATATCGTGGCCGCCCAAGCTAAACTTGAGAGTGATGAGCAGGCCATATTTTCGAGCATTCTCAACTACGAGGCGCAGGTTCATGACAATGATGGTTAAGACCATGAGGTTGCGGAAACCAATAAAACTGGGAGTCTCGGCAGTTTCGTGACTGAGGACCGATGGCTGCACTCTGGAATGTAAGGCTTCCACATGACGATACTTGCTCCGGATCTTCGGTTTGGGCTGAGAGGGAGGGTTGGGAGATGGCGAAGGGACTTGGGTGGGAGCATTGGTGTTGCCTAGGTCTGCAGACATAATGTCCTCGGCCTCTTCAATGACTGTCTGAATATTGGTTGCCATTTTGCTTAGATGGTAGATGTAAATACTAGCAGTTGGAGTAATACTGTAGCAGTAGAATTGTAGACCACAACGTGGAAGACGGACGAGGCTCTTCCATCAACCAGGATCAGGTGAAGACGAGCCTGCTATCCGACTTGCGAAGGACAGGAACGAGTGGCAGTGACAATGACAGTGCCACCGGAGGGAAAGCAAGGTGGTGGCTGGCATGTCGGAAATGAAAGGATTGATACAGTAGCAGCGGCGATGAGATGGCTCGTCCTCCGTCCGCTTCGGTGAGCCGTGGCGGGAAAGGCAAAAAGACAAAGCACATGGACTGACGGTGCTGGACCACTTGATGCTACACGCTGCAGAGTCGGATGCGCAGGGCACTGGCAATACGAGGGAGCAAGGGAGTGGATGAGTGGATGAGGCACCCATAAGGGTCGGGTGGGGGGCCTCCTCGCATTTTCAATTGTTGGGCGGGCCGTGATTTGCTTAATCAGGCATGTGATATTCCCAACTCTTTGCTGTTATTTGCTACGACTACTACCCTATACTAGCAATTAGAGATCATCCGAGTCTTGCTTTGAGTCGAGGATAGTCGCTTTCCAATTCAATATACATACATCGGTATAGTTATGCTTGTCTGATCACAATAAGGAGTATAGGGTCATCGACAAACCCCATTTCCAGCCACCGTTATCCACTCATCCTTCTTTTCGCAAGAATCTATCACCGACAGATAATCGCTCCCATCACGTCTTCGAATCCACTGCTTTACTCACTGTTTCTTGTACTTTGCTGCCTTGGATCTCCTCGCTCTCGCCTTCTTCCTCGTCAGGCGCCTCCAGGTCGGCGTCAATATCATCCTTCTCAGACGGAGGACCACTCCGATCCGCATTGATCGCAAGCTCACTGACCTTGGACTTTTCCGTCTCACCACCACTCATTTGCCACTCCATGAGTTTCGTAAATGCTCCATCTGGCCGGCTGCTAAGATCTCGGAAAGACCCCATCTCGGCAACCCGGCCATCGCTGCCCAAACAAATAATAGTGTCAGACCGCTTGATGGTTGAGAGACGATGCGCAATTGAGATAGTTGTGTTGCTACCCTTTAGTAGCTGGGCCAAGGCCTCGTTGACGAGGGTTTCAGATTCAGCGTCCAGCGCTGAGGTCGCCTCGTCCAGGATCAGGATGTCCGGCTGCTTGACCAGGGCTCGAGCAATAGCTATCCGTTGTTTTTGACCTCCAGACAGTTGCGCCCCTCGGGCACCAACGAACGTGTCTAGCCCATCCGGGAAATCGCTGATAAACTGGCAATTGGCTCTTCTAGCTGCACGTAGGATCTCGGACCTCGTTGCATGTGGCCGACCATACGCGATGTTCTCGGCAATAGTCCCTGAAAACAAGACTGGCTCCTGCGACACAATGCCAATCTTCCGCCGTAAAGACTTGACATTCATTTCTGCAATATCATTGCCGTTGATCAAGATACGTCCCTCATTGGGGACGTAGAACCGCAAAATCAATGATGCGATTGTGCTCTTTCCCCCACCAGAAGGTCCAACGATAGCCACGTTGGAGCCTTGCGGAATCTCAAAGTCAAGGTTCTTGAAAATGTTAACAGCAGGTCTTGTCGGATAGCTAAAGGACAAGTTCTCAAATTTAATGGGACCACGTGCCGATATCACTTTTTCCCCTTTGGTTGGGTGGATCGTTGGCTGTCGGTCTTGTAACTCGAACAGGCGCGAAGCAGCGCCCACGCCCTTCATCAGTTCGGAATAGAATGAAGAAAGGCCAAAAAGAGACGATCCGGCGTAGGCAGTGTACATGAGAAATGATGTGAGTTCGCCGATGCTGATCGTCCCGTTTGATACCATGCCTCCTCCGACATAAAGGAGTGTCAGAATAGTCATGTTGCCCATGAAACCAGTCGATGAGAAGAAGGTGGCGCTGATCAGTGACTCCTTCTTGCCCAGCTCAAATATCTTCCGTACTTGAATATTGTACCGATGTACTTCCAAAATTTCCCCAGCAAATGCTTGGGAAGTGCGCACGTTCCCGAGTCGTTCCTCAGCAATTTTGGTCAGGGTTCCAAGGTTCTTTTGGATCTTTCGGCTGAGGTTTCGAATGGCACGACCATAGAAGAATGCAGCCAAGGCGACCGGAGGGAAGAGTAATGTCAAGATCCCCGTCAGTTTCAATGAGACCCAAGCCATGAGACCAAACCCAGCTGCTCCACTGACAAATGCGCGCAATCCGTCAGACAAGTTCTGAGTAATAGATTTACCCACTATGATAGTGTCGGAGCTCAACCGGGAAATCAAATCTCCTACACGGTTGGCATCAAAAAATTCGGCGTTCTGAATGTAAGTCTGGCGAAAAAGTCGTGATCGAAGTCTGGCAACAATGCGCTCGCCGACGATGCGTAAGATAATGATGCGACCATAGTTGGCTGCGGCGCCTGTAGCAAGAATGGCAAATAAGGCGGTGTAGAAGGTGGTCAAGCTCAGACCGAAGAGCATGTCGGTCTTGAGTTCGGCGTCCGGGCCCTCGGTATTCGCTTTGCCCTTGGTGGCTATATCCATGATTTTGCCAATGGAGAAAGGAATTGACATAGTGATGGTAGAGGAGATCAGGAGAAATAGAAAAGCCCATACAAGAGTCCCGGCTTCGGGACGAGCAATCTTGATGAGTCGCCATATTTCGCCGAACCCGGACGATTTACCAGAGGCGCCTTCTTTGGAAAGTCTGGCACTGAGGTTGACATGGGATGCTTGAGCGGCCTTTTCACTTTTCTCAAAAGCCTCCTCTTCCAAATCAGCATCATCATCCGACTTTGTTCTCGCCTGGTCCTTTATAACGGGCGTTGGGCTTTCCTGAAATATGCCACATGCTGAGAAATGACGCGGCTGAGAGGAGAGGTTTGAGCGGGTAGGACGGAGAGGGGTGTGAGGTGCGGGTAAAGATCTCAACAGAAAGTGGGCCGGTCGAGTAGAGACGGCGGAGGACTGGGAGCAAGCATGGAAAGGTCGCGAAAGTATCCTCGAATGCCTGGGAGCCGAGTTATATAGAGAGAGGAGGATATTCTGGTCGAGGGGGTTTAAGCGAGTGCCATGTTGGAAAGGCCTGAAAGCGAGCAGCAAAGAGCTGCGTGTCGCATTCATGGTGGGGTTTGGAAGGTGGGTCGCTAGAGAAGGAAGGGAAGCTGTCTCCTTCTCCCCATATCGACAAAGGTAAAGAGGCAAAGGAGACGTAGAATTAAGAGCAAGGCTTGAGGTAGCAGCGGTTGGGTGTGAGGGAAGTCGAAGTGAGAAGCGACACCTGGAGTTGCTGAAAAGTGAAGAGGGAAGGAAAGCATCCGAATGGGGCAAGAGCGACGCGCGAGATCGGATCAATCGAACGATGAGGAGGAGGGATTGGCTGCTAACCCACTAATTGCCTGCTAGTGGCTCTGGGAAAGGGCCCTACTTTTCTCCGGATCGAGCTCTTTGTAAGCATCCTACTGTGGTGCATACGGTCATTTCGTGCTTCAGCCTCTTGAGACTCTGCCCCTCGCCCGAGTCACCCCTCCAGTGCAGTAGTCCCTACGAGTCCTCATACCACCAGAACCAGTTAAATAATTCAGGACTCATTCCACTTGTATGTAATACCAACGTCCAACCCTAAACAACCATCTCATCATGCCTATCTCTTACGACAAGTGGGACAAACTCGAAGTCTCCGATGACTCCGATGTCGAAGTTCATCCCAACGTCGACACCAAGAGCTTCATTCGAGCAAAACAACGCCAGATCCACGAACAGCGTGCTCAGCGTAAAGTCGAAATCGAGACCCTCAAATACGAACGCATCATCAATGATGGTCTATTAGAAAGAATTAATGCCTTGCTCGATGCCCTCAAGAAACATCAAGACGAAGCACTCACCAAAAACCCTGAAGAACTCGTCTTTCAATCATTGATCGAGAGCGCCGGTGACCCCTCTAAAGATGAACCACCAAAGCCCCCAGAGGGTGTCTACACCCACCAAAAAGAGCCCCAGCCCCGGTATTCAAAGATGATGGGTGCTTTAGTCGACCAGGTCAAGAAGGAAGTCGACGAGAAGAGTAGTAACGACAGGTACAAAGATTTTGTCGTGGGCATCAACGGTCATCTCGAAAAAGTCCAGAAACTACAACAAGACCTGTTAAAGCGTCTCGCCACGCTGGAACAGGAAGCCGTTGCCAAGATTACTAGCGAGGATATTCATGATGGCTTCAATTCTTCTTTTGTTACCAAGTCTAAACCTGCTGCTCTGCCGGCCGAGAAATCCAAAGCACCACCCAAGAAGAAAAAGACTGAGAACGTGGAGCTCTTGAACAAGCCCTTGGGCCTCAGCTCCACCACTCGTGACGCTCTCAAATCTGCCGAGGGCGGTGTCTCATCGGGTGCAGAAGCTGATATCGAGGATGATGCCCTCTTAGAAAAGCATGAGGGTGACGACGACGACGACGAGGAATCTGAAAGCAACCTCAAACTCACGCCGGAAGGCAAACAATTTGCGCAGATCAAACTTGGCGACTACCGGGCCAGTCTGCAATTCATCTCCCAGCATCCGGACATTGTGAACGAACGTACACAGGACGCCTTGATGATCGAGGCTTTCAATGCACAGATGAATGGTCAAGAGACCTACGCCCGAGGCTGTGTTCATCAGAGCCTACTGGTCCAATATTGCCGCCAATTGGGAAGGGATGGAGTGGGAGTGTTCTTCAAGAGAATCACCACCAAGGGTCATCAGGCCCAGCAAGTATTCAACAAGGATCTGAACGAAACATACGCACGAATCAAAAACCGAGCGGCAGAACTGAAAAAAGAAGAAGCCAACGATCCGGCCGGTGTGGAGCAGATACAACTCCACGCCGTTGAGCCTGGAACTGAGATCCACATCAATGTTCCCGAAACCAACTCCGAGGATCCAGTCGAGCAGCAAGCTCGGAAAATCTTCGATAACTTTCCTCCAGGCCTTCAACGAGCACTTGAGTCCGGCAGTCTAGACCAAGTGAATCTTGTCCTGGGCAAGATGAGTGTCGAGGAAGGAGAAGAGATTGTGGGGCTCTTAGGTCAAGGAGGAATGTTGAGCTTGCAGGAAGGGGTGATTGACGCAACAAATGAAGAGGGCCAGAAACTTCTCAAGCAAATTGAGGAAGATGAGAAAAGGAAGAAAGAAGAGTTGGCCAAGGGCAAGAGTGTGGAAGAAGTGGGAGAACCTGGCGAGGCTGTGGAGACGGTGGCCGTCAGATGAGAAGCCAAGTCGCTTTTCTATTTGCACGATCCCGAGCAGTCAAAATACGTAGACTATTGTTCGAATACAAGACTCGAGACCAACGAGATTCTGAGTGAAGATCATGCAGCAGTAGCCTCTTGTTGTTCAGCCCCTTGTTGTATTAACAAATTTGCTAGTTTCAGGCTCACTAATTCGACTTTTTGGACGTGACACCCTGCGCAGTGAAAGCTGCAGAGATCTCTGTATAGGCGGCATAGAGTACCCACAGCGGAATGAAGACCCAAAGCATGTTGAAAAAGACCAAATACAACCACAGATACACAGGGTCCTCCCCAGCCAGTGCGGGATTTCCACTCAACCACTCAGGGGCAAAAGTCATGAAGCCACCATATAATTCTCCCGTAGCAATCATGACTGCCACAAACCACATCCTGGTCTGATATTTAGCTTTGGCGGTGCTCTGACTGCCTGATTTAGCGACCCTGGAAATCAAATAGCAGACATACATCGCAGCTGGACCCGCGAGGCCGACAGTGAGTATCTCCAACGAGATAACGGTCAAGTCGGCTCCTCCCCAGCGACGGTCAGCTTTGGCGTATTCTTGCCACAGGCGAGCCATAGGTGCCTGTGAGTATATCGCTCCATAGCGGCGGTCAGAATGGCCGAACAGCTGTGGGACCGGGGGGCCCCCGCGCGAGGCAGGGTGCGGATAGTCGGAGGTCGGGATGGGCAGGTCGATGTAGGAGAAGAAGCAGTGGTACAGGTAGCTACCTTCGATAATGAAGTGGGTGAGAAAGTCATAGGCGTGCCACAGAAATAAGTAGTAGTAGGTTGGCTTGATGGATTTGGGCAGTGCTACGGCGGCAAGGGCTCGGGCGCTGGGCATCAGAGAGAAAGCCACGGCGAGGGAAAAGGCGGTACCCGCATCGAGAGTGAATGGTGGTGATGCCGTTGTGGCCATGGTAGACGCGATGGGAGTGCGAGACGGTGGCTAGGGATCTGGAGGTTAGAATGATCGCGTGTGTAGAGGCTCATGTGTGCGAGACTACACGGTGTATCTTTTGCCCAATTTGGGTGGTGGGCACAGGCATAATTACGCACAGGCACAGGCACGGGTGCAAAACACGTGCCTTGCAAACCCGGAGGTACCGAGTAGTACGCACTACTCCGTACAAGACGAGGTTGTACAGAGTACTCGTAGCATCATAGCTTTAGGTGATCAGGCCCCAACGGCAAGCCCAGAAACGCCTAACCGAATTCAATCATAGTTAAGATGTTAGAGGGGCAGGGTGGGGGGTTTAGGCGCGAGCTCGCTTCGTTAGTAGTGTAGGATCTCGTTGGGTGGCCCCTAAGCTTTCCCCAGCTTTTCCGTGGTGACTCAACAGGCGCAAATCAAAGTTGCTTCTTCTTTTTCCCCGCAATGGATTGCCTAGGCACCTTCCACTCGCTGAGTCCCCCTCCTTCCTTCCACCAGAGCACATCACATGTCCGCGCCTTCCCCCTTACCAAGTCAACACAAACCCACTTTCATCTGCGTCTGCGTCTGCATCAGCCCACAACTGACTTTCTCTCTATACACAATGGGGTTACATCCTTCCCTTGGATCATTCCAAGCCAGTCTGTCTTGCTGACTGCCTACGTCTCTTTCGATCCCAACCATTTCTTAGACAGTCTTTCCTTTTCTTTTTCTCAACCGACAGACAGCATGGGATCCCGGCCGCAGTCGCATTTCGAGTCCGCCGTCTTCCCACTCAGCCAGCTATAAGGCAACGCACTCTGCTAACAGACTGAAAGTTAGATCGTTTCCATCAAAAAACACACTACTTCTATCTTAAACCCTGCCTTCTCTACCGGGTCTCATGAATGGCCGATCTCCCCGATGATCAGGCTGGCGTTCCAGGGTCATTGGACTCTCTCCTGCCTTGCGATGCATGCCGACGGAGGAAGGTCAAGTGCTCTAAGACCGAGCCATGTGACAGATGTGTCGGTGCGGGCCTAAGATGCACAAGGGACATTGCGCGCAAGAAAAGAGGCCCCAAGAAGGGCTCCGGCTCTGTCATTGCCAGACTGCGAGATGAGACTCTCTACACGTCCGCCCAAGATCTTGCCTTGCCAGCATTTGATCTCTCTCAGCTGCAATTACAGATGCCCTCTTTGACCAGAACCATGTCGGGCGATAGTCCATTGGACTCACCTCTTACCTCTCCCACCACCTCGCATTTTAGCGATGCCCTTGGCCCTACCTCTGACCCAGCCAACGTTCCGAGATCTGTACCACTAGGAATGCAAAACGGTACTGAGTTCGAGCCCAATGCTTATTCTGCCTTCACCCAAGCCGGCATCCAACTTCCTGCTTCATGGCAGATGCAACCATCTGAGCAACTCCTACTCCAGGCCCCAATTTCACCAAACGGCTATCTATCTGTGAGCGACCTAGCCCAGCAGATCTTCCCAGAGCAGATGCCCACATCTGCCCCCAGCTCTACTCTCTTGCCTCCTCGGTCAAATGCTCAGACTCCTTCCAGGACCTCAACTCCGATCACCCAACCTGGCTCACTTGATGCCATGTTGAAAACCAATGCGGCCTCACCTTCTACCACAACCACAGGTTCTCCTTTGCCACTTTATGGTCCAAAGTATCTCTATCGAAGCGATTCCGGAAACCTTGCTATAGAACCCAGGATCCAAGGTCTGAGTTCCGAAGTCGGCATGTCCGCATATCTAATGTCTCAGTGCATTCGCCAGTATTTCAGGCATTTATACCCTATTCGGCCCATGATCCACGAATCTTCATTCCACCAAAGGATGCAGTCGAATGAGGACCTGTCCAACGAAGAGAAGATCCTCATCCTCTCACTTTGTGCCATGACAGTCCTGCATGCTGCCCCACAATCAGACTTATCTATGGAGAAGAAATGGCAACTTGGTACACAATTCCTCAACATATGTTTCTTCCTGAGAAGCAACGCCGATTGGGCCGAAAGTGCCACGTTGTTGTCGGTCCAAGCAAGCTATCATATATGTGTCGCCCTGTTCGAGCTCAAAAAACCACGTGCCCATCACTTCTATATTCGCGAAGCTATTGGCATGGCTATCGATCAAGGGCTTCATTTGGATAGCACCTACATCAATATGGACGACATTCAATCAATTTGCGCACGACGCACTTTTGCTATTCTCTTTATCACTGAACGTGGCCTGGCCATCCTGCGGAATAAACCAACCTTGATCACTCAGATTCCACCCCTTACAACGGAATATTTCGATGAGCAAGACGGTCTCGTGCTAGCTGGATTTTCCGCTCTGGTGAACCTCTTCTCCATTCTAGACGACAAATTCGTCAAGCTTTGGAACAGCAATTCTGCCGACGTGTGTGATGAACCGATCGACAACGTAGCCATACTGCAGCATAATCTGAACGAAACTACCTTTGACCACTTTGCCATGACTGACATCCAGAAAGCCGATGTCCTCATCACCCATCAATGGTTGCGCCTTATCTTCTGGCAAGCTTCAATGCGTCAAGGTCTCATCTCTTATAGTGCGGCTGATCCTATCTTCTCATCCTCTTATCCCATCACGATAGCCAAAGACCTCTGCACATTCATTACGGCCCATCAACTCAGCTACGACTCTATACTCGTGCATGGCTTAGGCATCTTCGAGAAGCTGTTTGAGATAGCCTATACTCTGATGGATGCTCTGACAATCTCAAATTTCAATTGGTCCGACTCTTTGGAGTTGAAGTATCTCTTTGATGTGTTAGCTGCTAGTCCTAATAGTCAGAGCACTTATGTTAAAATGCTCACGACGAAGATTGAAAGCGAGAGGAGTCAGGCCAACAGCCCTCACGGAGCAACTGGTTAAAGAATTAAATCATCGATCTTTCCGGCTTGGAGGTCAGGTTGCTCTACAACCCATGCTCTTCGTTTCACCTGCCAACGCTTCTGGACTTTATCGTACATTGACACAAGTCCCTGCTTTAGAGAGCCTAGCTATCTTGCTTGCTGATCATATCTGACCGCTGACGCATCTGGTAATCTTCACCCACCAAGCAAACGGTCTGTGTGCTCAATGCTCTACAAACCATTGGAGAAAATTAGGAATTGCGGTGGACCTGCACCCCAATATCGAACATTAGGCAGATTACAAGACAGCTCTAGATCTGTTTTGTGTTTTCCACTGTCCCAGACCCGCCGCAACACGGATTCGTGTCAGAGGAGTAAAGTCTGTCAGCGTCAGAGTGAGCAGTGACTTATTGAATACTCTGAGGACTTACTGAGAAGGCCGCCGATTTCTTTCGCAATCACTCGTTCAAGCGTTGATTTCAGTAAGAAACATAACGAGTGGTCAGTGGTGACAAAGCGACCAGATATCAAAACACAATTCGACTGCAAGAACTGTATGCACGCCCCTCGCCCTTCGCCTACGGTGCAGTTTTAGAATGATCTTGCTACAAATTCATAGAACGCCGATTTTTCTCCCTCCAAACCGCTCAGCCAGACCCCACCATCAGTCAGTCCAACACTATTTTGGAACAAAGTACTCTGTGCTCGCCGTTTCGAAAGCTTGGGGTGGCAGCCACGGTATCCAATTTTGCAGTACTTTGCAACCTTTTCACCAAGCAACACGTCGAGCAAACCACCAGAACAATTCTCAAAACTATACCCACTTTGAGAATTTGTCGCATCGATTACGTGCCATCCGAGGCTCGATTCTGTTGCTGCTGCGCCACAAAGAGACATGGAATAACAAGCAGAATACGCACGATGAATGCCAGCCTTGGCACACGACTGTCAACGTAGGCTGTGTCTACTCATTATCACACATCACACACCTCGTGTAATTGGAGTGACCTTGCAAGACGGCCACGGGTGCGGAGAGAAGAGAACTGATGCGGTCAATCCCCAGTCCGACTATGGGACTGGAAAATGCGGTCCCTTCCGCAGTCCCGTCTGTCTGTCGCAATCCTTGAATGTTGTGTGTGCACACTTGGGCCATTAACCAATTAGCGTTTGATACCAATTACCCCCTTCAGAGCTTTTCGGCTTGCCCATAAGCATCAAATATATATATATATATCCAACTATGACAGGTTTTCCCAACCATTTTCAGGGTAGAAAAACATGTCTCCATATTCTTCAAACCTAAACGAGGGATTCTTTAACGATGGGGTAAATCGATCTAGTGTGAGCTCTTGTGGACAAGCAAGAGTACTGATCGAAATACAGATTGAACATGATCTCAAGTTCTGCGGAAGCTGGGCAGATCCAATCTTGCAAAACCGTGCTCAACTCGACCTGACATTTGACACCTTGGAAGTAGCAGAGGGCGGATGGAAACTCGCACTCATGGATGGGAAGACACGCAACACCCTCAAGAGCCTTGAACAAATTTCGACTTCTGGCTGCGGCCTGAAATTTGGAGACGTCTCTGGCGGGTGGACCTTGGTGGATTACGATACGAGCACTTTGTTTGAAGGCTTCGTTCGAAGGAGCGATCTGTAAGCTACTCATCACCAGACCATTAGAGATGGCAGCCACTCGGCGGCCGGTGTTCACGGAGGCTAGAGGAGGGCGCGGTTTTCGCCCTGATGCGATAACTATGAACTGGAGGAGGCCTTCCATCGTTGATACCCAACTTTCGCAGACGACTGGGTTTTACAGAACCTGCACAAACTTCACGGCCCACGATGCTGCCGAAGTATATACCCAGAGACATTCAGATACATTCAGATATCTCACATATTACAACCAACCCTTCTGTAGCTTGAATCTCATCACCTTGCATATTGTCAAACTCAGCACTTATAGTGCACGTCCATCGAAAGCAAGTCATGATGAATGCATATAATGATACAACTAAATGCTATGAAAGTGGCGTCTGGTCTAACTGAGATCGGGGGGATTGTCCCAGGACCATTTCTGAGGAAGGCCAACTGGCCGAGACAGGGATATAATCCCTCAAACCCCCTAGTTGGGGAGCATTAGGTGCCCAGTTCCCAGCCAGATGACGCTTAGCGTTGTCGAAGACACAAACCCAACTCGACGCAAACCCAACCCTAAAACAAAAGGGCGTGCATGAAATGGCCAGAACAGATATCAATCAGCTGTACCTGCCCAGCCAATCGCCTTCTCAGAGTGCGAACTGCAGGACTACTTGGCCAACTAGCTAGTGAACAGGGTTAGTAGACAACAGCCGCCTTCTCGGGCCTCCGACCAGTTTTGTGAAGCTTACTACCCAACGCGATCCAGCCGTTGAAGGGAGCGAGCGATACGGGAACGGACGGCCCAATAAATGGTGAGCCTCGTCGTCCTCTGCGTCGCCGGGGCCGCGTGCAATAAGGTCCATCTCAACAGATTCTTCAGTGTGGTCAGTGGCCACTGGTCATCGTGAGGCGGGTGAGGTACATAAGGTTGACAGCGGGCTGACCAAGGCTGTTTGTCACGAACTGCTAATTGACATTTACGCTCTCTCTTGCTCTCGCCTCAGTCAACCTTCATGCCAGTCCGATTGCCTAAGGGGACGCAAGTGACACGGCGATCCAGGTACGGTGGAGTTCCAGGGGATACGGGCATGTCAGCACTTTATGTTCCTCCCTTCGCTTCAAAGCGTCTAAATGTTCGGTTAGTTATGGATAGTCTCCCTCACGGAGTCCACTCTCGCCCCGGGTTTCGGTTCGCATATTTGTTTCGCTCGTTTTCCATCCCAACTTGACTACACCGTCCACTGTCCGCCGTACGGCGTGCGGCGTGCGGCGATTCTTCCGCGGCTGTTGAATGTGGCAGGCGTACCGTGCATACACTGCTGGGCTTCCCGGTTTCCTTTTTGGTTCTTCCCGATCTCTGGTCGTTGCATGTATATTTGCAGGCATAGAGGCAGGTTTTTTCGCAACTCGAAACCTCATTATATGCTGACCGGTGAGCGGGCTGGAACCTCGATGCGGACCGTGTAATAATGTAACATAGATGTAACCTTGGGCAGCAACAAAACAGTAAATTGCAAACTTTTCCATTCTCCCAGACCTTGGCTTGTCTGGGCCCTGGCCAGACATTGGATGAGAGACACGGAGAGAGAGCTACAATCTTTCGGGCTCGCGGGCTCGCGAACGCGCAGCCGCGGGCTCACTTGTCTGAGGCTTTAGGGCGTCTGGACTCGATATACGAACTGCAGGGGCGTGCCGAGTCGGTTAGTGCTCACCGTGTTCGACTCTTAGTTCGGTTTCTTGCGCGTTTTCCTTCATTGTGCATTCTATCATTTGCAGGCAGGAGATGGATGGATTCCATCTTACAACTTCCCTAGGTTCGGTAAGAACGAGCCCGGTTCGATAGATGTTATCCTTTACGGAGGACAAGCTGGGATTGGGTGAACTATTTGATTTCCTTGCAAGATGGAAATGAAATGGCATTGATGTCGTATGTAGACAGACAATGAGGACTTCGCTATCTTAAGGAACGGCTACTAGTTAGGAACAGCTCGACACCACCCACGTGACCGGCGAGGCTCTGACAATAGGGAGGCAAGACTCCTCAATCCCCAGGCCCACGGTGGCACTATCACATTTTGAAAGGACCAGTCAACTGCCACTGCTGGGGACCAACCTGTTACGCTTGGCCACCATTTACGGCTTTCGTTATTAGTGAGGGAAGATCTGTCCACCACCTAAAAGTTCCACTGAAATGGTAAAACAGAACATCTCATCCTCGGCGAGCGCAACATTGTTCACCCTGGATTGGCCATCTTGGGCACGATGGTGAAATAATTTATATTTTCGGCTTCGAGGGCTGCGACAATCTCTCCGGCGAGACTGAGGCACCTCTCTTCTTGGAATTGCCGTGCGACGATCTGGATGCCTACTGGCGCTCCATCGTACGCGTCCGCATTGTCTGGCTCATGGTGTCAGCGTGAGAATAGTGGCTCAAGAAGCTAAAAAGGCAACTTCTTCTCCACCTCTCATAAACAGGGGAAGGGGGAAGTGTGCTTTCGGGTTTTGCTTACAGGCTTCCCAGTTCATCTTGTCAGTTTTATTCAACGGAGTGTAGTGCTTTTCAGCTTTGTCTAAGCCTCTGTCTGCTTTGGTGACAGGAATGACGATGCTGGTGTAGTCGAGCAAGTTGATGACGTCGGAGTAGCCTGCATATGGGATGACCAGGGCGTCTCAGCAAACCATATGTAGTCAGTAGGGAAGGAATTTTCGTTACCGTAGTAGTAATAATTACCCGGAATCACGGCGGCGTGGGGGGCAACTGGCATGATGAACGCATCTGCGGGCCTTCCAGTTCCGGCCTGTTCGATCGTGGAATTCCAGTATTCCCTGTACCGTTGGCGATATTCGATTCTATGAAGACCCAAGGCCTGGAACTCTAGTAGGCTCAGGGGTGGTTTAGGACCTGCACCCAGCTGACCTACCAGTTCTTTAATCGGCGCTTCCCCAGAGAGTCTCAGCTGCTCCCACGTATTCGCCCCGCCATCGGAGTACATGAATCGATTCTGGTTCAAGTAAATAAGAGTTATCAGCAAATCTGTCCTCTCATAGAGACCAGCGTAATATTTACATGTATTTGACTTCCTTCGCGGTGTGAAGGAGGATTCCATCTGATGGTCTGTTCATTTGGGGTCAGTTACCTGTCCAGTGCATGAGGCGAACGTCAAGCAGAAAGCAGAAAACAGAACCCGTAAAACTCAACGAGTGGGGCTTTCACATTATGGCCTTTTCTCTTGATTGCCTTTTCGATCATGCGTAGAGCACGAAGAATTGGAGGATGTGGTAGGACGAAATCATCGCAGCTCAGGAAACCAAAACATAATCTGTCCTCGATCTTTTCGTATTCAGGCCTCCATGGCATGGGAACGACTTCTGCATCAGATATCCAAGGTTTGGTCGAGAGCAGGGCGATTTGAATCAATCTAAGGGATGCCAGAGATGTGGACATGAAGCCCACCGCGGACTTGACGACCGTCTGTGCCGGATTCTTAAAAGGCCGCACATATGTCAGTTGTGATTAGACATTTCCTTGAGTAGGGAAGGAGCCACCTACGCTATTTGCTGTGTCCTTGTATGGAAAACGTGCAAAGGACGGCTTGATAGCATATATACCACAAAAGGCGGCGGGGATCCGCACGGAACCGCCTTACTCAGTGCATCAGTGGACCGAGACAGATCTGTCAAACAGCTTGCAGTACCAATATCTGTGCCGATACCAAGACAGCTTCCTCCTAGAGCAAGAAGAGAGGCTTCTCCTGGAGGTGAGTGCTTGTTAGCATATATCTTATAAGTCGTGCTAGTAATCATACCACCAGAGGAGCCTCCACAGGAGAGTGCTTGGTTGACGGGGTTCATTGTGTATCCGTTAATGTTGTTGTGAGTTTCACCGAGCTAAGATGTCAGAATGTGCCGACTGCCCGGTATTGGAGGTTTCAGAATAGACATGATTCGCGGACTAGTGTGATATTTGGCATACATACCAGAAGAGTCTGTGGAAGACTTGTCTAGATCAACCCAATTAGCCATAGATGGGCGAATGTAGAAGGATAGATTACCTTGCAGTATAGTACCGCTCCAAGCTTCAACAAATCCTGGACTACAACGCTTTCCCTCTTTTTATACTCAGGGCTCTCCGCAACGCCTTCAACTGTATTGATCCAACCGACGTATCCCATGGTGGTTTCGACGCCTCTGACATAGAATTGGTCCTTTAGACTGATTGGGACCCCATGAAGAGGCCCAAGGACAGTTCCAGTTTGCTCTTGGAATCTATCAAGCTCCTCGGCCCTCTGAACTGCCTGGTCAAAAAAAATCTCGTGGAGACAATTGTTCTAGTCCATTAATGAGTCTCAAGATCCATGACATTGAGACTGCTCGTGGTCCTTAGTACTCACAATCTGATGTGCCACTGCTGCTCGGTGGCAGAATGCAAGGGTCGTCTCCATCACTGTCAGGTCGCGCTGTTTTATTCTTTTGGCCAGTTCTGGAGCAGAAAGTGCTGTGATCGCTGCAGCTGCCTTATCGAGGAAGCTGATAATGAAATCCCCGGTAATGTCACGTCTGCTGCGTGCCTGTTCTAGCTCTGAATCCGACAGGAGCCATTCACAACGAATCTGGTATGATGTCTCCGCAATCTTCTGAGCGACCGACGACGTCCAATCGCTATTGAGTCGCGGTGTCCAGAAATTTGATATCCACTCCATGGCATGATTCGACGAGCAAGATTACTTCAACCCGGAGTTGACATCTTTGAATGCAATGTCTCACTCCCTTTTTAAGATACTTCAAACACTGGATATAATCTAGAAAGAGCTCCTTCTCGGAACTACCCTCGTGGCATTGCATTGCAGATAAAGGCAACCAAAGAATCCGGATGATGGCATGGTTACCTCGAACCACCGATATTCAATGTCTGACTCGATCGCTGCTGCGTTGTTTTGCAGAACGTTGGTCAGAGCAGGACTGATTGAGCATGGTCAACTGACAGCCTGCGAAGTTTGCCTTTTTCTTTTTGTGGAGGGTACATAATTTCTCCTGTTCTAGGTGTGCGGCTGAAATTGCATGTCGCTCATGGATGTAATGGACGGAGTGGTTAACCCGGATATGTTTGGAGCGTACTGTTATGCCACTGGCAAGTGATATGGATTTACACTGGAGAGTATGCAAGGTGTCATTCGGGCGTCCATGCAATGTTTCCAGCTGACCACGTAGACTGACATGGCCACTAGACCGGGCAACGTGCTTCAAAGCTCACCGACTGTGAATTTGCTCTCCGCATCACACACCGGACTGACAACAACTGCCAATCATGACTAGCGCTTCTTCAGCACTCAAGGGCTGTTGGCTGCATCCCTTTTCGCGTTTGGGCATCACTCTGCTGCCGTTGCAGGCAGATAAGTGTGAGCTCAAGAAAGGTAATCGGGCCTGCTTCTCCCTTTCAAGGAGTATACCAATATTTCGTAGACCTCGAGAGGCTTGTGGGTTTCTTTTATATCATGGTTCTGTGTCACCCCATTAGACTGTACTCCCGGTGGATCGTAAATCTTCAACTTAGACCGTCAACCTTTGGTAGACTTGCTCCTGCAAGGGTTTCGCTCGGCTGACGGTCTACGAGTAGGAGGTTGCTACGGAGGACAGCGACGGACTTCGGCCCCTGACTCTCCGATCCCCAACCATGGATGATCCTTTCAGTCCTCCTACGGACGATAGGTGGGTCACAGCACGCGTGAAGAGCGGCGGGACTACTCTCTGGCCGGATCAGCAGACGGTTTCCATACCTTCTGGTCAAGAAGTGAATCTTTGGTCTCCCTATCAAACTCCTCGACCGTTGGGGGCGCGATGTGGTGGAGGAATTCAGACTCACACGACCTTCGACAATGTTCTCTCCAATGGATCAACTCGACTTCCGCTGCCTTTTCCAGCCACAATGCCTGGCATGATAGTTCGAAAGCATGGTAATCCAAATGCCTCCTCTGTGCATTACTCGTCATCACCATCATCATCGCAATTGGAGCCATGCCAGGAGGCCTTCGAAGAAGTACACGATGCATCCAAACGCAGCTATTCAGTCTCATGGAGAGACTCTTTGTCTCAGGAGATTGGTCCACCTGACCTCAATGGCAGCTACGGCTCGAAGAAGCAGTCTGACCCGCCTGAAATTCGAGCACTTTGGAAATTAGTACAGGACAAAGACAAGGAACTCAGTCTCAAGGATGATATCATAAGAGGCCTCCTGCAATTGCAAGATGCTATCAAGCCTAGCGAAGCAGGAGCTGCTCCCAAGCAAGGCAAGAAGCGTGCGCGCATGGCAGATTCAATGAGTGAATCCTCTGACTCTGGTGGTACCTTGAACGAATCGACTTTGGGCCCTGGGAAACGAAGTCGCTTCAATGAGACCGCTCGCAAGCAAACGGCAATGACTCGCGAATGTCGTGCATGCATCAGATGTCGAAGATTGAAGAAACGGGTGCATTCACCTCCTCCCTCCCGCTAGCAAGAATACTGAAACTGATTCTTGCTCTAGTGTCCCCTGCCCGGTGATCCCAGAGATCCCTGTGGGAACTGCAAGGAACTCTCCCTAGCATACCAACGAATCCCCTGCATAAGAACCCGCATAAGCGACATCACTATCTTTAGACGAGGTACATATTCCATCGGGCTTCCTCCCCATCCCAGAATTTACACGTCATCTGCTAACTTGAGCCCTCATCAGGAACGACCCAAAATGATACCTGGACACTTCGAGGGGAGATCTACTCACTCAGCGACCTGAATTCATATTACCCTTTTCCAGCCCGGAAGGTGGAGCTGACGCAAGATTTTGGGCCAACATTGCAAGTTTACGTCAAACGCTTCGTTCCCGTCACAGGTGATGTGACTTCATATCGGTGGAAGTCGAAAGATGGAACAGAACATGAGGTGGAGATGCCTACTTACGCTATCTTTGACACCACCTCTACGAGGACTGCTCTCAACCAGTATGTTGACCATCAAATAGTCTCGTACTTGGATACCCACCTGGACAATGGGGACTTCCTACTTTGGGACACGTTTCAGATGGCGCTAAGAGGAGATGTAGGTCAACGGTCAAGCTCACCTTGGGCTTCGATCCCAACTTATTATTATACTACTGACATTATACAGTGCCCACTCCTTCAAAAAACCTTGAGGCTCTGGATGGCCGCTCGTCTCATAGAAAAGCCGTGGAGGATTTGTGGCGAAGACACCTTGGGGATTGAGTGCGTTCAGAAGAGCGACAGTCCATTGTTCAATACCATTCCAATAACACCCGTGATGGATACACAACTGGATCAAATCGTGATTCAGTCCATTCTCCTGCCACTGCGGAAAGAAGTTCTCCAGAGGTTGCAGGTCAAGTTCGAAAAATTTCAGCGGAAAGATTGGTTCGAGATTTTCGCCACAGTATTCATTCTTCTAAACACCATCGAGATTGCTACCAGGCATGATCACGAATTTGCGACCAGCTACGGCCACGTGGTAGGTTTTAGGTGCCCTTGAACTCGCACAGTAAATCTAATTTTATTTTTCCATTGTCAGAGCCCCACGGGTGGAAAAAGATTCGAAGATTACAAATTAGTCGATTCTTATTTCCATGGAGCACAAACTCTCATCGCTCACTTCAGAGATGCTCCAGATGGCCACACACCCATAATACAAGCCTCCACAGCTCCTGAGAAGGTCGCAAAGATGGCAGAGATGAACATTGAAGAGACAAATTTCATGCATCAACTGCGGAACTACATGAATGATGGCAAGAGAGGTTGGTTGCTCCAACCCCTATTACTACTTATTACTTAAGATACTAACCAAACCGAGAAACTGAATTCCAGAAACTGAAGGAAACTCATTCCTATGAAACGCCCCTTTACTGGGGTCATCAGCTCTTTGCAAAGACATGGGATGGGAGGCCTATCCATATTCGAGAAATCGAAGCAGCATGAACATTGGTCGTTCGCAAATGAAAAAAGAGAAGTCATCCCTCGAAAGCAATCCAAGACGGGACAGGGGAATTCGTAAATCACCAATCGTCAATCGTCAATCATCAAAGGCCTCCCAAAGTACAAACCATTCAGCCGTGGCAAGATTCCCTGCCATTGATAACATGCGCCCTCCCATGATTGGGCGACATGTGCCACACAGGCTCTCTGGCTCGGCCATAAATATGTTCCCAGGGAAGCTGCAGCTCGTCGGGTGTTTTCCAGGCTAGATCCTCATTCCGAAGCCACATTCGGACCAAATGTCGTTGGCGGCTGTCGTCACCATCTTGGAAAGCTTCTCGTGCGTGGAACAAAGCCAAATTGTTCAGAAATTGGATGTCGCCTTTCTCCAGCTGGATATCTAAAGCGTGCTTCTCCGCTGTGAAGTGTACAGCATCCAGAGCCTCTGCCTGAGCTTCTCTCAAGGGAGGGAAATGGGCTGGTCTTGGAGACACAACCGATCCTGTCAACTGTCGGCGGGAGAAACAGAAAAAGACACGCCGGCTTTCTACATCATGAAAGAGGATCGGGCGCTTATAATACGCTCCTGTGTCGTCATGCCTTCCCACCGATCATTAGATGAAATTGACATCTGCTAAGGATTTCCAGCCACTGACTTATCGAAGACCCAATCTCCTTTGACCATCTCTTGAATAAGGTCAGGGCGAGCCCCCGCAAGCTCGTTGTAGACCTTGGATGTCGAAGCCACTCTGCTGGTGCCCCCAGTCAGAGCACGGTCAATGCAGTACAGGGCGATGATATCGCCAAGGTCATTATGAAAGGGCTGTCGGCTCATCAGTCCTGCTAAGAGCTTTTTGTATCAAGTTGGGGGCACACCTGGGCGTTGTTCGCGTAAGGGGATTGCCTTTGATCATCTGGGGCGACGTCTGCGCCAACGTTGCGAATGTGGACTGTCCTATTGTTAGAAGCCGTGATAATGATATTGGATCTAGGGATCTAGGAGTGAACAAACCGAGAACATTTCCATCCTTATCCTGGGTGCCACGGGTACTGCCAACATAAGACGCAATGCCTGCATAGATCAGGATGTTGTCTTCAAAGCTGTATTTGGACGGGTCAAGTCCTCGAAGAATCCCAATGCCCTGCCCAAGATGAACCTCTTCAGCGACTGAATCTAGAAGAGGCTTCAAGGACGGTAGAGGGAATGTGCCTGGGCAGATCTCGTTCTTGGAGATGTTCAAGCCTGCCAATACGCTGATTAGCACGATTACTCCATATATTTTTCATGCGCTAGGGACCAGCCTTTGAAGTGAGACAACGCAATTTCTATCTCAGAAATTTGGACTTCAGACAATGTTCGAAAGAGCTTGCTGGTATCGATACTGTCGAATGACCAGCATGCAGCGCTTGAGACGAACTTGGGGAATTTATCTGGAATTGTGGCATGCGGAATGCCTTGTTTGAGACGTCGAGCAATCCTTTCAAGATACTCAGCCCGGGATGGGACCCAGTCGATTTTGGCACCGGGGACAACGGCCGGCCGATCTAGATCCTTGTATTGCTGTCGCAAGGATATCTTCACCTTACCAGCAGGGAGGTCGTCAAAGTCGAACTCATTGTCTGCAGGGTAATCACGACGAACGGCGTCCACAAGAATACCAGGTGGAGACATCTTTTGAATAACTGAGCTACGCTGTCGGAAGGACCAGAGTTCTGGGACGAAGACCTGGGAGCAGAATATGACTTGTCATCCACGACTATAGATGCTTTGTCCAAGGTCTATCTCCCCACTCAGGTGTCGATCCATATTTATACCTCCACCAACTCCGTACGGGGGGTGAGGGAGTGGGGCAAGTACTTGGTTGTTGATCGATCACAACACCAGTGATTGTCAACTATTGGATGTTAGGCATGGTCTCTTCCTTTTGTGGACTCGGTCTCGTGCTTCTCAGTCAAGGTTGTGCGGTCCTACAGAGGCATCGCAACTGCTGGCCCCTCTCCTCAAGTCCCTTCTGCGACTCCCACTGGGGATGGTGCAAGCTGATCAAGGTTCAAGGATTGGGTGAAAAGGCAGTCTCCGGGTGAGTTTGTCGCACCGGATCGGATAGGGGATGGGGCGAGCAAGGCCAGGACCTATGATGAGTGGTCAGCGGTTGTGTTCAGTTCAGGCAGGGTTTGCCAGTTCTGGCAGCGCTTATGTTGTGCTACATCGGCAAATGTCCCACAGAGGCCAATCGGTGCTTGCTTGGGGGTCTTGACTGCTCGGACCTTGACTTATGCCGTAAATATGCGGCGGTCTGGCCTGGATGGCTTAGGGATGGGGGCAGTGGCTCTGATGGTGAAATGAAGCGCACCACACAAAATCCTGAGACTTCTAGTGGGAGACTTCTGGCAACTAAGAGGTGGATCAGAGATGCTCTGCCGCAGAATGGGAAACTATCGCCTTTCGTCAGCTCCAGGGACGTCTGTGAGGAGAATCAGTCGTTCCTGGGAGATTGCTCTGGGCCACCACATGCTTTCTCGCGAACCAGGAGATGGTGATAGCGTCAGCTGCTGAAGGGGGAAGCGCGTCTGTGTTGATCAAACTCAAGGATCCAGGATCACCCAGTGCGCAGATGTTCATCCACTGGTGGATTCAGACATCATTCTGCATCCGCGATTCCGAGCTGCATCATTGTTTTCTCACAGGCCAGAAGCGTCCCCCGGGCTGCCAGGTATTCCACTCTAGGTTGGAAGAAGGATCAAAAACATGTGCAAAGATAATGGGAAGCTCCCAAGTCCTCACCCCCATCCCAGGGTGTTTCTAACGGGAAGTCAGACGACCGACCCGGGCCATCCTTTCCCATTCCACCCCTTCTCAGACTTCGACGCATACTTGGGAGAGGGTTACGATAACGAAGACGTCAGAGGGTGGCCTTCATCCAATGAGTTATGAGCGTGGGGAGGTGCTCGCATACATATGACCCTCGTAAGCGTGGTAGGTTCATGTGTGGCTGCTTTCGTGTAACCATCGGCCGGAAGTTTAGCCGCAGAGCCTCATCACCCCTGTCCTCCGCGGGGCGATTGGACGGTTGGATTTGGAACGAGGGCGTATGTCTGGCTATGGTCTAGATTCTGACTGTGGGTATTTGCCGCCCACTTCGTTTGTTGAATGGCATGGGGTTGAGGAATACAGCCTCAGGCATGCATCGATCAAGACGGAGACCCACTGCAGCATGAAAATCCAGACGGGGCGTATGGCTTCCAACTAGAAAAGAAAAGTCACCTGGCCTTCACTGTGAATTTCAGGTGCAAGTGGTAGTATCAAGATTTGATGGGCAGAGGGCAGCATAAAAGGGGGGAAGTAAGTGTACTGTCCGGGCAGCATCAGTGAGAGCAAGCAACGTATACTCAAAGGGACAGGGATGCAAGATGCTTTGCGCCAAGTGAGAGTGAAAAAGAGGCCTGAGAACAGAAAATAATGGGATGGAGAAAGTGGTTGGAAATAAGACCGCTGATTTGATATTCCGAGCTTCGTTAGGCTTGTATTGTGGTATTCATTTCATACAGATGATATAAAGTCAATTGGTGTTTGATAAATGATGTACAAGACATAGACGTAGCCGCGAGACGCTAGAGCTATCACAGCTCCCGAGCCTACTCTGATTGTGGATCGATGCGGCCATGGTAACGTAACGGGAGGGTTGAGAGGGGTCGCTTTTTTTGGGTCTGGAGTCACACAGGCCGACAACATAAGCACCAATCCCCATTCCACCCGTGCAAGTAACCAGCCCGGCATATTAACATCCGGTACCGAAGCTTCTATCGACAGACCAGCTAGCAGCTGTAACAAAATCGACCTCATTCCCGGCGGGGAAAGCATCCACGTTGGCGATCTCCTCAGCAGCGCCCATGCGTTTGACCAGAATTCTCTGCACAGGATTCTCTTCCAAGCACTTTCTTATCTTCGAGGACGGGTTCGTGATCGGCATATCGACGATTCCGGGAAGCACCGCACTGATACGGACCCTCTCTCCCACATAATCTATAGGATCGGACCTCGTTAGGGCTGAGACTCCGGCCTTTGCACCACAGTATGCATATGTACCTTCAGCTATTCCGGAGTAGAGAGCTTCCAACGATGCAGAAGCAACTAGACATGATGGGCTTTGACTTTCGCTTAACACTTGCAAGAAAGCGGAGAAGCGGGTTTGGGAGGCGCTGAACGTTCGGTATGTGAAGGCCGTTCTCTGAGGTTGGAGTGACAAACGTGAGTTTGAGTGGAGTTGCATCGAGATCAATCGAGATCAGTATCTTAGAAAAAATAGTCATCATCGCCATCCTTTTTGCGGCCTGGCCTTGATGGCTGAGCTGAGATCTGCCTTGATCCGTTTGCCGGTCGCCGAGACTCTTTGAATGCATCTTTGAAAGTGTGGGCGTAGTCGCGTACATTACTGCATCCGTTGTTATCAAATCTTGCCCGAGCCTCTGGGAGATATCTGAGGATTGCATCTTTGCGGTTGTAATGGGAAGGGTGGGTGCTTAGAAATTGAGGCGGCTCTGAGGGGTTTCCTTCCTTCATGCGTGACCAGAAGGCGGCGGCACTCTCTGGATCGAAGCAGCTGTCCGCCATCATGAGAAGGCCGATGTAGTCAGCCTCGAGTTCTTGGGTTCTATTGTTTGGGAGTGCCAAAAACAAATTGGAAACAACATTGCCGAGATCTCCGCCAACATCGAAGACGAAGGAAAGGAGAGTAGCGACAAGGACAACAAAGGCGCCTCGGGACATCTTCTCGGCAGTGTGATGGGCAATATCATGAGCAATTTCGTGAGCCAGAACAGCCGCCAGGCCGTTATCATCCATGCAGATGGGGAGGATGCCGGTGAAGACGAAGACCTTCCCGCCTGGCATGACAAAGGCGTTTTGTTCCTCGGGCGAGTCGATGACATGTACGCGCCATTCATCGTTGGCCAATCCTCCAGTGGCAGGAAGTAGTCGTTCCACGACTTTGGCCACCATTCGGGTTACGGGATGGTCGGCTGGTAGGATCTTGCCTTGGTACTGTTGTAGAATCTGGCTGTATCCTTCGGCTCCCAACGACTTCTCAGTTGCGGGAGAAATTATATTGAAGCGGCGTCTGTGAGTGATAGGCACCTCTTCCAAGTTGGCGACATAGAAGATTCCACCACCAGTGCCAGCAACCACGACGAAGGTGCGATAGTTTCTCCAGACGTATTGGAGGCGATATACGGGCCCAAAATTGCTCCATTGCTGTCCTTGCTGGCCTTTACCTCGTGGTGCCTGCCAGCCCAGCCTTGGATAATAACGCGGCCGCGAGGAAGTGAAAAGGCGCGATTGCAGCAACGAAGGGCACTTGAGTGGAATGGTGGCGGAGGTATAGGGACAAGGTCGGGCAACCCGGGCGGCGACCCTCAAACCTGCCCGGAATGCAAACATCGTGGCATGGAGAAGAGCAATCAGATGTGAGGAGGTATAGGTAAGGGCATGGTGAGATGAAGTCGCATATGCGAGGAGAGGATGCCTGGACGGTGGTTCTAGAAGTCAAGGGAACTCTTGAAGGCATGGATGGTATTGATGGTACGTGTCGTTTCCCTAGGCAAGCTGTGGGTGTACTGTAATTCCCGGTATTTTTACTGAGGGGAGTCGAGTATGACGCAGGCGGAGAAACCCCCCCCAAAAAACAACCACGACCACGACCACGGCCATTAACCATCAACTTCCCACCAAGTAAACAACTCAATCTGTTCCATACCACTCTTCAGGTCCTTCCGAGTTCCCTCTAAATCATGGATCTCGTCGCCTACTCCGACTCAGAGGGTTCGGATGACGAGAAGGCGCCTCCAAAACGCGTCCAACCCGACCCAAATCCACCCTCTAAATCCACCTTTGCCGTCAACAAGGCCAATCCAAGAAAGATCCAAGTCAGATTACAGGACACTAATGGTTCAGATCTCGAAGAGCCGGCGACCAAAAAGCGTCGGGTCGGAGCTGGTACATTCAGCGGATTCAATGCCATGTTGCCTGCGCCGAAGAGAGATGCTGACGCAAAAATACCTCCAAAGCCTGCGGCAAGGAAAGTCTTCAGTCTGAAAACTGGTGCTGAGCCAGGCTTCAGCCGAGAAGCCGATGCTGAATTGCGCAACCTGTTTGCAGAAGACCAGGAAGGGGGCAAGGAGACAGTAGAAGCAGTATCCACCGAAGCATCCGTGGTTGAGACACCAAGGCCTGAGCCGCCCATCAAAGGGAATGCGTTCATGTTTAAACCTCTATCCGTCGCCAGAGGAAAGAAGCAGAAGAAGCCCGCTCTTACTTTTTCAAAACATGCACCGGCAACTGTTTCGGAAAAGTCCACTGCCTCGTCGGCAAGCGATACAGTTCCAGGACCCACGTCTCTTCCCGCACCCAAGAAGATCAGCCTGTTCTCCATAGGCAATAGCTCAGAATCCAAGGACACTAGCGCTGCTGAACCACTGGAGGAAGAATTAATAGCGGAGGAAACCAACGATGTAGACGTGGATGACCATCCTGCCGAAGCACCTAGCGCCCTACTCTCCTCGGCAACAGGCGCGCAATCTCTGCATTCCATTGCATCAGATCTCAACCTATCTGAAGCAGACCGAAGGCAGCTCTTTGGTCGAAGGAAAGGCCAGACATCCGGTTCCGCAATCAACGTGGTCAACTTCAATACCGATCAGGAGTATGCGGCCAACGAAGTGCTGCGCGCCAGTGGGGAACAGATTCAGCATAACCCAGTTCGCGCCATAGCTCCGGGCAAGCACAGCCTGAAACAGTTGGTCAGCGCTGCCACCGGTCAAAAAGATGCTCTCGAAGAAAGCTTTGCTACGGGGAGGAAGAACAAAAAGGAAGCCGGAAGCAAATATGGATGGTGACTATTCTTATTCATCTGATTCTTATTCATTCTTGGTTCCGACTCTCTCCACCATTGTCTGATGGCCACTGGCCTGCTAACCCAATGACTCCATCAACACATCTCCCTCGCGTTATTCTCATATTGCCAACAATGCCTCCGCTCTTGGCAGATAAACCTAAACGCTCACTGAACCCTCCAGCAACCGGATCCAAGCTCGCAAGAAAAGCACTTGATGTTACAGAAAAACATCTGAACAACAGCTGAACACATTCTCCACGAGGCTGTCTTAAGAAGCCATGGCCAACAGGGTCCAATTGATTTCTTTGCGTAGTCCTGGTCGACCCAGTTCTTCTATTCTTCTTCATGCACATCATCCCCTGGAGCCTTAGGCTCAACTTCTCACTGACCGTGGGGTCGGCGTTGTCCCTCGGCTGCTGGGCCAACGTCTGGCTGCGATGGTGGGAAGGCACCACTGTAGATACCGTCGGAGTGCTGGAATCGGGGATTCTGCGTTTGGCCAGGATAGGCCACAGCACGCCGTGGCTGACTTAGACTCAGCTCTGGCTGACCATTTACTCCCGAACGCACTGGCTAGTCTGCTCTAGCAGCTTCTGCCCTGGCAGCAGCACGATTTTGCAACATTCGCTCCAAATTCTGCCAGGGGTTGTTGTCTCGGGTCATGAGTTGCCCAAAGAAGATGTCATTGTCATGTCGAGTTTCCCACCCTATGTCTCGAGGTAACAGTGTATTTTCCGGTGCATGTCTGGCCAATTGACCTGGAACCATTGGTTGGGCGAAGCTTGGATTCCGGTTCCGAGTTGGTGCCGGCACTCTCGTCGGAACAGCCCTAGTGACAGCGGCGTGTGGAAGCTCAACATGTGGATTCTGACCAGGAAAGTAGATTTGATGGGCATCCCAGTTGAGTTGGACTTGCGACCGCTCATTGGCGCCCACGCCCAAAAATGGACGGGGCCTGGCAGTGTCTTGTATGGGGCGTGCCATTCCCAGTGCCTCAGAATATCCTGCAAACCGTCGGAGACTTGGATCCGTGGGAGTAGGGTGGTTGATCATAGAAAGGGGAAGACCCACCGGCTGTATCGGTGTCGGTGTCGGTGCCGTGGCTTGCTGGGGTTGAGGCGTTGGCGCAGGGATGTTGCCGGCGCCGAATTGAGCTTTCAACTCAGACAGAGGGAGCGGATTCGAAAACATCGCGTTCTGTGAGTCAGTGTATAGGGACGGATAACGAGGCTGAAAAGCCTGCATTCCATCGTCTTTGTCATCGTTTGTTTCCGCCTCTTCGCGCTCAACTTCCCTCAGTGCTGCCGCAGTGTCTGCCGGATTTTCAAAAGGACCAAAGCATTCACTCCTACCTGAAGGAGGCTTTGGAGTTGGCACATCTTGAGGAGTGCTGTCGTTTGTGGGTGTAGCCTCCGAATCCTTGTTGGTATCTGGATCTACAGAATCTGATGGTTCACGGCACAGGAGGTCGCTCGGCCGATCATCTAAAGGGGACTTGCCTTCTTGTCCAGCCATGGGTTCGGGGAGACAAGGGTTGCGAGGAAATGAGAGTGGTATGATAATGATGAAGAAGAAGGAAGAGAATTTTCAACCTCTCTATTATGATTGAGGTTTACTGTTGTCGGGCCAGAAGAGGCTGGAGCTGCCTGTGGTTGGTTAGTAGTCACACTGAGGCGTCGGGTTGGGGCTGGAGGCATCCGGGGACGATGAAGAATCGCTTTCATCACTGCTTCTGTTGACTCTCACCATAAACGGATTTGGCGTCGCCTGCTCATCTGGCCACCGACAGTAAACAGGTTGCTTCAGCTGCAAACATGTCGTACAGACGGGTCGCTTGAGATCGCATGCTCTGTGGCCTTGTACACAAGGTGTGCACTGGGTCTGTCGGGTTGGCATTGGTGTTTGCACAGGGCGGTCGTCCCAGGAGCGCCGTTGCTGCTGTCTCTGTGCTTGTTGAACTACGAGGAGTTTGGAGTGAGGACGGCAATGCTTAGAACGCGTACTCGCCATATTTGCTGTTGTCGTATTGCTACGCGGCGGATGCTTCGGTCTCAACAATGCCTTGGCCTCTTGTGATACTTTGTGCACCCTTCTCTTGTTTTTCTTTGCTGTTTACCGCCGTGCTGGTTTGCGGTTGACCGAGTGCGAGGGCTAGGGCGACACGCGCGAGGTTCACATATTTTCCTCGCGCAAGAGGGAGCGCTCGTACAATCATTCAATCACTTGCGTGACTAGCTTTCTAAATAAAAGCTAGTGACTTTACTAGCCATGGCGCTGGAGACAAGGCAGTTGTGGCTAACTTGATATGACTACAGGTTGAAAGTCTATGCTACACACACACACACACACACAGAGAGAGAGAGAGAGAGAGAGCCCAATCAAAAAGCAGTAGAACAAGATGGACCTTGAAGAGCATGATAATAGAGGCGATCAGACCGAAATATTGACAATTGTCCTCATCCGACCTGGTCTTTATAGTCCGGGTGTTCGAGCCGTCCTATTCTCAACGGTGTCGAGCCTTGATGGCAAGTACCAAATCAGCCACTATGAGGCGAGGCAAGATATTTAGTCCTAAAGATAAACCACCTAATGGAAAAGAAGAACCACACTATCCTTGTATTGTTCAGTTGCCCAGCCATGCACCCTGTACAAGGGAGTACATGTCTATGTATTGTCAATGCATCAAAACGCAATATCTCTGTAAGCATTGCTTCTGGTGGAACAGCTTTAGACAAGTCAGATGATACACATAGCCATATCACCAATCTCGCGTCCTGGTTTCCTTATTTAGAGTATTAGCTTTCGTAAGTCGCTACATGAAAGTAATGGCAAGGGTGGTGGTGGTCTCTGGTAGTGTTAAGACGTTTAAATGACGTCATTTCCCATTAACGCGCATCGTCCCACGTCGCGTCTTTTTGAGGCGCGCAGACGCAAAACCGCGTGGTACGGGATTTTGGAAGGTGGGATGTGTTGCATTCTTCAGGTTGGCCATCCACACATCTTGCTCGTCTAGTCTCGCTCAACATTTCTCATCCGGCCATGGCACCTGCGGCAGTCGAGACTGAGGCCAGCCCTCCACCAGGCAACGCCCTGAACTTTCTCAACGAAAATGCCAAACAACAGCAGAACGACTCACCGAATAAGTCGACCTCCACCCTCAGCCAACCAACAACCACCCCGTCCTCAAATGGAACCAAAGCACGAATTCCACATGAAGAGCACCAGTACCTAGATCTGATACGGGACATCCTCCAGAGAGGAGAACACAGACCCGACCGAACAGGCACAGGCACGCTCTCACTCTTTGCGCCTCCCCAACTCCGCTTCAGCCTCTCCAAACCCGATCCCACGTCGTCAACCGTCGAACGCATCCCCGTCCTCCCGCTCCTGACCACGAAACGCGTCTTCCTCCGCGCCGTGACCACGGAACTCCTGTGGTTTGTGTCCGGCTGCACCACATCGAAACCCCTCTCAGAAGCGGGCATCCACATCTGGGACGGCAACGGGTCCCGCGCGTTCCTTGACAAGCTCGGCTTCACGGAGCGCGAAGAAGGCGATCTCGGACCGGTGTATGGGTTCCAATGGCGCCACTTTGGCGCCGAGTACGAGAACCCCAATGCGGACTACACCGGCGAGGGCGTCGACCAGATCAAGGAGATCGTGCGGAAACTGAAGCACAGCCCATACGACCGCAGGATCATCCTCAGCGCGTGGAACGTCGCGGATCTCGCCAAGATGGCCCTCCCGCCATGCCACATGTTCGCGCAGTTCTACGTCAGCTATCCGGACGCGGCCAGGGGCGAGGCCGCCCTCCAGCAGGTCGGCAATGGCTCACACGCCGCAGAGAACGGCCACAGTCGGGAGAAACAAAAGGGCCATCTGTCCTGCGTCCTGTACCAGCGGTCCTGCGACATGGGGCTCGGCGTGCCCTTCAACATCGCGTCGTACGCCCTGTTGACACACATGCTGGCGTATGCCTGTGACCTCGTTCCCGGCGAACTGATCCACAACATGGGCGACGCACATGTGTATCTGGACCACATCGACGCGCTGAAGGAGCAGCTGCTCCGCGAGCCGAGAGAATTCCCCACCTTGAACATCAAGCGTGCTGATAGAGGCAGTGGCGAGATGGACGGCTGGAAGTTGGAGGAATTTGATGTCGTGGGCTACAAGCCCCATGGCGGGATCAAGATGAAGATGAGTGTATGATTCATTTTTCATGGGAATAACTGGGGATCTCAAGCACTTGATGGGCGTTCAGCACGAATCTGGATGGCGAGGCTGAGCCGTAGCATCGTCAGACGGCTTGGATTTTGGGGAAATGGGAAAGCGTTGTATAGAACGTCAGTAGAAACACTCTGTTTGATTCTATCTTGATTCATTCAATCGTTCGTTGCTTTACTTCAAAGTCGAAGATGGCTCGCTCTCATGGGTTGCCCTTCAACGGGACTGTACCTCCGCTCATACGATGCCCTCAAAAACGCCTTCGCTATGCAAGTTTGAAACAGAAGCCCCAGTCTCCTTGCCGAGGGTCACTTCTCTTGGTTGGGACCAACACCCCTCAACAAGACCACAGTATTCCCGCTGGCGAGGGGACCGCCAACTTTCTCGGAGTACTCGAGCAAACGTCCACCCTCGACATGGTAGACCCGCAGTCTCTGCTCCTCGGTCTGGACACGATTGTTGATGTTCGCAACCTGCAGGCGCTTGGCGGCGTCGTCCAACAATCTGCCAACCGTCCAGTCGGCACTAAAGAACAGTTCGGCGCGCGGTAATTTACTGGAGGTGGTCTTGGCCTCAGCCTCGACGTGGAGATAGACTCTCTTTGCGGCGTCTAACTTGTCATCGCCTTTTGCGGTTTTCTTCAGATTATTCAGTGCGGCTAATTGGGCGGCTTTGCTGGAGGGTTTAGGGACTGGTTTGAGCGACTCCTGCTGCGCCTTGCCCCAGGTCTTCAGCCGGCCGAAGCCTAACTTGATCTTTTCTTTATTGCTTTGGATGGCGATGTCGACGGGGCGGGCGCCCAGAGGGATAAGATTGGCGCAGTCGTGCTCTTCTCGGAAGCGGTGTTTTAGACAGTATTCTCGGTTGCAGTTTGCGCAGTGCACGCCAATGTTCCCCAAGGTGTTGACCAATGTCTTGCATGTGGGGCTACTGCATTGTTTTGCGGTCATGATAGTGGGCTTTCCCGAGGATGGAGAATTGGAAATTGGTCGTCCGACGCTGTTACGCCGTCGGTTGCGTGCCCATTCGCCGGCGTGCGTACATTTGTGCGCAGTCTCGCTACGGTGGTCTAGGCAGAAGGTGTGGTGGCAGGAGAGGCAACGGAAGGGGAGGAAGTCTAGTTGTCGGCAGTATTCCAAGTCACATTGTGCGCCGATCGAGTCCAAGTCTGTGTAATCCATTGCGGTATATGTTGCTTCTGTTCCGTCTGTTGGAGGGCCTGCGGGTGGGGTGGACGTCGACATCTTGGAGGGAAGGCGAGTGAGGTATATATTTATTACTTAGATTGTTTGGTTATTATTGGAGACAAATAGAACGCAGTAAGAAACAAAGGATTAGGTTTCAGTAGTCCGCCACACTTTCAGCAGGTTGGCAGAGGGATTCGTCACTCAAGTCTCTGGAGAGAGAAAAGGGCAGATAGAGGGTGGATGGTGGATGGTGGATGGTGGAAGGTTGAAGCTGCTTGCGTAAGGCTGGAAGATTCGAGATGGGACGTGCCACTGCACTTTCGCCTGCCTGGGTTGCACCTGCTCAAACTGCCAAATCCGCGCCAATAAATTTCCCCGCGCCGAGGCTGCGTACTTTGCACCAATTAAAATACACTGCCCAGACGCGTAGTGGTTACCTAATACATTAATTACCATATTACGAGGTACCTAACTAACTGAGTTCTCGTGGTTGAATATAATATATAGTGTAATTCAAGGACCTAGTAGCTCTTGTCCTCCATCGAAGGCGTTGGTCGGGCATCATATTTGCGTCCTGTCCACCAAACTCACTCCGATCACCACACCGGCCGTTCAATGAATATACTCAGCAAGAAAGGGAAACTCAACAACTCGCAATCTTACTCCCACAGTAAAACTGCTTTAACAGTCTTACCACTATGTATGTCGTGGGCCGCCTCTTCAATGTCACGCGCCGGATAAGTCTTGATGAGTTGGTCGTAAGGGAACTTCCCTAGTTGATTGGCTGTCAGCAGGTCGGGGAGGAATTCTTGAGGGTAGCAGTCTCCTTGGTTGCAGCCGATATAACTGCATCCAGCGTTGACCATTTCAAACATGTTGTGAGATGCTTCGGCTGAGAGCTAGATGCGTTCCGGTTGTCTGTGTCAGTAGGAGATCTGGGAACAAATAGTAGGGAAGTGAAGACGGAGATGATGCCCTTTCCACGAGAGAGATACTTACATCGCCCACGCCGACCGTGACGACCTTGCCTTTTCTCGCTGCACTGTGAATCAAAGCCTTGATAACATTGGGCTTCCCAGTGGTATCTATGGCACCGTCCACGCCTCTTCCGCGCGTAATGTCCATCAAGACCTTCATCAGATCAGGCCGGACTTTGGAGTTGACCCCGTGAGTTGCGCCAAATGATCGAGCTAGTTCCAGTCTAGATCCCACAATATCAACCGCGATGATCTTCTTCGGTGGGTGTTCCAGGAGCTTCAGTGACATGATGGCCGATAGCCCAACGGCGCCAGCTCCAACGACAACGACTGCCATATCTGAAGTTGGCACGACCACGTTGAGCATTGCTGTGGGAAGTTGATATTAGGATTATGAAGACGATGACGATGATGAGAAAGACGTTACCTCCCGCGCCCGTCATCACGCCGCAACCTAACGGCGCCAGCATTTCGAAGGGAATATGATCATCGACCTTAACCAACCCATTCTCCGCGACCAGAATATTCTTCGCGAAACTGCTCTGCCCGAAGAAATGGCTCGTGATTCTCTGGCCGGTTTTCCTCGAAGAAAAGGTCTTCGACCCATCAAGTCTGCCGATTCCAAAATTATACTGAAACCACAGATCACAGTACGGCGTTTCCTTGCGTAGACAGTATTTACACTCTCCACAGCACGTAAAGCAAACAATGACGTGGTCGCCGCGAGCCACCTTGGTCACACTCGTACCGACCTGCTCAACAATCCCGGCGCCCTCGTGACCGAGCACCGCCGGGAAGAGCTCCGGCATGGATTTCTCTTTGGAGAAATTGAGGTCTGTGTGGCAGACGCCCGTGGCTTTGATGCGCACCAGCACCTCATCAGGTCGGAGGTTGTCATTTAGTTCGATTTGCTGGTACACAAATGGAGCGCCTGGTTTAGCCACTACCAGAGCGTCGGTGAGCATGGCTATATCTTAACTGGTGGAGACTTTATGTAGTTGGAGCGCTTCATCCGGTTGTGCAAAGACGCTTGAGTCTCATATGGACGGACAATTGAGGGGAGGTAGTTACAGCTGCGTTCAACAAGTTCCAGGTCCACTTTCAAAGCTCCAGTTTCGCCCGTGCTTTCGCCACTAATCAGAGTTGTGGTGTGACTGCAACAGTGGGAAAGCTACTTGCACACCTACTATGATTAAATACTTTTATAATCACAACTTGAAGTAAACAACAACGCCGAGAAGATAGAACGCAGGTTTGACATCTTTGATTGGCGTGTGGACGTTGAGGCTTTTTGGCACTCAAGAACTCAATTTCCGAGGGCTGTGAGAAATCCAAAGCTAAAAGCTTCGAGGTCAGTGGCTGCGCTTGAGACTTTGGTTGATCACTCTGCGCTTGAAATATGGAATTCGCATTGACATAGCTGCTGCTCTTTGCATTTCGATCGGAGCGCACTATTATTGCTGATCTACCGATAAGATAACTGAACTGGGGAAAATACACATATTCTTCATGTTGGTACAATCCAAGACAGCGGCGGCTACATTAATCCTGCCGCCTTCTCTTGTCTCGTGAAGCCAGATCGGATACACCTTCTCGATGCTCAGAGCTAGCAATACAGTCATCACAATACCAGGAGTCGCTGTTCGGTGGGCTGTCCAGACCCAGACATTCCAGGTGGAACCATTCTCTGGTACAATGGCCACCGTCACAGGCTACCATTTTGCCCGAGCTAACACTATCGCAGTAGCAATATATTCTGTCTCCCTGGGCTGATGTGGAGTCTTTCTTCCTATGTTGGTCCGCAAAATCCTCGTCGTCGTCGACAAGTTTAGCTTTCTGTCTTTCCCATGAGGAATATAGTCCCCATCGTCCCCATTGTCATCCTCTGGGTCAAATATATTCTCGTCTGGATCGATCAGAGCATCCACGATCTTATCGAGGCCTATTTGATCTCCCCTCCTGGTCTCCAAAGCTCAGGGTCAACCCAGCCTTCAATATAACTTCCTCTAAAATCAATTATCCAAAGATTGGCGTCCTCATCAACCATGAAGTTGTCGGCCTTTGCATCACCCCACAATCTTGTGCTTATGTAGACTGCTCACAATGCTCTTACTCTCGTCTACCCATCTTAGACACTTGTCCTCTGCCACGTCCGAGTCGATGAGTTTCGTCAGTGGCTGTGCACCTGGGATATTGTTCAACAACAGTCCCATGATTTCAGTGCTGCTATCTGGACATGCTACGAAGCCCAACAACTGCGGCGCGCGTATTTCTTCATGTAAACCACGATCTGCGATCGTTGTGAGAATTTCAATTTCGCGTTTCGTTGTCTGTGGCTGACTGGGGTTTACTGGTTTGAAGAACATGACTTTCTTCCCCTCCTGCACTTCGCCTGGTCGAAGTGGCCCCGGGTCCTTGATCTCAGATAGTACGTCGATGTCACCAAGTTCAACTCGTGGGCTTTCCTTTTCTCTCACGCATTTGGGCAGAAGCGTCCGAGGTGCAAGATTGACGATCCAGTTGCGAAGCTCCTGAGACTCTTCGAGTCTCTGTGGTCTTCGGGTCCCCTGGCCGACATTCAGCTCAAAAAAGTGTTTTTGACCATAATACCAATCATACATTGTTCGTCGCCTAGATGGTTTGAGTGAAGGTGCGAGTCGCTCTGTTTCTGCTCCAAAAGCAGACAGTATCTAGTTCTGAAGGTCCGTTGCTGCGTCGACATGCTTATTTCTTGCATCTTCGTCTGATGATTTCTCTTGGTCCGCCCTGAGGTCTATCGCACTGTCGCTGTCCTGTTGAATCTTGGTACCGGTTGTCCGTGCTTGCTGCGGTGCAGCCGTGGTGGCCTGAGCATCTTCAAAACCTTTGGCAGCAGCTATGTCAGCTTTGCCTCCCTCAGTCTTGACGGCTCCGAGGAGGTCTAGATAAGACGGCAAGATCGGTTTATTCTTGGGAGACTTGAGTTCATCTGGATCCACAATGAGATGGAAGCGCACACCATTGATAAAGGGAGTGAGAGCGCAGGAGTTGCATTCATCGTAGAAGAAATTGAGGAGGTGGCAGCTATGCTCTTTGATAGACTGAGCCTCTGCCATGAGTGTCACGTTCGCGAAAATCAGCCGTTGAGCCCATGGCCTAGGCCATGTTCGGAAAATATCCATGCACTTTATATATGAGATAGGAACCATTCCCATGAGTATGCACTGACTGCTGACATATAGTGCGTCACCATTTTGAGGGCGTTCCACTTTTCCAGGACTGAAGTAAAAATGCCCCGATTTTCAGGCACGATCGACCGGATCTCGTCCTCTAGATTTCCTATTGGATGGCATTTTAGTGCATCTCCGGATCTGGGCTGGCGAGGCTGGCATTCCGCCTTTCCACCGCCGTCAGGAACCACGCTATGATTGCACCCGTTGGTTGGCACATAGGTGCCGCTGCACTCACGAAAACTAGGAAGATCATCATGCCAGAGAAAGTAACAATAATGGAACCAGCCGCATAGAAATCTTGCCCAAGAGTGTTTGCATCGCGGGAGCATGAAGAGGGAGTCTCAAGGGGCTCGTACCAAAGGTTACCTAATCAGGCATCAGAAACGGATATAATTACCCCTTATTCCCGGCGCCAAGGATGGAGATCCGCCCAACAACCAACCATCTGGTACGAAACCGAATCAGGCCAAATGTACTAACTCCGTGATGTTCGAGTATTGCATCAGATAAAGTCTCTTCAAGAGCATGGATATCGAGCAAGTGTTGCTGATACTTTGAGACCAGGACTGGTACTGAAAATCGAAATACCACATCCTCGGATTATTGGCTAGGCCATGGCATTTCAAAATCGGAAGAGTTATACTAGTAACTGGTGCCAACGGAGGCATTGGTTTCGCCATCATCCAGAGCCTCGCATCACATCCGGACACGGCTGACTCGACATTCCTGCTTGGATGTAGAAATACGTTGGAAGGAAGAGACGCTCTCGAACAGCTCCACAAACTAGGTTTCAGTCGATGATCAGAGAGATCGTACTGGACGTGACCTCAGACAAATCGATTGCCAATGCAGTTGAACTGGTGCGGTCTCAGTACGGCCATCTCGACGTGTTGGTCAACAATGCTGGGTATGCGGCGATCCCATCCGCTTTAGACACGCCAGACTGGTGTGATATATATGGCCGAGTTTTCGACACTCATGTGACATCCGTCGCCGTGACTATCCAGCAATTTCTATCTCTGCTCCGTGAATCACAAACGGGGGGAAAGGTTATTCAAATCTCATCGGCACGGGGCTCGGCCACAAGGTTAGCCAGTGGCGTTCTCCCACCGACGGTATCCATCCCATACGCGGTCTCTACATCGGCTTTGAACATGTTGAGCATCGAAATGAGCCGAGACCCTGCGAATCGAAACGTCGAGTTCTCGCTCGCCAGCCCTGGGCATTGCAAGACTGCTTTCAATGGGTTCAAAGGGAAAAGAGACCCATTGGAAGGTGCCAATGTGGTGGTCGAACTTGTTAGGGCAGGCAAGGACCGGTACAGGAACGCAGGCATTTGGGAAACCACTGGGGACAGTCTCGACCTTGTTGAGATTCCGTGGTGAAAGAAAAGTCATATTGCATGCTCCCCCGGCTGACAGATTGAACCAGGGACGTTGCATTCCAGAAATCACGGTAGTCAAGTCCTGTGTTCGAGGAATTTGAGGATATCCAGCTAGAAATGCTGAATCCCTTTCAAAACTTTGTTTTCCGGGAGTCTGCTGAGTACATTATGACCATCAACATATGCTGACACCAATTAAACCGGTGGTCAGTCGTGAAAATCCCAATTATAACAATCCACACATTCATAGTCTGCTTCACACGAAGGAGTGGTATTATATGCTTCCAGTACATCTGGTATGACGACATTTAGCCGATGGTTGTTAATACTCGACGACCATCCTTTGTCGCCGACCGTGTCATAGACACAACGTTTCCCGGTATGGCACTGACTCTCAAATGCAAAGCCAGCAATTGAGCATAGCGAGAAGTAACCGCTGCAAGCACCCATGTACACAGGATCTGCATTGTTGCCAATATGGAAAGCTCCAGTGTAGGGAGGGATGGCGAGACCAAGTCGTTGGGCCGCAAGCCTCTCGGGAACCGCTTCATAGGATACCGCCGGGATGTTGAAAGTCAGACCAATGAGGCTTGCCATGGCACCCCCTAAGGAATGCCCTACGACCCAGAAATTGGCACTGGGGTATGAGGATGTCACGTTCTGCAAGACTTTCAGGGCCGTCATGTAGTAGCGGTCTTCTTGCAGGATTTCCTGGCTGAGGCACGTAGAATTGCATTGGAAAGGGTCTGTGCGGCAATCACACACTGAGGGATACCAAAATGGAGGTGGCCGTTGAGTCGCACAACAACAGCTGAAGAGTTGATTGTCGTTGAACTTGTCTTTGGATGACCATCCGTCACGAGGATCTGTGTCGAATTAGCCTAGGGATGAGAACATGGTTTTGCAACAATGACTGTGCTAACCTATGGAGGTACCTTTGAAGGCGACTATTACGGTCTCATTCATCTTGTCTGCGAAAACATGCCCTCTGAGCCCGTCGGTCTTCCAACCAAACGTGTCTGAGTGATTGAATCCTAGAGAGGTGTTGAGCCAGTCAGGTTGATGCGGTACTTCCACATAGGCATCGCTGCACATCTTCGCCAAATTGACAACTGTTGCCTTGTCGCTTACGTCGGGGGCAGGAACTTCACTATTATGCCATGAACTGAAATGACCATCTTTGGAAGTTAGACCTGGGGATTTGCCCTTCGTGATTGACTGAGCCAGTGACATTTGTGAATGTGCAGCTGGCCGGCTTATCCAGATTGGCCGAGACTTTATTGACATAGTGCCCGGCATGTAGTTCTTGTTTACAGAAGAATCCGATGCAATATTGGGTCCTGTTGGTATAATGTGCAACCGGGCGGATCCATTCTTAAAAATGCCAGAATGGAAGATATTACTCAATCTCTAGATGGCCATAAGTATTCGCGGACTCGACGAAGCAATCTTGACAATTACCACTTACAAATTCCTTTCGACCGTATGATTGAGCCTCCCCACTTGCTGAAGCTTCGTCTAATCCATAGCTCTTTAGAGGCTCTTCCTGAGGCGGGCTACTTCCTCTAACAAGGGCAAAACCCAATACCTGAATGATTGCCACCAGGCTCAGGAGCATCTTGACGACCCTTCTCGCTGAAATGAAGCTCACTCGCTACCAGCGGTGACCAAAGTGACAAACTCGCCTCGACTTTGGCGATAGTTCAGGAGAGTGCTTTAGTCGGAGTTGTAAATGGCTGAACGCTTCAATGTCGTCTTCCAAGCCCCAGGCAGCAATGAATCGAACCGTAGCCGAATCATGTGCGTCGTCGATGAATTATGCACATATCCACCTCGTATCAACCCCTTCCCGACATTGAGATGATATCGGCAAGCATACCGTGTTTGTGGTTCTGAATGAATGGGAAGGATGGGAAGACTGGCCTCAAAGAAGTGAGCAGCGTCTTGGCCGCGACCTCGGCACTAGGCAAGGCTGTGCACGTGACCATACCAGGCTGCCAACCTGGTCTCCAAGGCTGAAGTATCCCGGGAAAGGAAAGATAAACAACAGTCCTTCCCACACAACCATACCTCCGCCTGCATATAGACCAGCCCAGCGACATGTAGCATACACTAGACTAAGTGAGTCATCTAGGCTCCTGTGCCTATTTTTATTTCAACTGATTTTGGTCATGCCCCTTTGGGTGCCTTCCACGCGAGTGGTTGCCTGGTCTATCCATCTGGAACATCGTTCTTGTCAACACTATAAAAATGCTGCGCGGCGGCTGGCCCATCTCGTCATCTTTGAATTCTGTTTGTTCGTTGCATTACTACCGTCTCCAACGCAACTGGAACCACCATGGCACCAAATTCCAAGCGCCGTGTCCCCACTAGAAACAAGGCTGCCAAACTTTGTCAACACACAGACCTGACCTGCACTCCATCACCCCATGCTCTGAACTCAGGCTATCACCATTACACACAGACACAGATTCACAATGCAGCAACTGGAAACAAGAAACTGCGAGTATCAGATGGTGTGCAAGCCTTCCTTGAGGCCTTTCCATCTCCCCTCGGTCTTCCTCGTGATGATGTCACCCTTGACCCAAAATACCCTGCACAAAGCAAGAACGCATGGATGAGCCTTCCCGAAAGAAATGCCGTGACAATGAGAAGGAGCGTGATCTACGTGGCTGCGCCTCCTTTGATTGACGACAGCATCAGAATGATGAGAGAATGGTCCCGCCCGGTCGTCCAGGGAAAAGCACTTCCGGTACCATGATCTGTAGGCGGATGCCCCACCTCTGCCTGTTTTGCTGACGGATATAGAAATCTCAAAGCCAAGACTCATTCGATGTGAACGCTGTGGTCGACTATCTGAAGGCATTCTACCACGGATTGGAGGTAAGGCTCCTCCATGCAGCTTTGTCCTTCTTGGCCTGGAACGATGAACCAACACCAAAGCCTGGTAAATCGGTCCGATCTACCTCGCATCGAAATGGCAAAGTCGAGTGTGTCGGTCTCTCCACCGGGAAAGAATTGATCCGGATCCGTGTACGTGAGGCACCAATACAGAATGTGTCTTCGTCGGCCAACCACTTTCCGTACCGATATCAACTGGATCTAAACGACCTGACCGACGCCGCCTTGTCACTGTTACCGGCAGATGCCTATTCACTACTTTTGACGGCTGAACAGGATCTCTACGAGTCAGTCGAAGATGATTTCTGCTGTGGTCGAGCGTGGGGTGCGAGTAGAGTGGCGATTGTGAGCAGCGCAAGGTACATCCCTTCTTTGGATCCTCTTCATGGCGTTGACACAGAACATGTATGGCCAGCAAGCCATTGTCTTGATTTTGTTGAGAGCATGAGCCTCGATCAATCCGACGGGTCTGTTCCAGGAGCCAGGGGTGAGGGCAGAACCATGAAAAGATGCAAGACTTTACCTATCACCGACGAATCAGTCACGACGCCCACTCCATTAAAGCGCGCCGTCACAGCTCATCAATCCACAAGACGTCCGACCGCTGCTGACCTCCAATCTATGTTGCTACTGAGAATATGCCGGACCGCATCTCACGAACTTGGCCACTGCTTCGGTCTGGATCATTGCATGTACAGGGCATGCGTCATGCAAGCAACCTCTTCCGTGGCAGAAGACATGCGTCAACCACCGTATCTGTGTCCTGTGTGTGACGCCAAGCTCGCGTGGGCCATACTAAACAAAGCTTCCCAAACCCAAAGTGGCACAAAGCCGATGGCCAAAGGCCGAGCAAAGAGAAAACTCGACGACATAGAAATAGAGGGGGAGGAGGGAAGGAAATGGAGAAAGGAAAGACTCGTCGCCACGAAAGAGTTCTGTCAGGGGCAAGGCTCTGGGTTTGCGGGGCTGGTCGCTTTCTCTACCGGCGTATTGGAATTTCTGGAGCGACTTGATAAGGCAAACATGGACGCCTCTAGACGATACCACATCGGATTTAGTGACGGATCAAAACGTGATGAATCCCTTTCCTTCGATTAATTAATTGGCTGACACTTGACAACCAGTCGAGTCGAGTCATAGAACACAGTCCTCGCATCCTCATAAGCAGCTACTAGGCAGGGTTTCTAGAAACCGCCACTCCAGCCCAGGCCTCTCCTTGAATCGTAAAGAAAGCCAATCGCCTTATGCATTCAGTCATTCAATCAATTCGCTAATCCATTCGAGTATTCTCGCACACTCGGGAACCCTCTCCGGAGAAACCAATCAACCCTGGTAATCCACCCCCCACTCCTTGCCTTTATCCTTCTGCCTGACGCCCATGCTGGCCTCAAGCCAGTCCTCGACGGTAATCCAGCCGTGCCTGCCTGCCAGGACAGCATTCCAGATTGCGCCCTGCCATTCGCTCCACCACTCCTGCGCCACGAGCCCTGCTCTCGCATTCCTGTCTGCGGTATCATCTCGCTCACCTCCCCGCTCGTCACTCTCCGCAAACTCCACCAACTCTCCGTCTCCAGTCTCCCGCTGCCCGGGCTCACCGCCGATAGACCAAACACTCTGCACGACATCGAAGGTCTTCGTGGGAGTGATGTTCAGCAGGTTCGTGAACCAGTTGCCGTTGTGCCGCTCGACCGTAACCGTGCTATGTAGGACGGGAAACTCGACCGTCACTTTCCCGCGGTATTTCGTCGCGGCGATGAGTGTGCGCACGTGGCCTTCGAGGATTGCGCGCGGCATGTTCAGCGTTACCCGCGTTAGGGTGAAGGAGCGGTTGTCGGCTTTTGTTGAGGAGTGGCTCGTGAACTTTTGAATCCAGCAGTCTAATGGGTTGAGGTTTGGGTTGGTTGAGCTGCTGCGTTTGAAGAGCGGTGATGATGATAATGAGGATGATGATGTTGCTGTTGTTGTTGTTGTTGTTGGTGTTGGTGTTGAGCCTAAGCCTTGCTGTGACGACGACGACGAACTTCCAGCCTGCTGCTGCTGGTGCGGGAATGCCTTCACCCTCAGCCTGCTTCTTCCCGTCCCATCAAAATCCGGTCCGTCGGATTCCAGATCCAACATCCCCATCAGATTCAGCTTCAGTTCGAAATCAACCGCCGTGCCGCCGTGCGTGCCGTACGACGCATGCGTGCCTCTGATGACCATGACGGGTTTGGGCGGCAGCGCGGCTTGGTCGTGGATGAACTTCGCCAGTGCATATTGTGTCGTGGCCAGCTCGTCGCGAGATGTCGTTAGTGTTGTGTGGTCGTCGGAGAGCTTTGCGTCGCGCACGCCGTAGGACGAGAGGTTTAGAGATGAGAGCCGGGAAAGCGTTTTGAGGGGATTTTGGCTGGGGGTATTGATGGGGGCGCTGTTGGGCCTCGGTCTGGTTCTGGCTCTGAGGTGGGATGGGCTGGTCGGATGCGAGTTGCTTGTATTTGTAGAGACGACCGTATTCTCATAAGCTGGTGGGAGATCGCCGGGCGTGGATGAGGGCGCCTCCGCCTGGCTCTGGCGATTAAAATGTGCCTGCAAATTGGCTTTCTCTGAGGAAGGCATTCTTTCCCCACTCCCTTCACTGTTCTGTTATCGGACCCGACTGAAAAAGTGAGGCAGGTTGACGTTCCTCAGAGTTCAAATGAGAACAGTGTTCACCTGGAGTTGAATAGGTTTAGGCCCGAGGATAGCAAGTAGTGAACAACAACAACCACCACCTGCAAAATGAGGCGCCGCTCAGCGATGGATGGATATTAAGCTCCCGCTGGGGACACAAGACTTGGGGCCCTTTCTTAAGAAGCTGGTTTCCCAGGGTCTCGATAGCGGTGAAGAAGTGCAGAAAGCCCAATTTGCAGCGTTCAACTCAACGAGATAGGAGTGTGAAACCACGCAAGGTGTTCTGCATTAAATAGCGAGGCAGAAGAAGCAGCAATCTGGCAAGGCAGCCATCAAAAAGAAAACGAAGAGGCAGAGAGAGCGCACTTAAAGACCATCCCTCACAGGCCCTCAGACAAAGACCCTGTGAGGTGCCATCGTTTCGCAGAATCAACCCAATTGGGGGCAAGGCACAGCCACAGCGGTCCAACTAAACACCCCAGCCGGGGCTGAAGGCAGGTTGGTGGAGTTAAACACTGGATACGGAAGAGTGTCCAGGCACCCGTCAATCGAGCACCCCAGTCAATGAGAGCTCGGCCGAGGCGCACCTATTGTACGAGTAAGAGTGGAGGAGTGGCGCATTTCTCCATAGGCTAAGACTCAAGAGAGACCAATTGGAATCCCTGCTTATCCGATGCGCATATCTGTTCTGAGTCCTGAGTCCTGAGTCCTTACAGGGGAGTGTGTGTGAGAGTTGGAACTATATACTCGTATACAAACTCGTATACAAACTCGTTCCTCTAACACTCCGCTTGCAAGGTTCAGCTATCTCTAGAGATAACCTAAATACAGGCCTTCACTATCCTCGATCGAATTTCTTTCTAAGAGAGAAAGACCGTGCTTAGGTGGGCTATGGGGACGAAGATGATCATTTGGAAAGGAGCAAATTTGGCAATGTTTACCCAGCCAAGTACCTAACTCGCTACGAGGGAGGCCCTTGACCAAAAGGACATTCTTCTATCCTATTATCGAGTCCGAGGACAGTCCAACCCGCCCGCGAGGGGCACGCCTCTGGAATGTTGATCATCACAGCGCAACCAACTTAAGATCGAATGAATGACAACTCCAGATGCTTCGATACGCTTTTGTCTAGCGGGGAAGCCAGTTCTGATGCTTGCTCACATAGTATCCACAGTCCCAGATTCCTGTTTAGTCATGATCTCTGAGATGATCTGAATACACACCACTGCCCTGCCCGTAGTGAGCAGCAATGACATTGTAATCCAGCATTTGCGACCTGTTCATTGCCCTGTAAGGTTGACAGGATTGCGGTTCGAATCAGAAGCTTTGTCTTCTTCATCCTAGTCCTCGTCGTCGTCATAGTCGCAATCGCTGCTAAGTTCCTCCTCGCCTTCCAGAACGTCGTCCTCGGCAGCGTTTGGGTTCAGTTCATGGGAATTAGACAAACTAAGTCCATCCCCAGAGTCCATCACGGTCGACAGCATCGAGTCAGGGATGATGACAGTCTCCGGAATCCACCTATCATAGCGGGTCACGAACTGGTTGAAACGAACGTTGTCGATCTGTTTGGCAGCATATCCCGCGTTGCTCATTTCCATGAGAAGATGGAAGCACGCCTGCTCTTCCCATGCTTCTCGTGAACCCTCGCTCCCGCACAAGAAAGCTTGGCCCGCCTTCTGGGCTGCTGCCATGTCTTTGTCGAGCTCGCCTGCGGATATTCCATCCAGGGCGGCACTCAGACCACCTCTGAGCTCGGCTTCTGCATCGAACGAGCCGCCACTCATCGAGCGCACAATAGCACCGCCAGCCACCAATCTGTATCTCAAGTCCTCCATTTCTCGTGGCAGAAACGTGCACATCCTGAAAATGTTGTGTCCAAAATCCACCAAAACGAGAGCCGCAAAAACTGGAGTAGTGACGGGCCCAAGGGGATCTTGGAAAGGCATAACTTGAATGGACTGATGTTCGCCTTTTTCGCGTCTGACCCAGCAGCACTGCCTGAACAAGGCAGCGTCATCCTTGAACATCTTCGACAACAACTTATTTTCCGCACTCTCCTCCATAAAGATGATAGGCCGCTTTTCCTGCAGACCATAATGGAGGACGAAGTCAGGAGAGAACAGGGTAAATCTGAGGAGGGCCGCTGGGACAGGAGGACGAGGACCTTCTGGTCTCAAGAATTGATCCATTTCCCGTGGGCAAGCAATATCAATTCGGCACAGAGGGCACCGAACGTCGCGGAGCTCAGCCAGGTCCATCTTGAGCCCGCCAAGGAAACAAGATAGTGGCCAGGCATTGTGACATGATCCGACCTCGTGGACAAAGATCTCACAATCATCAGTGATGTTGCCACGGCAGTAGAGACAGATGTCGTGATTGCGTGGTCCTCGGCCTCGTCGGATCCTCCAGCCATTCAGTGATAAAGCGACAGCGAAGGCAACGTTTTGCTCATCTGAGCGGTCAAAGCTAGAATGGAACTCATCTGAGCTGCCACCGAGAGAGCTAGGGTTGTCGGCCATGGTTTGTTCGGTAGGATAGAACAAGTCTGTGTGAGTAGTTGTAAAATGATGAATCAGAGAGGGCGCGGTTTCAGGCCGAATAGAAGAAGTAGTGGCCCGTCAATAAAGGCTACTGACTTTCTGAGAGAGACGGTACGGCAGATCCAAGCATGAGATTAAGGGAGAATATCACAGACCGTGACGACGATCTCGGAGGACATAGAAATGATCATGAAAACAAAGAGTTATCTGTCAGCGACATGTATGGGGGAAAAAGGATGGGTTTGATGGAAGGAGCGCTTGTGAAACCCAAGCCGCGATGCGGCCGAGGGAGCATACACTAAAACGCGGCTTGAGGCAACAAAGAGCCCAATCGTCTAGTCTTTCAAAAGGCGGTATCCGGTTGCCTATTAACCGCACAGGAGGAACCGAACAATAATCAGTCAGGGAAAATCGGATGGCCATAGATGTAGTATTTGTAGGGAGGGATCAGTGTCCTTGCAACTCACCAGTCCACCATCCCTAACAAAGTGCAGGACCCTGAGTAAGAGATGACCCCCTATTTATGCAATCAGAACTAAAAACAACAATAATAGCAATATTACGCGGGTGTTTGACGCCCATAACCATGCCATGCCCGTATAAAGCATTTCCTGGATGAAGATACTCCTCTGAAATGGCCTAAAATGAGTTCCTGGACCTCCAGCTCCAGCTCAAGCACATCGAGTGCTAACTCTGTAGCCGCATAAGGAATGCTCAGGCTACGTTGCATCAAGTACGCCTGCCATGCAAGGCACTCTTCTGTGTAGTGCTCTCTGGCATTCCCCTTGTCGCCAAAATGAATGCCAATGGTCGGTGATCATATTTTATCGGGTCCTGGTGTGCTCACTGGTCGTCCAGAAGAGGTGCTCGTTCGCGGTCTTCGCTGACAATGGCGCCTTCCTGTCGAATACTTCTGTCCTGTCCAAAGACTTGTGGAGCTCCAATGACAATGGAACCAACAAACAGAACACCGGCAATGACAAAGGCAAAAATCCACTGGAAGGCGATAACGTGGGTTTCGAGTTGAGCAATGGCAAGAGCTTGTCACGTGTTAGCATCTGGACTTGTACAATCACACGCGTTCAATACATACCCAGGGATAGTATAGCCAATTCGATTCCCATCGTATAGTCCTTATAGGTCAAGAGGAAGAAGCCTCCCAGAACAAGGATTCCCCAGATGAAGATGTTTGCCACAATTCTAGCGGGTAAAGTGTGTGCATGGACCGCAGCGGCTCCATTCCAGAGAATGGCGATGTATGTCCAGGCCAACGGGGCAGAGACGATTGGGATGTGCACGAAGCGTGGAGTGGTAGGATGGCGGAAGTAGAGTAGAGTCAGGTTGAACAAGTTGATGATGAGGAACAGCTCGCCTTGCCAGAAAAAACCCCTGACCCAGAGGAGAATGAAAGCAGTGCTGAGGAGGTTGTGCTTTCAAAACTCGACATTAGACTGCCACATCTGTAAAGATCAGGATCAATATAGCTCACCAGGATGAAATGGCTTCCAACGTTGGCAGCACTAGTGACGAAAGCCTTGTCTGCACTGTACAGATATCTCACATAGTGTGCTTGCAGGATCAATACAACAACCCAATAGATGCTCACAACGATCGAATTCAAGCTGAAAGGTGTAGGGTGATGACTATTTTGTCCCCAGATGGTATGGTTGTGGTAGTGCTTGTGTTTGTCATGAGGCTTGTCAAAGGTGTAGTACACACCCACAACGACAAGTATCAGCCACGAGAGGACGGTGAGGATCTTATAGGCTAGAAGACTACGACTGGAAAACTCTTCGCGTTTCGCGAATGGATTGTCTGAAGGGTCATTATATTAGCTTGGGATTCTCGAGATATGCTTAAGGACGTTGTTTTGCATACAGTCTTTGACAGGCATATCGACAATACGAGTCGAACCTAAAGCAGGCACCACTTTTCACTTGTTCTATCTTAGGATGGAAGGATTCCTGTTTCTAGGCTCGGGACTCTTGCTGGATGCTGTCGCTGAAGCTTGGTTCTATGAGGGCGTGCTGGAGTCGGACGGGGAGAGGCGAAGAGGTGAGGAGGAGAGGGAGGATGGGATACACAAAGTGAGAGGAGGTTATGGGCGGTGTCGATATATGCCAGGTTGGTGGCGGGATGAAACGCAACCTGTTCTCGTGATCGCTATTAGCGAGTTAGGTTGGTGAGGGTGGGTGGTGGTGGAGCAACACAGAGTGGCCGACAGAAGGAGGTAGCACCATCGTAGCACCATCGCAGCAGCACTTGAGGTGCGTGATGGTCGCTCCTGCCCCAGCCATTGGCTCAGCTCCCGTCCTTCCCTGGCAGGTTCAACATATCGCGGGGAAATATTACGTCATTTGTCTAGCCAAACTCGATCAAGTTGCCTGGGCATCGGATCTCCACGTCCAACTCGGCCACACTAAGCAATTCCCATCAGGCCATCCAGTTCTGGCGCAACCCTCCCATGGGGTCCCTAGCCAGTGGATGACTAAGAAACGATCAATATGCCCCGTGTGGAAAATATTGAAACTGAGATTCATATGGAGAGAAGTCCTCCATGTCTAAAACTTCGCAAAAGCCACCTCATACGCAAAGCCAAGGGTCATTTTGGCGTGTTGCAGCATATGGTCAAAACTCAAGTATTTAATCTGGTCATCGGTGGTATGGATCTTCTTGTCCGAGTACTCAAAATCAGACTCGATGACAAAGGCAGATGGGAACCCATACTTGCTTGCGGATGCGTGGTCAGAGCATGCATACCCGCACTTGGTGAGCGTGAAGGGGATGTCGCAGTATGTGGTGATGATTTCCTTGATGAACTCGGTGAGCGCTGGGTCCACAAAGTCGGTGATCACCCCGACGGACTCTGGCTTGCCGTGTGCGAGAGTTTGTGCGACGTAGCCTGTCATGTCTTGTTGGATCATGGCCTTCACGTCCCTCCCACTGTCGTGGTACGACTTGAAGATTGCCTGGCTTCCCAGAAGGCCTCCTTCCTCCGCCGAGTACCAATGGAACTCGACTGTGTTTTCCGCTCTGCCTTTAACAATATCACCGCTCTGTAGTAATGCTGTGAGAGCCTCCAGGATAGTCACGGTCCCACTTCCATCGTCATCAGCTCCAGGTGCCGCCAGGATAGATGGCAGGAACATGTTGATGCTGTCGAGATGCGCCCCAATTACCACGGTATGATTCGTTTTTCCTGGAAACTGCGCAATGATACTAAACTGGCCCCAGGAATGGTCAAACTTGGTCAAGCTCGCTCCGTGGTCGAAAGCACCGGACGCATTCACGACACCATAAATATTGTCGAAGAGCCACTGAGCGGCATCGATGCCATATTGACTTTTGTAATATCTTGTGTGAAACGAGGTCAATCCTTCGAGGTGCTTGCGCATACTCTTTGTGGACAAGTTCTTGCTCAACGACTTGACTGCCTTGGTGTGGGAGGCGTTGGGAGGATATGTGACGGTAGCGGCGGTGGCTTCGACATAGGGAAAGGTATGGCCATTATCAGTGATGTCCATGAACTTGCGGCCATCCTAGTAGTGGTACATAGCCTTGATTAGTTCCCCAACAACCACTGCGAATTCTAGAGAGCCTCGCGAGAGCTTTGCTTACCCGTAGCAACTCCCACTTCTCGTCCTCTGACACCCATTTTGTCTCTCCAGGAGACAGCTCGATCAAATATCGCTCGGACGAAATGGACTGGTCGTTCTCCAACGGAACTTGGTGGGATAAAGAATCAGCGAAGAGGGCGGAGACGACTGAGGCCGCTGAGAGAGCGAGCGGTACGAAATACTTCATATTGATACAAGTATGTTAATAAATAGAAGAGCCAAGACGAGAATAGATAGTAGTAGAAAGAAGATGATCAAGAGAAGCAAGAAGATGGAATAGCGATGCTCTTGATGGCTATAATGTTGATACGGTCAAGTCATGGGGGGTTGGAGTGGTAGCGATGGCGATTGTGAAGTGGGGGCTGGAAGGCAACCGGTTGATTGTGAAACTTGGGGCAACCGGGCATCAAAGGCCAGGGACGACGTAGCTAAGACGTGATAACCACCTTAGTTAAGCTGACAACTAAACGAGGTGCTACGAGTACATACAGTAGGTATGGAGTACTCGCTACAGGTCCTACTGTACGTACCTAGCTAAGCACCTCCCCAGGGACCCAGCCAGGTCCCTACTCCGTTCGGAGTAGCATCCCTGACCGCTCCCTCCATCAACCACCATACAGATATACATCGTGTCTCCTCTTCGATGCATTCAGAGAAAAACAAGAAGGGTCGACTAATGACTCAAAAGTCATCTCTCTGTACCAGTAGCCGTTTTTGAGCGTCATAGTAGTAATCTTGACTCACGCCCAGTCGCCATGACGGGGTTATCTTTCGCGCATGCGGAGCAATCCACGTCGCCGATTCGCCGGGATAATCTCACGAACCAGTGATACTCGTAGTGTCACGCACTGCAATGACTCCAACACTGAACTCAACGTTCCCCCCAGTCTTTCGCGAATCTCCCTATCTACGGTGCCTACCACTCCATCTCGTTGCCTTGTTGCCTTCGCTCAATCAACTCTAAGCAATTCGTTATTGTATATATCCAATTTCTTGCACCACTTCATTGCTGTTGTCGGTCGAATCATCTAGAGCTGTTTGTTCGCATTTCCCTTATCTGCCCGCAGATAACGATACCCTCCTCTCTTTATCCTGCCCCCTTCGCCACCAACCTCTCTACACCTACTTCCATCCGCCATCTACCATGCACAGTAGCACTGGGAACGTCGTGCCGATCATGGTCCCGGCTGCAGCTGAAGGCACCAAGGCCGCGACCACCGGCAACAGTCCTCAAGAAATCTCAACGCAGATGGAAAAGGGATCGATGTTGCACACTCCTACGACTCCCACCACGCCCGACCGTCCACTCGTCACTGGCACGTCGGTCCGGATGTCTGTGCCTCTCGACGCGCCCTCTCTCAAGAGGGCCATGCCCGTCTACGACTCCGACCGCAAGATTGCTCGTCGTGATAGTATGGACCGAAGAGAAGCACTGCTCAAGGGTAAGGAGGGTTCACGTCAGCGGAGACGATGGGAGAATGGTACGAAGCCCACATGCAAACTGCACTCTTTCGATGGCATAAAATAAAAGAAAGAGAGAGACTTTCCATCCCCGCTAACAATGAACCCCCGTCCAACAGATCGCCTGATCTCGAACCCCTGGGCCGTGCCACCTCTACCATCGGACTGGGAAGTGCGCCCTACATATCCGCGGCGCACCGTCCCCTACTATCTCGCCCCCCTCTGGGATGCGGCCGAGTTTCAGCGAGCGGTCGAGGCCAAATTGAAGGGGCGCAAAAACAGCACAAGAGCCCGCGGCAATAACACTGGCATGAGTCCGATGGAAGAAGCCGCGACGAACATCCCGAAAGAAGTTCGTGCCAGGCTAAAGCGTGCCAGGGCTGCCAAGGGCATGCTCCAGGACCTGGAAGAGACTGTCCGTGCCTTTGTGCAGAAGTGGAATGAGAGGGAAGCCCGCTTACGCGAAGAAGGTCTAGATGATGTGCCCTTGACAAGCGACAGTGAGGAGGATGAAGAGATCGTCTTCATTGGAAGGAACGGGGCCATGCACGATTCACCCGGCCGGAAGGAAAGGCAGAAGGAAGAAGGGTGGGATGATGGGACGATCAGTACAGAAAAGATGATTTTCGAGGGTCTCGACAACGATAAGGGGGCTGCTTTTGCTCGCTGGCTCGTCCATTGTGTGGGGAGCTATTACGGCTTGAGAACGTGGAGTATCACCAAAGATGTGCAGGGCGAAGCCAGAAGGAGAGAAGCGTATGTTGGCGTAGACCGTAGAGCCAGAGGCTTCATGGGTCGAGCCGTCGAGGTTGGTCCTCGGGACATCGAACTGCCCCGGCCCTTGTGGGGGATGGTCTGATCGAATCATTCTGTGAGACAATGGACAATGATATGCACCTTTTTCGTGTATACCACCCATCTGACCACGACTGGACCACCATGGCGAGGTCGTACACACGGGACCATCGTCAGATATTGGTTCGTGCCTCTGCGCCATCACCCGCGCCTAAAGTGTCAATCACGATCGTCGCCACTGTAGGGAGCAGCTCCATCTGGAGCTCGACATCCAAGTTAGACCAGGACTTCTCCGGCTGCTGGATCAAGCCTCCACGTCGATTCAATTACACAACTTAGTCTTCTAGGTTTCACGCCGTGTCATGAGCTCACACAGAAACGCAAGACCGTTATTTGCCGTGCATTGTGGGTGTGAGGGCGTGCTTCACCAACACTGGTGTTTTGGAACAAACTATCACAGAACCCGTTCCTTCTCAGTCAACTAGTGGGCTAGACTGAAGAACATGCCTGAATCATAACAGATGTTGTCCGCACCAAAATTGTGGACTTGGTTCGTGCAACGCTGTGCATGGTTGCCACTCATCGCTGCAGGTCTCGAGTAGCTCGAGCAGACCAGCGTCTTTCATGTTTTTGATGGTCACTGCAGCTTTAGCTCATTGAATGGTGTAACTTGTGGAGAGCCTCTGGGGGCCCAATGATCCAAAGACAATGGAATCACAGATCACAACGAATCGGAAAATTTGATGCCTCCTCCTTTTCGACTGATAATGCAACTTTCACGGCCCAATGATCATCCTATAATGACACGTAAAACCTGTGGGGGTGCTTCTTCACTGGCTAGAGATGAGCGGTTGTTGGAATTTGTGCTCATCTTGAGTGGATGCTCAGTGCCTCAGTGCGGAAACGTTCACGACCGAGTTCATCGAGGAGTCAGAATCAGCATAGATGCAGGTGAACATGAGCTCTTCGTAAAGAGCAAACGTGGAGTGCACTCTTAGTATACCATACATTAAGCCAGGGTCGAACGATGGTAGAAGCCGAGTTCTCTATGCACTGAATTCTTCGTGGTGAGGAAGAAAATAGATCGACACCCAATGACAGGGACGTCGGCGATCATGTTCAATGAATAAGCAGTCAAGATATTAAGAGACGGCACGAGCCAGAGCGAGCCGAGGACCGGCCCACGCCAGATGCGCTTTGACCAAACGCTAAAAAGTAGAGTGAAGAGCACCTCTCCCCTTGGGTCTGGATCCGTTTCGCCAACTTGTGTCCGGAGTACGACGTAAGGTGAGGCGACTTATGATAGAGTTAGAAAGCACGACAGCTTCCTCTCTATGGGTTGGCCCCCTGAAGCTAGCAAACAAACCAGCTCAAGGTGGATCAGGTACCGATCGCGAACTTGGAGCCTACCGGACTGATCGAGGCAATGGATGAGCTCTGTCTTTGTGGAGCAGTCGTCGATGCCGATGCGGCCGTTGGTTAGTGCAAGTAAGCACTGAGTGCTTTGCTGAATCAATAGCTGGAACTTGGAAGATGACGCGAGCTACGAGTACGAGTAGGACGGCAGCGAGACGAGAAGAGACGCGTACGTAGGGTCTGGCGGTCGAGTCGCATGAGAGTTGACCAGACTTGTGGATGAAAATGCCTCATGACTACCAGCAACTCGTAAGTCCTTGTAGCAACTGATTGTTGTACGATGGTCTGACCCACGGCGCAGCAGCCCATGGGACAGCACGTGCTCTTGTGTGAGGTTCGAGTGGTGCTTTCTTATTCTTGGGTGCTTCATCACGGTTCCGTGCCCAGACACCGAGTTTGTTACTGACTAGGTAGCAGTAGCTCGAACTCGTGCTCAAAGAAGAATATCCGGTGATCGCTGCCCAAGAATCAAAATAGAGCACCTCAATGAGCGTCCACAGACCCCTGCCTCGGTACTGGCAAAGCCACACGATCGTGCAGGTACAGAGAACAGAGGACAACATCCATGAACACATGTTCGTCGTTTGTTGAATGCAATGAGCCTAAAGCAGAGTTTGTCGCAGAGTGCATGGTGAGGATTCCATCGAAGCAACGTATGAGGACAAAGGTAGGGTCTGACTTTTAGCGATCGGGGCTTTAGATGCCAATGAGATGATGCCACGAGGCCGAAGAAATCCGCGAGAAGGTGGGAATGAGATGGAAGTGTGCTAGAAGTCTACGAGTAACAGTCCAAGAGGCAGAAGCCAACGCCAAGGTGCGGTACTTACTTGATTCCTCGAGCGTCTGACAGAATCTCTCGCAGTAGGCGGAGGGTGCCTACGGGCCTAGTGGCTCCTCGCGTGACTCTCCGGGCTCTTTGCCAGAGCCCCCGCGGCTTGGTCTAGGCTTGCACCCTGGGGACTCCTCGCGTCTGACACGCTGGATTACAGCCCGGAATACCGCCCTTGGCCCCCCGTCGGCCCTGAAGCTTCGAAGAGAATGCTGCCCAAACCACCCATCAAGCGAAGAACCGCTGCACAGGCTCGAGGCAGGCCCCTTGGGCTCCTCTTAGACAGATACCGATACCGATACCCAAACCCAAACCCAAACCCAACACTACTGCATTGCAACCACCAATCTTCTATCCTTTTTGCCACTTATCTCACATCTTTGCTTTGATTCGACTATCCTCCGCCCGCACGCCACAAGAAAAGAAAGACCTGACTTCGAAAGAGGGTTGCTCCTCCGCGGTTTGCCATCCGTCGGCGTTCCACCTGTTCAACCCCATCTCAAGCGATGCTGATGCTGATGCAGACTCTGCAGAGGTGGGAGGGGAACCCGGCATGCTACAGCAGGACCTCGCCAATCGCCGTCTTTTGCAATTCACAACCATCACGGATTGATGGTTACAAGCACAAACCGCCATCGGGACGGGGAAACCTGTCTAAGTTGGTTCCGGCCGCACCCGCTTCACCTCGTCTGGCTTTTTCGGATACACGTCCGTGACCACGGGCAGACTCTCTAGCTAGTTAGTTTCAGACACGATGGGCTTGCGACCCTACCGACCCTACATACGTTTGCTGCCACGGCTGCGCCCCTCGGCCATTGTTGGTGCCTGTCACTCGTGATGAAAACAAACAGGGACAAAACCATGGGCTATACATCGTACAGTCCACTGTACAGTCCACTCGTGGAGTGACCGTGGACCGGTCCACCACCCATTGCCGGCCCTTTCGAGCATTTTTGGGCAGTCTCATCTCAACACCAATCATTACAAGGCTCCCGCTGCCCTTTGATGTGCCGTTTGCAGTATCCTACCATGGCCCTCGTGTTTCCTCCATTTTCGATGGAATTTGCTTTTCCAGGCTATTTCTTTCATCTATAACGACTGCTCCGACATTTTCTCTACCATACCTCACTCTCAAACATTATTGCGTTGTTGCGTTATACCCACTGTACCCCCGTCTACTCCTCATAACATGCCCCGGTCCTCTCCTGTCCGAGTCTGGTCCAAGGGTTCCTCCACATCTTCAAGCTCCACATCTACTCGAAGCCACAGTTCAAGCCACACGCAGGATACCAGCATTACCTCCTACTCCTATGGTGACACAAAGCCCACCGACAGGAAATATGCTACTTACGAAGCATACGAGGTTGTGGACGAGCCCCTCTCATATGAGAAAGACTGTGTCGTTGACCCACGGGCGTCAATCGATACATATGCCTCAACCACTACAGACGAGAAAGAGCCATCCAGCCAAAGAAGTCTCAACCCTTTGATGCGCTCTGTCTGTTATCAACCAGATGCCATTTCCACCACCCCTGCCGAGTTTGCGGAGCTCTTTCCTTCTACCCGCAGACTTCTCATCCAGCATGATGATACCAGCCCAGATGGCAACCTAAATCTCCGTCTTGACACCGAGTTGTCCATCTCCAGAGGCCATCGCGTAAAGCTGACCCTGTTCCACCTGAGGATGTATGATCTGGCTGAGCGACAATTCTCTCTCCGTCGGTATCAGAGGCAGTCGGGTCGGGAAGTCTGCAGCTCGAAACGAAAGTATCTGAAGCCAACTTCCAAGCCATCGTCGCCATCGAAGAAGGGTTCCCTTGTCAATGCCTTGACGAAAATGAACTTGAAGGCCTTCAATTCAAAACCTCGCCCAAAGCCTGCACACGAACCCGAAGATACCGAGTCTGATGATGATCTTGATCTCTTCGATCAGGCGGACGTTGAAGCCAGCATCCCGACAGAGGCCATGAGAATAGAGTTCTCAAATTATGCTCAAGTTGAACTTCAGCCGACTCGGCGTGGCGATGGGAAGATGTATGACTTCGAATACTGGGGTCAGAAGTACGCCTGGCGAAAAGTCATCTATCAGGATGAACAAGAATCGATCTTCTCTTTTGAGTTGGTCAACATGGCTTCCGGATGTTGTCTGGCTCATATCACTCCAGACAAGCTCTCTCGACAGCAAAGCAGACATGAGGCTTCTCAAGGAACTTGGGTGCCTCCCTGCAGTATGAGAGTGACAGAAAAAGGGATATCGGGTGACCTTGGAGATGTTATCATTGCCACTGGTTTGATGGCGCTCACCGACGACTGCATCAGACGGCACTGGCGTGAAGCTCACCGCTCATGAAACTTCCTTGAAAAACAGAACACATCATATTTTCCCGCCGATCGAATTCGGGATGTTTTCAGAACAGTGTCACAAATTTGAGACGTTACACAGGCCTGATAGCGGTGTAGATAGTACCAAGATACCTGAATGGGACGGTGCGGAGTTGCTAGACTTTCGCTACGCGGGCGAGGTCCATTGTACATTACATGTGTTTTGCCAGGTTATGGACATGGTCAATGAGACTATTCATGGGTGAAAATCCTTGTTTTATGAGATATGTCATAGTCATGACCCAGACATGAGACCTATGAAATCTGTATATTTTCCCAACAACCAAGACAAGATCCAGAGCCAAACGACCAGGGGGGGTTTCCGCAAGGTCAAACCAAGAAACTGAGTCTGACTCGCGCAAGAGTAGATTCCCTTCCGTCTTTCGTGCACGTAGCATGCAATCGAGATACAAACCTCCTCGAAGCCCGATTGTCGTTAGTTCTAAACCACATGATCAGAAGCTGTTCAATATCAGCTAAGTGGGGGGTGGGATAACTAACAGTGACAATAGCAGCAAGACAATTAATCTGCTAGTGTAGAGCCTAAGATGCCTAAGATGCCAATCAGGTCTAGTGCACGGGTAGATGACTCTTGGCAACGCTCACAGCCGAGGGCTAGCCCGAAGCTAGTCAGTTTTAGCCCGAACACGAGGTCTCCAGCAGGAAGGAACCCGGACCACTGGGGTCTGACCTGTTCTTCTTTTCTTCTCTCTTCTCTCTTCAAGTTCTCTGAGATTCTCTTTGCAAAGATCCACAGTTCAGAACGTGAATCCACCTCGCTCCCACATTTTCATGCTTTCATCGTCACGGCGCATTGCATGTCTTGTTTCTATTCGCTATTCTCTACCCTGCAATTCTCCAACCATCTTTCACAGTTGCCAAAGCTTCCGCTGGAAGGGCCTCCAATTAGCTACCCTTCGGTATCCGTCAAAATTCTGCAAGTCCCAGCAACAGGGTTCTGCTTAATCCAGTCGGATCCAATGATGCTTTTGATGGCTGACTTGATTTCATCTGTGTTGAATTTTCCATTTCTTTACCGAGCTCAACCAGTCATCCAGGCAATCTCTATCTGCGACTGGCTTGATACCTGCTGGCTCTTATCATGTTAGTTTCTTCTTTTAGTGCTTCGACTCTATCTGGCACGTCCATTCCGCAAATCGGGCGCCCTCTCTCACTGCAATTTCCACATCACAAATGTCAGGACATTGAATCAAAGGTACATGGTCGGAAGACGTGGACCGATTTATGCGTTTTCTGACCCTCCAGAACAAGGTTGATGCCCAAAGGAATAAAGCAGCCAATCAACCCTCTGGCCCTGGAATCAGATTTCGCTGTTCTCGCTGGTCATCCTCAAGCTCGAAGCTCCGAGTTGCAAGCCAGAAAAGAGTTTGCCTAGTAGTGCGATGGGTTTTTGCACGCGTGAAGTCGCCCCCAGACCTCATCCATCGTTCCTCATCCACCATCAAATGCCCACATCTGGCCGTGTACATCTCCACTCAGTCGCGCATTGCTTTGCAAATGGCTATTCGACTGCTTTGGCTTCCATGTCCCCTTCCACTTAACCTGCCCCCACCTCTGATCTTCTTTGCCCGGCTCTTACGTCTTCTAGTCGCTCCCACGGGCCCCAGCTGCTCCTCCTGTTACTAGTTATTAGCTTTTGCTACGCCATTATGCATGACATCGCTTCTCTCGGTCCGCTCCACAGCCTGCCCTGTGCCAGGCTCTGATGTGTTGTCAAGCTCCTGCTGGGCAGGGTGAGGCTGGTTCGCTTTGGTCCTTTGCTCTGCCAGTCCAATTTTTCGCCATCCCAATCCTCTTACCCACGTCTCGAATACCTGCCCTGGCACCTGGGTTGCTGGCTTGCATCCTCGCATCTGTGCGACCTTGGTTTTTATATAGACAATGCCAGGGCGGCCTTTGTTGATCGGTACAAGTGTCACAAGATCTCGCACAGATCATGTTGCACAGAGGACCGCCTCTATTCACTCTGACCTGCTGATTTTGCTGCCTTAAATGGGGCGACGTTGACACAACAGAGGAACTGTCATTGAAACGAATGCCGTGTTTTCTTTGAATGCAGCTATCCTTCATTCTTCTGCTGTTGTCCACTTTTACTGCCAACGGCCTCCTTCTCACCCAGAGGTCTGAGTTGTCCGTTGCTCCCGGTGGCTATATATCTCACCGACATCTGATTGCTTTTCCTTTTGTGGCAATTTGTTCTTCAAGAACTTCCTTCGATTTCGAGACTTCCTACAAATATCCGAGACAACCAACCTTCGAGTCTAGTTGTCTTCTTCATCTTTTTTCCACCAAAATGGCTACCAAAACCCATAAGACGTGGCAGGAGGAGCTTGTTGGTATGGGCATATACATTTTCGAATGGAGCTCCAAGCGCACTGAACTAATGGACCACCAGCTGAATGTCGCAAAATGAGGATCCCAGCTCCGGTCTTCAACATCGTATCGGATCGGCGAGGTAAGTCAGCCTTTTTGCATTCCGACTTCCGAGGATGGCGAGATCTCATGATTCCCGACTAGGTGGACGGACGGCCTGGTCTGCGACAGTAACCATTCAGGGACAGAACCTTGCAGCAAGATACTGGTACGACGGACAATATCTCAACAATGCAAAGGAAGATGCAGCAGAGGTCGCCTGTACAAAGCTTCGAAATCCTTCTATCAGCTCTAGTCAATCAGCCTCCTACCGTTCCTCCTCAGGCCACCCCCATGGCGCGTATCGTTAAATTTTAAACTACGACTGTTGATTACGACCATTTGGGCTTGGCTACAAGATTGAGCTATCACTCATGTTTTCGACCGCCGATGCGCAACGCGGCCTAGGAAAAAGGGAGTCTTGAGAGCGATCTGCAAAATGTGTTAACACGGAGAAATACCAACGGGGTTGCTACCGGGGCATAGCGATGGCGTTTTTCGGCGGGCCACCAGAGCCGTCCAAACTTTTTCTTGGGGTTTGGGGATTTTGATTATTTCTTCTATCATTTTTCATTCTGCCGATATCTTCTCTCTATCAGTTCCGAAATTCACCAGAAGGGAGAAAGAAAAAGAAGAAGATTGGGTTGTGAGCGCCCTGGTCAAGTGGGCATGATTGCTGTGTACCTGTCACTGGCAAGAGGTCTCAGTCCTCTGCTAGGTTTTTCCAGACCGCCTCTCGGTCAAATAGAAGAGTTACAATCTACATCCAGACCATTTTTGACGATTGTTTTCCCCCAATGGGTACATACTTACAGCAGCGGCGTTGGCGTGTACTTCCGTAAAGTACCCAATTACGCCCCCAGCAGGGTAGAAGAATCCTGGGAACAGCATGACAGGTGACTTCTTAATGGTGTTTTTCTTCTCGCAGCAGTCAGCGTTGTACCACACCTGCTGTGCACCCCTGATCTGTTGTGGTACGTGAGATTTTGGGAGAGACTTTCGGATTTACTGGAGATGATCTCCCAGCAGGGTGGATGTCAAATCATGAGGCGGTAAGCGCGGTTCAGGGCTGAATCGACTGTACGAGTCTGGCGTTGGCTGTGACTCTGCCTCTGAAACTATCTACCATATTGGTTTACTGGGATAGTAGATAGGGACTGGCTGACTACTCGGTACTACCAGAATGTGGATATGGATACGCGTGTGGATGTGGATGTGGATGTGGCTTGAAGTTCAACCGCGGGAGAACGAAACCTTGTTTCTCAGAAATCCTCCGACTGCCAGAACCCCTCCAAACCAAAAACACCGCGACCTCAAATTCTTCTGTCTCTCTCTTCCTCGACATTGCTTTTTCATTCATAACCAACCCTCTTTGCGCACCTGTCATACGATCTGGCCCGCCGGATACCAGCCCATACATAGCTGGTGATTCCAAGTCCATCCCGGCGTCACGCTCGGCCGACTGCAGCAAGACACTCGGGCACAGTGCATATGCGGTTGAGCCTTTGCGCACCCAATACTCGTCCCTTGGTCTACACCGCTGCAAGAGTGTTCTCTCCTTCTGTCGGTCCATATGCATCTCAACCAGTCGTCAAGATGTCCACCGCCACAAAACCCTCGGCCTTGACTTTTGATCTTCAAGCTCGTTGTTCGGTACGAAGCCAATCCATCCCAGCGGTTCCTTCTTAGCAAGGACCACTCACTTTTCCGCAAAGGCCGAATGAATGGTGCGATTGACAAATACGTTTTCTTTCTTTTTGAACTAGACATCCAAGGCTCGTGCTTCGACTCTACACCTCCCGCATGGCCCTGTCGATTTGCCTATTTTCATGCCTGTGGCCACCCAGGCTTCACTCAAGGGTCTCACACCAGAACAACTCGAGGACACGAGTTGCAGGCTTTGCTTGAATAATACATATCACCTGGGGTTGAAGCCAGGACAGAGTGTGTTGGACTCGGTTGGGGGCGCACATCGATTCCAAGGATGGAACTACAATATCTTGACTGATAGTGGTGGGTTGGTGGTTACCCCATGACCTACTCTGCACAAAGGAGAGGCGGACTGACATATAACTCGAAAAGATTTCAAATGGTCTCATTGCTGAAACTAGCAAAGGTCACGGAAGAAGGCGTCCGATTCCTGAGTCCTCATGATGGCAGTCCAATGTACGCGAAGGCTTCTGACTTGGAGCATTTGGACAAATTCCGCTGACATAGCTTCCCCAGGTTGCTCACTCCAGAACACTCCATGTCCCTCCAGAACTCGATTGGCTCCGACATCATCATGCAACTGGACGACGTCATCCAAACCACATCTCCGGATCACGCCAGGATCAAAGAAGCCACGGATCGCTCCATCCGATGGCTTGATAGGTGCATCGTTGCCCACAAGTACCCCGAGAAGCAGAACTTGTTTTGCATCATTCAAGGCGGACTTGATCTCGAACTCCGGAGACAATGCTCCATTGAAATGGTCAAGAGAGATACGCCTGGTATCGCCATTGGTGGACTCTCCGGTGGTGAAGCAAAGGCAGACTTTTGCAAAGTGTATGTGTCTGGCTCTTCTTCCCATGAGCGGAAAGTGAGATATATCACGTGCTGACTTGGCACTCACTGCTTAGAGTTGACACCTGCACCAACCTGCTACCAGACGAGAAACCCAGATATGTAATGGGCATTGTATGTTTATTGCAACCATAGATCATGTTTGCCCTGGGCTTGAAGACTGACACACTCCCTACTAGGGATATCCCGAGGATATCGTCGTCGCAGTAGCATTAGGGGCTGATATGTTCGATTGCGTCTGGCCAACCAGGACAGCAGTAAGCACAGCTTCATTCTCAAATCATCTTCCACATTCATTCATACCTACCCGCACCGTTGTTCTCCAACAAGCCTCATCCCCCGCCCTCCATACATGCATTCCTCACTATCTGTTTGCCCACGTCCTACTTACCCATCCTGTCTAGCGCTTCGGCAACGCCATCACTCCATTCGGGGTCCTGAACATCAAACACTCCCGCTATGCCGAGGACTTCACGCCCGTCGAAGATGGCTGCACATGTACGACCTGCCGCCCCCGAGAAGCCGGTGGTCTCGGTATCACCCGAGCCTATCTCTACCACCTCGCCGCTAAGGAAACCGTTGGAGCACATTTACTGACGATCCACAACGTGCACCATCTACTTACGTTGATGCGTAGAACGAGAGAAGCTATTCTGAAGGATGCGTATCCCGCCTTTGCGCGGGAGTTCTTCCAGAGCTATTTTCCGGAGGAGGGGCCGCCGGAGTGGGCGAGAGACGCGCTCAAGGGTGTGGGTATTGAGATTTGAGCATTGACATTCGGTAGAGGCTGGTGGTTGGTGTTTTGGGTGACGATGTACTCGTAGCGTGCTCGGCCTCGATCGACTACCTAGGCAGCTACCGAGTACTGCTCCTCTTGTCGAATCCCGTGCTCCATTACGCTCATTGCGCTTTCCTGGGGAGACATCGCTTTGTGTGTGTGTGTCTGACCTTGGGAGAGTTGTGGTGCCAATCCTCAGTCAGACTGCCATCAGCCTATGTCTGTGCAGTGCAAGATAGCCTCGAGACAAGCACTTCGATCTGCATAGATTTTCTAGATACAGCCATGCTAGACGAACCCTCAGATTTGACTGAGGAGAGCCACTTCCCCCTTCGCCATAAAACGATCATAGCGTCACTCAGTGTGTGCAAGGTTTCTGTGTTACAAAATCCCTCGCGTTTATTCGTCGAGCCCTTCGGCCATCGCGCCTCAGACGGTCAGACGCAAACACTAGCCCTCCCTGATCCTTGGCCTCCTCAAAGCTGCGCCCTCTGGTCCAGCGCATTCGCCAGGGCATACAGCAAGCTCAGCAAGGGCGTTGCCACGCCCTTGTCCTCGGCGATCAGCAGCGCGTTCCCCACGATGGCATCGACCTCCAGCCGCCTCCCGGCCAGCGCATCCGCCTGCATACTGGGCTCGACACCAGGCAGAGTCCGCGCCTGTGCGCGGCCCAGCTGATGCTCCGCTCGTTCCGGCGAGACATCGGGGTAGCCTGCTGCGCGGGCGATGGATGCGACTTCTAGCATGACGCTGCGCACGATCGAAGGTGCGATCGGCGACGAGGAGAGGAACTGGGCGTCGCGGCTGCGAGAGAGTGCGCAGATCGGGTTCCAGGATGCGTTGACGAGGAGCTTCGTCCAGCGCTCTTCTTGGATGTCGTCGTGTAGGGTCGCAGTTGCATTGACGGGTTCGGATTGGATTAGATCTGTGAAGGCCTGCGCGCCTGCTTTGTGGGATCGGGGTGCGGTCGACGGGAATGTGCCGATATGGAGGTGCTCGACTTCTGCGTGGGTGATGACCCCCGGGGAGATCTGGGTCGCCGGGAGGTAGACGACGCACGAGAGGATGGGGTTGTAGGGGAAGGCGGTCCGGTAGATCTCCTCGACCCCGATGCCGTTCTGGATCAGCACGACGCTTGTCTCCGGGCCGACTGCATCCTGGATCTGGGAGGGGATCGAGGGTGTGCTGGGGATGGCTTTTGCGGTCACCACAACGTAGTCGAAGAAGGAGTGTTCATCGTCGCTCGATACGGCGGCGGCTGCTTCGGCAGCAGACTTCACCACGACGGGGCGCACGTTCAGATTCTCGCCGAAGAGGGCCGAGTTGATCGTGAAGCCTTGTCTGCGAGCGATGTCGTAGTTCGACCGGCACACGGCGAAGATGTTGGACTCGCCAACTGCCCGTGACAGAACCCACGCGTATACGGCTCCAATGCTGCCCGTGCCGAAGATCAATATCCGCGGCGGCCGTGCTGCTGCTGCTGGCATTGTTGTGGCGCCTAATCTTGGGATGAGTTGTCAGAAAGCATAAAGTGTGATATTGGGGTCGGGGTGTTCGGGATATGGCATCTCATTTATGTATCCATTTCTCATTTAGTGAGTGGCGTGGTATTCGAGAAAGTGGATCTCGTTGGATATAGGATGACGGAATACCACGCCGGCATATGGCCGACAGGTGAATATCCAGAAACTCGATCTGGGCGGGGGCGTCCCATTTCATTCCTATTTGAGACAGAATATGCGTCCAGAGAGGCAGGCAAGCAGGCAGTAGGAATGAGTGGGTTTGTTCTTACCTCTATCTTGTGAGGCTCGTACTTTATCCGTGCTCTGGGTTCTGCTGCTCATCGCAAATGACCGAATACTTGTGGGGAGATCCTGATGTCTATGTTTCGGCGCTCCGGCTTACCTTGTGATATGAGGGTAGCGAGCTATGGAGGAAAACGAAGCTCTTGTGCCGTTACTTCGAACGCTCTGAGTCTTCAGGTGTTGAGTTGCAGGAGACAATAGCCGTCTAGATGGGAATACCAGCATTCAGCGAGTCAACATATTCTTTATTCTCAGAGATCTGTAAATTTGGGGGAGCTGCTGTGTGTGGTGCAGCGGTGCTTGTATGGCTACGCCCTATCACATTTCAGTCGGCAACGTGTCTCACGACCAGAACAGAAGACTGCTTGTTGAGGAATTATTTCAACCCTAGGCAGTCTCCAGTTACAGGGCAAGTAACGTCGCCTATCGTTCTATTCTGACGATGACTCTGGGAAGAATTCAAGCACAAGGTACATCGGCAGCGGGAGATGGTCACTCGTGAGTCGCGAGTTGGAAGGTGGGGGCTGAGGTACGTGGGGGCTAGTGGGGTTTTGCTATGTAAGAGCATTTGGTCGTTGGTGCAAATACTTGTACGGAGGATCATACGCGAGAAGTCCACGTGTTTTAGAACAACCCCCGAGACGCGAACGGACCAGGAGAGGAAGTGAGAGATTGGCTGGCCTGGGGACTTGGGAGTTGGCAAAGTTTTGGATCGCACCTAAGGCACAATGACGTGGTTAGGGATAAGAGCCTCAATATCATAACCATCCGCCACAGGCATCACTTCATCATTATTCTCTCTTTGTGACAATCTGCATTTCCGGGTGTACCATACAATTGGAAGAAAGCGGTGACAGACACAAACCATGGATCCAGACATACCTGCCCCCTCCATCGAATATGATGATGGTGGCCTCCCTGCACCCAAAGCAATGTCAACAAGAACGCCCTCCACAACAACCACGCCCTCAAGATCTATGTCAACTCCACGGCGCCCGACAGATTCCCCGCGATTGCAGTACAACTCCTCACCCATGCGCCCTGCGTATCAATACAAATCTGCCTCTCCGAATCCGCCATCGAGATCCCCCTCAGTCGCAAGCTCATACCGTGGCGAAAAGCATTCTACTCCTGCTCTAACCACGAGAAGATCCACCTCCAGTCTCAGCACGGCAAGAGGAGCCACTCCTTCACTTCATCCTCTGTATCGCCGCTCTTCTTCCAACCTGAATCCTTCCAGTCCTGCTGCAAATGGGAAAACCGCCGCCATGAATCCCCCCGAGCGACCCCCTGTAACAGCCAATTCGGTTGCCAAAGAGTATTTTGGAAAGGAGCTGGAAGCGCATGCCACTTTGCAATCTCCTGTCGTTGTCATCGTTCATGATGCATGTTACGGACATCGCTTTGCAAGGCCTAGATCGACTAAGAATGCCTTGGCCAGCATTGTGGAAAGACCTGAGCGCATTCACGCCACTCTGCTCGGTGCTGCCACTGCGTATGTGCGACTCGGTGGACGGCATCAGTACGGTCGGTATATGCCTCGACCTAAGCATGATCGGGCAGATGTCAAGGATGTCCCATTTCAGATTCGAAAGACATCTCGAACCCTCCCTCTCAGTCACCCCGCCGTCACTTATGTTCATGGCGCGAAATGGATGGAAGAACTACAGATCATGTGCGACTCTGCGGAAGCCAAATTGACGATGAACGGAAAGGAGTTGGTCCGGCCAACTGGATATGGAAAGGACGAAGGAGGAAATGCTCTTCCTAAGTTGCACGAAGGTGACCTCTATCTCTGCCGGGAGTCACTGGATGCCTTGCAAGGTTGTCTGGGAGGGGTCTGTGACGCCATTGATACTATCTTCTCGTCGAATCCCACAAAGCGTGCCTTCGTGTGTATTCGTCCTCCAGGCCATCATTGCTCCTCGAACTTTCCCTCTGGCTTCTGCTGGTTGAACAATGTTCATGTTGGGATCTCATATGCAGCCATGAATCATGGACTAACGCATGCTGTCATCATTGATTTTGACTTGCATCACGGCGATGGCTCTCAAAACGTCGCTTGGGATCAAAACCGCAAGGCTCAAAACCTGCCCAAGAACGCTGCCGCTCATCGGAAAACGCCAATTGGCTATTATAGTCTCCATGATATCAACTCATATCCATGCGAATGGGGCGACGAAGAAAAAGTTCGAAATGCTAGTCTATGCATCGAAAATGCACATGGACAATCCATCTGGAATGTCCATTTGGAGTCGTGGAGGTCACATGAAGAATTCTGGAAGCTCTACGAGACCAAATATTTGGTACTGCTGGAGAAGGCTAGGGTTTTCCTTCGACACCATTCCGCTAAATTACGCGCGGCAGGACACCAAGAGCCCAAAGCTGCCATATTCATATCTGCAGGATTTGATGCAAGCGAGTGGGAAAGTGCTGGGATGCAGAGACATAGCGTCAATGTGCCGACTGAGTTCTACGCAAGAATCACCGCAGACCTGGTCAAGCTATCACAAGAAGAAGACACAGGAGTTGAGGGTCGCCTGATCAGCGTTCTTGAGGGCGGATACAGCGATCGGGCCCTTACCTCTGGTGTATTGAGTCACATTTGCGGTCTGGCCACTGACGCTGCCCCTTCTTTGCCATCTTCGTCCGATGTTTCGGATACGCCAAAGTTCCAAACCATAAACAACTGGATCCCCGAAAATTCGGCGTTGGCCAACGGTCCAACTCTTTCTTTCACTCCCGATTGGTGGGCACTCGATAATTTGGAAGAACTTGAAGCAGCCGTCGCTGGGCGTCAACCTGCTGGTCCCAAATCTCTTCAAGACAAGACTGGAAATTATTCCTCCCCAACTCACGCCTCCACGCTCAAGATGACCGAAAATGCCCGTGACAGACATTCCCTATCTGCGCTGCAAGCTCGGTTATCTTTAGAGTCACAGTATGTCCCACCACCACCCGATGTCAGCTGGGCTATTGCGTCCTACGAGTTGTCCCGCGTGATCATTCCTTGTGACCGCCAGACACTTAGTTGCACACATGAGGAACTCAATGCCGAAGCCACAAAAGTTCGTCGTGAACGGCAATCAAACATTGGAGTTGTGGCTCCCTCGGATGAACGGATGCAGCTTCGGGATCGAAGAACCAAGGTCCAGGCAGCGGAGTTTGGTGGTGTGAGAACTTCATCACGTAATGGCAATAGGAGAACTACCATTGCAGCCGTGAGCGAGTTGCCTGATCCGACAACGCCAGTACCTGCCATGCCCAACGGGAGACCACGTCGTAGATCCAGTGATGCTTCAAGCATATTATCTGGTTTCCAGGGCATGAAGCTTTCTGACGATACCAGTGCAACTTCAGTGAAACTACCAGTCAACGGTACTAGCCATGCCTCCAGAGCTCCGCCTAGCGTTCCGGAAAAGGCTGCAAAACCAGTTGCTGTCAAGAAGACCAGAGCTGCTCCGACCACCAAGGCTCCCGTCAAACCGAAAACAAGCCCTCGAAAGCCTAGAGCAACTCCACCTATTCCTGTAAATAGAGCATCGGCAGCAAAGTCGGAGTCCCTCAATGACAGCAACGGCGTCAATCAAGAATTCACTGCCAGTGGAAGAGGCCCCTCCACTTCGTCACTGGATAGTGGCAATGCAGGCTCGAAGCCGGATGACATGGATGTCCTTGCAAATGGCATGAAGAAGATTAGTATCAAATTGAAGGTGCCGACACCAGAGGAACACGCAGCGAAACAGCAGAAGATTCTTGAAGAGAAACAGAAGAAGCCCCGTGCCACTAGAAAGCCTGCTCTGCCGAAGCCTGTCAAACCGACAAAGCCCATCCAACCTACATCAAATGATACACTTGTATCGATCCAGCCGAGGCCTACACAGAATCCGAAAACCGAAGGTCCGGCCGTGATTGATACCACTGCTATTCAAAATGGACCTCCAGTGGTAACTGCTCCCGTCGCAGAGCCGGTCAATCCCTCGTTTACAAGCACACGAGTCTTTCCAGCGCTCCCTCCTGTTGGATCTCTACCACTAGGGCCAAATCAAAACCACGACGTCCTCAATGACACTGCTCTTGCAAGAATGCAGTCTCAATTTCCACCTTCAACTGCATTGAATGTCGAGCCTTTGCGTAGCTCGAACGCAACGCATATTGACCAGCCACCTCCTCCAATGTATAGACAAGACCCAGCGATCTCGGGGAATCACCCAGTCGAGCCAGTGATTTACTCATCAAACACTATTCTACAGCAGGTTGCTCCGGTTCAAGGAGCCCCGTGGCCTCCATCAACCACGATGATGACTCCGAAGCGGTCAAAGGAGGATCTCCCCGTATTCACATCTCATTCGCCAATTCCATTCTCGGCCCCGCAGCGAGCGAAAGGAAACCCGACAGGGCCTGAATCCTCGATTTGGGACATTCCAGAGACGCCGCACCAGCAGTATATGAGGGAGGATACTTTTTGATTCGATGATTGCTGAAGGTTTTGACTACGAACTACCCGAGATACTCCCCTGGAAGAGGTTGCGAGAGCAAGCTTGAGACGAGATCAAGGTGCCTCCACGATGAGAATGATCACCACTAATTTCCCCGAGCTTTCAAGGATTCGCGCTGAGCGATGCATTCTCGAGATTTTTTTTTTGTTGTTTTTCTTGCATTGTGATTGAGAGATACCCCCAACGAGCATGGATGGATGGAAGGAAGGAATGGCGCCCGGTGCCATTGCTCAACGTTTTCTGCTTCTTTACCGTAGGCCATGAGTGGCGGACTTGGGATATTGGCTATTCTCAGTTTACAGAACAGAGCTACCGCAGGAAAGGGACTTCCTTCCATAGCTACTCTTGGATAGGTCAGCTTAATCAGTCAATCGATTCGTGATGACTTCACTAGAGCTGATTCTCACTTTCGTTCGTTTGATGTGACTCAATGATTTTGCACTTGACCTTCACACCAGACAGGTTACAGGCAGGTAGAGGAATTTTGGCTTTCCCCACGACAAAAAGTACGGAATTGTGCGATCACATTTCAGACGATTGTGTAATGAATATGTTGAACCATGCCAAAAATTGAAGCAGAGACTACTACGAGTGTATTCCAGCAATGATGGGCAGGAAATCAAGAGATTGGGTGTTTAGTTTCTCATTTGGGAAAAGGGTATCAATTCTTGCAATGGCAATCATAACACTATGGAGGTGATAAGGGGAATGTTGTGTCTCGAGATCGCCAGGAAGGGGGGGGATGAGAGAGAGGTACACAACAGGGCAAACAATTTATAGGAGGATCCCGCCTCCCTAGGTAAGGGATATGTATCATGTTATGCTGGACACCATTTGACAGGTTTTCGCGTAGTGCTAGGGGTATCCTCGGACGTCAATGCCAGTGCCACGCAGAGACAACTGGCGAATTTCGTCTTGCAAACTTGAAATTAGGGTGGAATAGATGAATGAGTCGAGGGTTTTCCCTTCAGGGAGGATTGTCCGCGGAGCACGAACATCGGCTTTACATGACCTCGCACCCAGATGACGTCTTATCAGGGCTCGTCTTGCGACTAGACCGACTCGAGCCGCCGCGACCCTCGTCGCGGCGCTGGTCCTTGACAGGTCTATGGTTGCCGTACGCTTGCTGCTGCTGGCCACCATTCTGGCGTGCAGCTGTGCGGGCGGCGAGGGCAGCAGCAACGCCAGCGTCGTAGTTTCGCTTTTCGAACTCCTGCCAGAGAAAACACTGGTCTGCGGGGCGCAGACATGCGATGGGGGGCTGACAGGCAAACACTTCAGGCGTCCAGGGCCCATGCAAGGACGAGACCCATCGGCTCGCCGCCGCCAGGGCGTCGCGGTACGAGGTGGGTTCAGCCGCGTATAAGTCCTGTGTTGGAGTGTTTGTGGAGGGGCGAGCCACAACGCGTGGAGGAACAGCGCGCGGCTTCGTCACGGAGCCTTGCCGCGGTGACGTACGGCGAGTGATGAAATGACGGACGTTGGTGTCGATTGAGTCAGGTCGTCGCGTAGCGTTGTTGGTGGGTCTGAGACCCTCTGTCTGTCGTGGGAGGGCTGGCACAGGTGGTGGTGGCGATGATAATTCTCCTCGTGCCATCTGTTCGGCTAGCATGTTGAGGTTGTACATCGATGAGCGGTTGCGTCCTGGCATGTTAATGTGCGCTAGATCCACCGCTGGGTTCACCGTCGCTGACATGCCCGAGTACCGCTTCGTATTCGTCCGTCTGCAGCTCGAGCCTGGTCGGCGACCATTGCCGCTGCTTCCAGGTCGTCTGCCGCTGCCACTGCTGCTGGTGTTTGCGCCGGTGTTACTTGTAGGACTATGCTGGGTTATCGGGAATGGAGTGGCTCCTTGTCGTGGCAGTTTCGGGTAGGAAACTGGTTCCTCTGAGACCGCCGGGTAGGAAACAAACCCAAACCCTGGTGTTGATTCGCCGGTTGCTGGCCATGGTGCCTCAGATGACAGTGGGGAGACAGGAGACAATGGACTATATAGGGCACTGTATTTCCGGGAAGGAATGTCACTTGGCATGTTCACGCGAGCAGGCGACCAGCGCTCTTGGAAAGTAGGAGCATCGTCTCTCGGTCCATGGCCGCCGTGTCGGAGGCAAGGCTTCACCAACCTCTTTACCACTGGATCCCTCAGCTGTTCCGGGCATGTGGGCTTCGGAAGCGGGCACCAGACTTCTCTCCTCGATTCCGCGCACTTACAAGAGTAATAGGTTATCTTGGTGAAGCACATGAGTGCTTCTTGGGTTTTCTGCACTTTTGCGTTGTAGCTTGTCTGCACGTATGTGTGTACGGACGATATGTTGAAGGTTTGGGTACACACCTTGAGCCTCGAGGCAGTGTAGGGTTCAAATACACGCTACAAGTCATTGTCGCCTCGACATAATAAGTAGACATAACGAGCTTTGTTCGCGCTGCCGGAAGCGGGATTGGCCAAAGATAGTTGGGCTTTGTTGAACCGGCTGTTCAAAGAACGGTGATGGGTTTTCGAGGCAGCGCTGAAGGCCTTCCGTAACACCCTGGTTCAGCAGCATTGGACCTACCTTCTCGCTAGTTACTCTGTTGGGAGGGTAGGACTGTTGTGATGAAGGGAGATGCCACCAGCTTGCACGTCTGTTCCAATGAGCTGTCAGTGGAAGAACACGCAGAAATACCTTATGTGTAAGGACTCAAAGGGTTCAATGTGATGCACTCGAATTGAGAAAGGCCCTCTTTCATAAAGAGATGACGACAAGGCCCAAATAGGAATTATACAGAGCACCGCTAGAGAAGGAAAACATGGTGCTCATACAAGGCTGCCAGGCTAAGCGCTGATGCCAAGCCTTGGCGCTGTTGCTGTTGCCGTGGTGACCTGATTCCCTGTTTGGGATGCGTCATCAAAGCCTTGTCTGCAACACGAACTAGAGCACATCCTACCAATGCACAATCTTATTCGATCATTGAATTCTCCGAGTGACACAGGAAGCATCCATTATCATTGTATACGTGTGTTCTATTATCTATTTTGCTGCGCATGGACACGACTCTGATCTGATTCCACCATCATTTATCCTTCGTTGGTAAACAAACCTGGCTGAACCTTTTTTTTTCACAATGGACGGACATCCAACACCCAGTCGTCCACCTCCAAGCTACCCGGATGGACTTCCATCGTACGTTAGCACACCAACCGAGGAGGACAATATGAGTATCCCAGGAAACAACTCACCTCTGAGACTGCTCCCGCAGCCTCAGGATGACTACAGATCGTATGTGAAAACTCCCAGTGCATTTACCCACCACATCCCACCGTGGTCAGGCAAGCGCAAGCCCGTTTCAGCTCTAAAGGTATCCCGTGTTACTTGGGATGATTTCCCTCAGAAAGACTCCCCAAGGAGCGCTCGAATGGAGAGTCCGGTGTCTTCTTTGATCGCAGAAGCTGAAGAGAAGCTCAACCGCACGCGCAAGACCCAGGTCTTTATTGGCCGCAGCCCAACTCTGAAGGCTAGCGTAAGGTTGAAGAAGAGTCCACAGACTGACACAGCCATCTCTTATAGATCCACTACATCTAGTCGAACCTCTCCCGACCGATATCATAGGCCTGGAGTTTCCACTGCATACAGCTCGAGGCCTAGTTCAAGTCTCGGGCGAGCCCCCTCAATCCCGCTCCCTACAGCAAATCCTCGATCTCCTATCCGACCCTCCACTCCATCAAGAGTATCCACCGACTGGGGAAGAGCATCAAGTGTAAATTATGAGCCTTCAGACATTAATGGTAGCCCTCGTCCAGGGACGCCTTCTTCACAATATGGAGGGAGCCCGAGACGTCCACTGCCTCCAGCACCTCTGTTTTCGGTGAAAGGGGCTGCGTCAGAGACCGCAATACCAATGCCAGACATAGACGGAGACCATGATGTCTTCTCTAGCGGTCATTCAATTAGACCCGACAATGACCCCCGAGCAAGTCTCAAATCCGCTCACTCCTACATGACAGATTCTACATTTACGGAAGACAACAATGACTCTGAAGAGGTCATGACTGAGAAAATGGGTGGCTATGGCCCCGCACCGGAAGGAAAGCAAGACAGAAGAGGCCTAAGAGAGGCCCAAATGACCAAGAAAGAAGTTCATCTGATCAACGGGGAGCTGATTTTAGAGACCAAAATCCCAACCATTTTACACAGCTTTCTACCTCGAAGAGACGAACGGGAGTTTACCCATCTGCGCTACACAGCGGTAACATGTGATCCAGACGACTTTGTTGTTAATGGATACAAACTCAGACAAAATATCGGATCTACCATGCGGGAAACAGAGCTTTTCATCTGTGTCACCATGTACAATGAAGGGGAAATCGAATTTACCAGGACCATGCACGGAATCATGCGAAATATCTCCCATTTCTGTTCCAGAACAAAATCAAGAACCTGGGGCAAGGATGGCTGGCAGAAGATCGTGGTGTGTGTTATCGCCGATGGACGACAAAAAGTGCATCCTCGAACCTTGAATGCTCTGGCCGCACTGGGAGTCTACCAAGACGGAATTGCTAAGAATGTCGTCAATAAGAAAGAGGTCACTGCTCATGTCTATGAGTACACGACTCAAGTCTCTCTCGACGAGACACTCAAGTTCAAGGGCGCCGAGAAGGGGATTGTCCCTTGCCAGATGATTTTCTGCTTGAAGGAGCAGAACAAGAAAAAGCTCAACTCTCACCGATGGTTCTTCAATGCATTTGGTCGGGCCCTCGTTCCCAACGTATGCATTCTGCTTGATGTCGGTACAAAACCGGATTCTAAAGCACTGTACCACCTTTGGAAGGCTTTCGATCAAGACTCAAATGTCGCTGGTGCAGCTGGCGAAATTAAAGCTGACAAAGGGAAAGGCTGGATGGGTCTCCTCAATCCTCTTGTTGCATCTCAGAACTTTGAGTACAAGATGAGCAATATCCTTGACAAACCATTGGAATCCGTCTTTGGATACATCACTGTGTTGCCGGGTGCCCTGTCAGCATATCGTTACTATGCGCTCCAGAATGATCCCAGCGGGCATGGACCTCTCAGTCAATACTTCAAGGGAGAAACCCTTCACGGCGCCGATGCCGATGTATTCACTGCGAACATGTATCTGGCTGAAGATCGAATCCTTTGCTGGGAGCTCGTGGCCAAGCGGGGCGAGCAATGGGTATTGAAGTTCGTCAAGAGTGCGTATGGTGAAACAGATGTCCCTGGTAAGAGTGTATTCGATTCTTGGGCAAATCTTTGCTAACCTTGAATGCAGATACCGTGCCCGAGTTCATATCTCAGCGTCGTCGATGGCTCAACGGCGCATTCTTTGCTGCTGTATATTCGCTCGTCCATTTCAAGCAGATTTGGTCGACAGATCACACTTTGACTCGAAAGATCCTTCTGCACATCGAATTCTTGTATCAGCTCGTCTCAGTGCTTTTCACCTTCTTCTCTCTGGCAAACTTCTATCTCACCTTCTACTTTATTGCCGGTTCACTCGCAGATCCACTTCTCGACCCTTTCGGCCACAACATCGGAAAATATATCTTTGTGGTCCTACGCTATGTGACTGTGCTGTCAATATGTCTACAATTTATTGTCAGCTTGGGGAACAGACCTCAAGGTGCCAAACGCTTGTTTATGGGCAGCATGGTAACATATTCCATCATCATGGCGTACACCACCTTCGCGTCTCTGTACATCGTAATCAAACAACTGACTGCGCATACGCTGGAGGACACGGATCCGCAATCTCCATACAAGCTCGGGAACAACGTATTCACTAATCTCATCGTGAGCACTGTCAGCACTATTGGCCTTTACTTCCTGATGTCTTTCCTCTACTTGGATCCATGGCATATGTTCACCAGTACAGCGCAGTACTTTGCATTGTTGCCCTCGTACATCTGCACTCTGCAAGTTTACGCCTTCTGCAACACCCACGATGTCACCTGGGGTACTAAAGGTGATAATGTACTGCACACAGACCTTGGGATGGCAAAGGCTACGGGAAGTGGAAATACGGTCGAGATGGAAATGCCTTCGGAGCAGCACGATATTGATTCTAGCTACGACGTTGCACTTCGCAATCTTCGTGATCGGCTTGAGGTCCCCAAGCCGGCCCCAAGTGAGAATCAGCTTCAAGAGGACTACTACAAATCTGTCCGAACATACATGGTAGCGACCTGGCTTGTCTGCAATGGCATCCTCGCCATGGCCGTCTCGGAGGCATACCCTGTTGGCTCGCACATCAACAAGAATACATACCTTATCTTTCTCCTCTGGTCTGTTGCTGCACTTGCAGTTTTTCGTGCCATTGGCTCTTCCACATTTTTGGTCCTCAATATCATCTCTGCGGTCGTTGAAGGAAGGATCCAAGCTAAGTTCGAGCGCATTTTTGGAGGTGGTGATGAGAACGGACGACATAAAACAGGTTTGGGAAGTGGATTCTCGGAATCTGGAAAGACCGGTGTGACGGGCTCCACTGGCTCTGGCATGAGTTTGAGTGATGTTACCAGTAAGATTAGTGAGAAGTTCAGTTGGATTGGGAAGAGATAAGCATGTTTTGGTTATGATGGAATTTTCATGGCTGTAATGGAGTTTGTCACGATTTCCAAAGTGCCATCAATACAATGGCATCTGATGGGGTAGGGTTCGGACGAGTTCATGGGTTTCTTGACTCGTGGATATGTATCATGCTTGCTTTCTCCGAAAGATCCGGACGGCGTTGAATTGTAATTGCACTGAGAATACTACGGTATAGACGAAAAGCTGAAGGTTTTCACGACGGAATAATCGGGAAACATTGTCGTGTGTATTGGCCTGTTTCGCAACGTTCTCGGCTTCTCATACACAAAAGGTTACACAAACTCGAGTCTTGGTGCAAAAGACTCTGATGATCAATAGAATACGAGTCGTGTTCAGCTGGGAATCGAACTTACCTGACTGGGATGTGAATGGGGGTTTGGGGCTTTAATAACTACCAGCTATATAGCTAGTAGGGTTCTAATCCTCTCTAGGGAGAAGATCGAAACACATTTCAATAACGACGTTGTTTTGTTTGTTTGCTGTGTATTCTCGTACTTCGAGCCTCTAAACAAATCAGCGTAGGTTAGGGAAAAGATTGCTTACCTCCTTTTCCTGCTAGCACAATTTCCAACGCCAAAAACCAAAAGACAACAAAAGAAAATTATACTTTACCTTGTGGGTAGGTGGAGGAGGAGGACCGGGGGACATAATGTTCTATGGCGAAGGTCTAACCAGTACTAGAGCTCGCCGATTCATCGTCACCATCACAGGGACTCCAACTCAATATTGTGCTCTTTGGTAAAGCGTCGCGTCGCTCGGCGACCATACCCAGGGCTAGACTCCTTCTCCTTCGAGACTTCGTTCACACGAGTGCGGAGCTGAGCCCGGTCGCGCTGTATGGGACGAGGACGCGCATGGCGAACAGCCGGAGGCGATGGTAGCCGACGAGATTCAGGGGACGATGGCAGGGAAATTGGAGATTGTGCTCTCTCGCGCCCAAGGGCCCTACCTTTAGCCTCCTTCTGATGGCGGCCATATTCACTGTCTTTCGTGGGCTTTCGAACACGTGGAGGAGGTCGTCTGCCTACACCTCCCGACAGGGTGATGCGAGCGTGCCCACCGTACGGCCGCGAGAGTCGAGGCGATGGTAGGAGAGTTTCTGGAGATGTTGCTTGCTCTCGCTCGAGTTGCTCCAAAGCAAGGGCTCTGGCTTCAGCCTCCTCGTGATGGCGAGCAAAGTCGCTACCCTTCACAGGCTCGATCGTCCGAGTTGCAACCTTCTTTGGCTTCGGAAGCCGGGTCATGCCGACTCCATTGGGAGGAGTCTGTGCATTTCGATCTCGGGATTTTGTCAGCATGCGAGGTGTCCCATTGAGTGGCTGTCGCTCGTTATGTGGACGAAATCGGCTGGAAGATGTAAGATTGGAGTCGACGATGATTTGCGCGGGACGAGGGTGAGGTAGGGGAGGGATCTGTGCCGCAAATTCATTTTCCCAGTTAGAGTCGCCTAGCAGAGCGGCTTGTGGCAGGGTAAAGTCGAATTGACTGGCACCGTCGACAGCGTCAAGGGATGAGAAACCGAGTACAGGCAGTTCTTGCTGTTGAGGAACGATGTTCCGCTGCGGTTGTGACCGCGAGATGGCGCCCAACACAGCGGGTACGCTTCCTGAGTCCACATTACACACTGGCTTGCCAGCTTTGAGCAAAATATAATATCCACTGCGGCCACCGTTGTTGATAACAAGTGGTGGTGGAGGAAATGTTGGGCCTGGGTGGCTGGCAGGGAAGTTCATCATACCAGATAGCGGCTGTGGTACAGCAGGGCGGGTAAAGAGCGGTTGAGGAACGAAATCACTCAGACCTTCTGCGCCAGTGCCGAGAGTCTCATCAACATTGAAGTCTTCTAAGCTCTCACCGAGAATCTCATCAACATCGAAGTCTTCTAGATCCAAAGTCGCACTGTTAGCCTCATCTGAGCCTAGAGCTGGGACGTCGTTGAAATACTCTACATCCAGAGTCATGTCATTGGCATTCTGGGTTAGAGCCTGGTCTGGGACATCAGTCCAATCGGATAGACCAGTAGACCAGTCTTCTCGATTGAGATGATTGTAAAAGTCGGTTGCGTCGCCATCCTGGTTGACGAAGTCATTGGGAGGCGAGTCTTCAGAAATATCAAGAGGACTCTCCCGCGTCGCCCCGGCAGATAGATTGGTACCTTCTCCTCCGGTCTCCGACACCCCTAGAATCTCATCGGCTGTGAAGTTCCACAAATCAATCTCTGGACCATATCCTTCGTCGTCCAACTGCGGCATCACGTCCGAAGGGTCAGCACCAGAATTGGCACTACTCCTCGGCCGAATTCCTTCAAACGTTGCCAGAAATTCCTGCTGCATCTCTTCATCTTCACGCCGCCCCGATGGGTTGAAATCGACACTCATGGGAGAGGTGGGGGGTTGCTCAAGAGTGAATTCCATGAGCACTGAGTATTGCTAGCCGTCGACGCCTTGTTGCGGAATGTTGGGATAGGCACTGAGCTTTGAAAATATCGCTGAGGTTTTGCCGTCAAAAAGTCCTACCAAAAATCGGCTTGGGTTGTCTCGACGTCCGATTTTGATAGATCTGTGGTTTTGATTGCAAACTCTGTGAAAGCTGGTGGTCTCATGGAGTGCTGTACGACAATTGACACCTTTATACTGCAACACTGCTGCGGAAGGTTCTTCTGACCAAGCGGAACAAGGACTACCAACAAAGGCATTGAATTTCTCGTAATTTGTCTCCATTGATTGTGTCCTCTTTGAGGGGATTCCATCATTGTTGACTTTGTTTTCCTTTGTATTTGAGCTTTGCCATGTGCTTTATAGCTGACTCCTTGCTTTCGAGAACAATGGACCGAGGGAAGATGGTCAGGCATCAATGGACTCCTCCCTTTATCCAGCAGTTCTCTTCACTCGACGCGTCACATCATTTCTAATTCCACTCCAGCCACTTGTACCACTCATACCACTGTAAGTCTTCAGATCCCTAAAACCTTTCTCAGTAACAAGCACAAACATTCCTAAGCTGGACCATCAACACTCTAAGCTCCGACACCAATAAAAAGCAAACACGCCAAGCCTTCCGTGTGAGATTCCAAAGATGGGGTTCGACACTGCTGGTTTTATCGGTATCGGTATCGCCTTGGTAGCACTGACTGCGATGGGAGCGTATATCAGTTATCGCCTCTGCACGAAGCGAGGACGTGCCAGTCAGTCAGATTCACACAAGCAGTATTTGGCGGATGTGGAAGCTAGGGCTGGTAAGGAGACCTATAAGCCGCGTCATGCTTCGTCACCGCTGCACCGTCACTCAAGAGCCTCTCCTGTGGTTGATTCCAGTCCAAACCGGACGAACCTTGGTGCTAGTAGGGCCTTTCAAAACGGGCCACCGAAGCCAGTCACTGGGCAAGGCTCCCAAACAACGCGAAAGACGACCACGGTTGCTCAGACAGTTCGCAGAACACCGCCAAAAGGAGCAGCAAATGGTCATCGCACATCAAAAGGAGAGGTAGACATTTGGAGGCTACGGTCCTCAGTTTTACTCACGCTCGTTGAGCCTGCAGGACGGAGGCTGGATCATTCAAAACCGGGTGACATTCTCTTGGAGCCACGCCAAGGTGGAAGACATGTCGAACAGTGCTGGATCTAGCCAGCACTGCAATATTTCCACCCTCCCCTCGCCTTCGTGAACAACCGCGGCATACCAGAGGAAGACGAACAGTCAGCGGAACTAGCGATCCTGTGAGTCCCCTCAGTCAGTTCAACAGTAATGACAATGAGTAATTGAAATTTCATTTCTTCGAAGAATGTACAGAGTACAGCTTTTCATGTTCCTGCTCGAGAGGTGGAACCAGCACCGTGAGTTCGTGATTCCCCTATGTATTGCCGTCAATTCTTAGCCAATAGTTGTTTGCAATGACGTCAGCTCGGCAATAAGTTTTTCCGTTTTCCCGTTGAATCCATATCAGGTGCGCCTTCGGCCGAGATTCAGCTGCCTATCTCCGAGCGGTCGTCGACCACAAAGCATCTCAGGTCGTAAGGCCACCATGACCTCCACATATGTAGCGCAAACACGTGCTAGGCTGACGCAGCTGGAGATTCATGCCCGTCGCATTTCTTGATGTCAGCCTGTATGTACCACTGTGTCAAAAGAAGAGACTTGGTTGACCATTACATCCATCATCAGGCAGCAGAACGGACCTTTCAGGACAGCTCATTTCTCGCCAATCTTTTCCAGTGCCTTACTCGCTCTTTTCCTAAGCCGCAAACGCTCACACTTGCAAGGCTTGAACTAATTTAGTGGACGAAAAGGAAATGCTAAGTAACATGTCCAGAGTCACATGCCGATGGTTGTGATCCTCCAATCACGAAAGACTTCGATCTCTACCTAGGTCTTCCTACGTATTCAACTTTGTTCGGTTTTAAGCCTTGGTTTTTTTCGGCATAGCTCACACTCACCGAAGAAATGGGTCAGAAGCGGCGTCGCTTGGCCTTATCTTGTGTTGCTTGCCGTCGTCGGAAGGTTAAGTGTGACAGAACGTTTCCCACATGTAATCGTTGTCAGAAAGGGAATGTCGCCTGTGATTATGTCGCCTACACTGGCAAATCGGACGAACCGGCTCACACTCCTGGATCCGAGGGAAGCTCAAATGCTCAGAGAGCGCGAGAGGTGTCTGTTAGCTCATGGGCCGAGGACGCAAATACCTGGCAGGCACGCGCAAAACTGCATTCTAATACCCGTTCTCAGCCCGAGGCGAGTGCTTCTATAACCACTCCATCATTTGCGAATCGCCCTCCAAATCAAAAGCTGTTGGAACTTCAGGAACGTGTCTTCGAGCTTGAGACGTATGTGCGAGCTGCTGGATCCAGACCCGTCTCATCTGAGAAGTACCTTGGTATGGGCCATCCGATAGGCCCGGGAGCTTCCCAAGGAAAACGGGCCTTTCAAGAGCATGAAAGAGCTTTGCTTCGCGGGAAGAGTTTTAAGACACAGTATTTCGGACCTAGTCACCCCGCGGGCATTCTTCTCCAATACGAAGAACTTTCAAGCTTTGTGAAAACTATACTCGGTCATATACCTGCTTTGGAGAAAGCCAGACTTGCGTTCAAACAGAACCGGCCGGAGCTAGGACGGACACTGATGCCATCACAGTTTGAGACACTTGCTAGTATGGTTCCTGACCAGAAGCGAACCGACGCACTAGTACAGGAATATTTCGCCACAATTGAGACTACCTACCGCATCCTCCACATGCCGACATTCTTCCAAAGCTATAAGGAGTTCTGGAAGTCTTCTAGCAACGTGTCCGCACCTTTCCTGGCTCAGCTACTCCTCATCTGTGCTTGCGTCAATTCCGCAGTGGAAGGTGGCCCAACAGGCTTCCGTGGACGAAGCTCTGCTTCACGGGAGATGTCTGTGAACTGGCTTGACTGTGCCGAAGACTGGGTTGACTTGCAGAGCCAGAAACACGTAACTCTGGAGGTTTTCCAGGTGCGAACTTTGGTGGTTCTTGCGAAGCGGCTGAATTGCGTTAAGATCAAAAGAGAGTGGACTATGACCGGACATTTACTGCGACTCGCTATGTCTTCGGGATTGCACAGGGAACCGACAGTTTTGAGCAATCGCATCTCCGTTTTCGACCAGGAAATGCGCAGAAGACTATGGTTTACCATTCTAGAGGTGGAAACACAGTCCTGCCTCGATCGTGGAATGCCTGCAACCATCCATCCTTTTGACTGGGACTGCTTACCACCTCTCAACATCCATGACGAGGACTTCGACTTGATGACGGAAAAGATGCCTCCGGTAAGACCAATGAGTGAGTTCACGAGAACGTCCTTTCTCTGCGTCGCACAGCAGCACTTGCATCTACGACTAGACATGCTATCGAGAATAAACAGCATAAAAGTCTGTCTTGAGAGTGGAATAGCAGCAGAGTACGATCAGAAGCTCAGAATATTTCTTGATGATATTCCCCCCTGGAGGGAGAACCCGTCCAGCACGACAGCGCACATGCTGTCTCGATTGCTGCTTTACGAATTCCTACTCGTTATCCATGAACCCAACTCGGCCTCTCACGATGAGCAAGCACAGAGTTTTTTCACCCGCGCGGCGCGGCGAAACGCTGCACAGAACACTCTCAAAATCTACACAGAAATGAGCCAAAGTGTGAGCCGAATTTTTAGCAACATTCGTGAAGATTTATTCCGAGCCTGTCTTGCGCTTTGTCATGATATTGTTGCTTCGAAGAACGCAGCCGATGATTGGATGCAGGACAGTAACCTCGCAGTGGAAATGATTGGAAAGGCCGTTGATCTGATGGAGGCTAGAATACGATGTCTTGGTCAAGGCTTTCACTCTTTCTGGTTAGGTGCAAGTGCACTAGGTTTGTTGCGAGCCAAGTTATCCCCTCTACTCCCAATGGAGGAGTTTACCAAGCAAACAGCAGATCGGGTGTCCCGATTACATGTTTTCATGATGGGGGAGCAGATGGCTCAACAGACACCTGGCAGCGGCTTCGAGGAGGCTGCTATGAGTGGCGCGAGTACTTTGGTAGGAATGAGTGGGAATCCAGATTCTCATCAAGCATCAGGTCAAGCAGATATGGACTTCTTTGGCAATTCAGGGCAAATTTTCAACGTCTTTTCAGACACATTGTTTGACTTTGACGTGACAGATATCTGGAATACCGGTGGCTATCCGCAGTTTTAGGGAATAGGGCTACTATACTCGATGGTGAGGGCTGGGTAACATATGATGTGCTCCCTCCTCATTCAGAAGGATCGCCTTTGGTGCTGGGAATGGGAATAGTCACACGTTGTGGTTACACAACTCGTACCCATGGGTTTCGGTCCAAGAGTGACCGAGTAGGAGTGAAATTGTGATATTGACGTCATCGGTCGGCAGTCATCTTAATGCCAAGATACTTCGGCTGACCTGCCGTTCTAGGCGCGCTTATCGCTGCCTTCCGGTTCAATTTCTTCTCGCCGCTTCCAAAATTTCACCACCTCAAAACTTCGCCCCTTCCTCTCCCTCTTCTCAAACGTCCCAAATTCTACCTCCCCAATCCTTCATTCTTCTAACCCTTCAAATCTCTCCCTAAAATCTCCTCTCGTCTTCTAGTCTACTTACACTTCTTGTACACTTGCTCCCCTATCCTTGCGCTCACCTCGTGTATCCAGCACGTAATCATCAAACTGGCGCCAAACATGTCTTACGGTGGTGGCTACGGCTCCCGTGGCGGCGACTACAATGGAAATTCTAACGGGTATGTACTCCCTGAAATCTCTGCACTATTTCAGCCCTTCTTGGATGAGTTCGTCATCTCGCCGTCACTTCTTTGATGACTGCGGCGACGCATTATGTATCAGCCCAGTTTTAGTACATCACTAACGATTCATTAGATATGGCGGTGGCAACTCTAATGGCTACTCCAACGGTTACTCTAGCGGCTACGGCGGTTCCAATGGATACTCTGGCGGCGGCGGTGGAGACAAAATGTCCAACCTGGGCGCAGGCTTGAAGCAACAAACCTGGGATCTCGCAACCATGCCCAAATTCGAAAAATCGTTCTACAAGGAAGATCCCGCAGTCACTTCTCGTTCCCAGCGTGATGTGGACGAATTTCGCAGAAAGTTTGAGATCTCCGTTCAAGGCACCAAAGTTCCCCGCCCCGTTGAAAATTTTGATGAGGCTGGTTTCCCGGCCTACGTGATGTCAGAAGTGAAGGCTCAAGGATTCCCTCGCCCTACTGCGATTCAGTCTCAAGGTTGGCCCATGGCCTTGTCCGGACGTGATGTTGTCGGTATTGCCGAAACCGGTTCTGGAAAAACCCTGACGTACTGTCTCCCTGCCATCGTCCACATCAACGCCCAACCTCTCTTAGCCCCTGGTGATGGTCCAATCGTCCTTGTTTTGGCACCGACCCGAGAACTCGCAGTTCAAATCCAACAGGAAATTACCAAATTCGGCAAATCTTCTCGCATTAGGAATACTTGTGTCTATGGTGGTGTTCCAAAAGGTGGTCAGATCCGCGATCTCAGTAGGGGTGTGGAAGTCTGCATCGCTACTCCTGGACGTCTCATTGACATGCTTGAATCTGGAAAGACCAACCTCCGTCGGGTCACCTACCTTGTTCTCGATGAGGCTGATCGTATGTTGGACATGGGTTTCGAGCCTCAAATTCGAAAAATCATTGGTCAGATTCGCCCTGACCGTCAAACTTGCATGTGGTCAGCAACATGGCCCAAAGAAGTGCGTCAACTGGCATCCGACTATCTCAACGACTTCATTCAGGTCAACATTGGCTCGTTAGATCTCTCTGCGAATCATCGCATTACTCAAATCGTGGAAGTCGTTTCCGAATTTGAAAAGAGAGATCGCATGACCAAACATCTCGAGCAGATCATGGAGGATCGCAGCAATAAGATCCTAATTTTCACCGGAACAAAGCGCGTTGCGGACGACATCACAAGATTCCTTCGTCAAGATGGTTGGCCAGCACTTTGTAAGCTCCATCACTGATCAAGACATATTCAAAGTTTTACTAATTCTTTTTGCAGCAATTCATGGTGACAAGCAACAGAACGAACGTGACTGGGTCCTGAACGAATTCAAGACTGGCAAGAGCCCAATCATGGTTGCTACGGACGTCGCGTCTCGTGGTATTGGTATGAAAAGAAAACACCCCCACTCCCTTCCCCCTCTTTTATGTTGATTTTTGCATTTCTTACCATTGCCGTCGTGTGATATGATGCCCTCTCTCTTCTCTCGTTACGCTCCGAATATGCGTAATTTGTCCAGGCTTCGTGTTCGTTCTCGTTGGTCCTTGACCTAGGAAATCTTGGATTGCTTTGCAGCTTGCCAGGAGACAGCATATCTGACTTCCAGTTCCGTTTCGTTTCTGAACGAATGGAGGTATACTTAACTTGATCATTCAAGCTGCAAATCCAGGACTTCTTCCAGAGGACCGTAGACGGTTGCCATTTCCCGGGACATGGACATTGGCCATTTCGCAAAATGATAAATGCTCCGAGTGTCACAGAGAGTGATTGCATCTCCGCTCACACGACCACACATGGTCCCCAACGCCTCCGTAAGACTTCCATTTGGCTAGTTGCTAACCTATACCTCAAGATGTTCGCGATATTACTCATGTGTTCAACTATGACTACCCAAACAACTCAGAGGACTACGTTCACCGAATTGGTCGAACTGGTCGAGCGGGCCGCAAGGGGACTGCGATCACTTTGTTCACCACTGAGAGTAAGTATATCCTCATCAAATTTTCGGGAATCCAGTACTGACCTTTCGCAGATGCCAAACAAGCTCGTGATTTGGTCAGTGTTCTACAGGAGTCCAAGCAGGCCATCGACCCTCGTCTCGCGGAGATGGGCCGCTACTCAGGTGGTGGCGGTGGTCGCGGCTACGGCGGTCGCGGCGGTCACCGCGGTGGCCGTGGTGGTGGTGGATTCACTGCCAGCAATTCTGCTCCCCTCGGCCGCAGCCGGTGGTAAGGATTTCAAGCGACTCGACCCAGAAAACGATTATGTTCTCGATGATGGCCATTTTCGCTATTCTTTAGATCATGCACATGTTTCTTCTCGGGCGAGATATTCAATAGACCGATTATGGGTTGCATTGGAAGGTTGACGGCGTTACAAGGTCAGGGATTTTAAGGTCGACACATGGCTGTGTTTTGCTCGGGGTTTAGGTCAAGTTCATTGATTCAAAAGAAACTATTGTTTCCAGGAGAGATGTCATGTCAGCTAGACATGTTCGAGCTGACAATACGTACACCAGGGATTGGTGAGTGAGTGCGGGCATGTCCTCTCAAGGCATAGAGCACTTTCGTACAAGCATGGGCAGGCTGTTGAAGAACCAATAGAGAGTAGAGATGCTTCATAGCTGTGTACAATAAACATGCAGTTACCAGTAACTGTCCGACAATTTTTGTTTGTTAGATCCACGGGCCCCGTCCAGAGATTGGCCACCAACAGGCGACGCAAGCTTGTCTACTACTCGAAATGACCGATGCTGCTGCTGATCATGTAGTCGTCGTAGCACACGAAACTCTCTACCTTGTGCCAAAAGTCTCAAATACGGCTCGCATGTGGGCACAATCAAAAAGTTCCTTGATATTGCTTGTGTATGGGGTCAACGGAAATGTGACTTGCCAACAAGCAAGCAGCGGTCTCCAGCCTCGCTTCTAGAGTGTTGCATGTGCAAAGGGATAAAAGTAGATAGATATTCCGTACTTGTCCCCTGAAATGTGATGGACAGTGTAGATGTAATATAATCTGGTGCTGTGGAGACCAACAGACGCTCGAGCGGTGGATGGCAAGCTCGGTTTGCTGCTATGTACAGTATATTATATCAAGGCTGCCTGGTGAACGCTGCGCACTCTCCACGCTGAACGACACAAACGCACATAGCAAAGTTTACAAGACAGTAGAAGCACGTCCGCTTGTCGACTTGGAAATTGCACTATAGCAAAGCAAGTCCCGCTCACTCACACTGTGTATTTACCTCTTTTTTTCCTTACCGGAAGTTTGGACTAGATTGTCCGAGAGGGAAAGAGAGGCAGGCTGGCAGACGACGTTACTCCTTTCTCTTCTCTCTCCGTTTGTGGACCAAGTGGTCTGTCTGCGTTCTTACGTCACGAGATGCGTCGTAGGCCTCCGTTTGTAGAGCTGGAGGGCTCTGCACTCGACATCAAAGAAGGAGTGGACGCAAAACAAAGTGTTTGCTACGGGGCTCAAATTCGAGCTCGTAGGGCATATAGAACAAATGAAGGTCCCAAGAATAAAGTTTGAAGCGCCCTGTTTCCAGTGATGTTTATCTATGTCTACTGCTGGCATAAAGAAGCAGCTTCTCATCATGCCCAATGTCTAGAAGACCATTTAATATGATGTCTGTAAAGGCAGACGCAGGTATGGCGTCCCTTGCTCTAGGAGCTCAGACAATCACTCCAGGGCGTTAAGTCTACATATCCAGCAAGACGTAAAGACGTTGTAACCTGGGAGCCAAGGATAGGTCGACACTGAGCTGTTGTTAACTTCATGTTACGTGTGCAGTGGTCTCTGGATTTCGTCGCCACGATGAAGATTAGTCATATGCTTCGCTTGCAGACCGAAAAACCACACGTGGCAGAAGAGTTTAGCCTGGTAGCCGATGAGCATTGACAGCCTCGCCATAGGCTTCATTCGCGCTCCCTCTGGGGTGGTATCAATCAGTGGCAAGGGCCTTTTCTCTTCTTATTCTTGCCTCGTGGACGATGAAAGCTTCGCTGTCATGTGACAGCAACGGCTGGGGACCGTGACTATATGCCTGCCGCTTATCGACCACTATTCCCATGTGGTCATGCTTTCGAGAAGTCTGGAGACGTCAAGATGACAAGTGGCGAGTCGGCCTACGCATTCGTGCCGTTGTCTTCCATACAGTATTGCATGCGGTCACCATTCAGCCCTGGGCTCCCGGGTCTCTTCATAATCATCTGTGGCCGTCGTCTCTTTAAGATTCATTCCATAAGCCCATTCAGCAGGACTGTGCTCGAAGCAATGCGGCCGCAGAGGAAGAAATCGACGTGCGATGCTACGTATACATCTGACCGGGCAGTGGGTAGCGAATTGGACCGTTGGAGGGAGATGATTCAGATGAAGGGCAGCTCGTAAGGCAGTAATAGAGATCGCATGAATGAGGTTTGGTGGAAGAGCTACCAAGAGAGCTGTATCGACCTGCTGTGAAAGTATAGTATTTGGACCGATTTCTTACAGTGCAGAAGAGGACAAATAGTAGAAACCACGATTAGGGACTCTTATAGCTCTTTTCTGGCCATTCTTTACTTTAAAGAAGATTACGAAGGTGATTCTTGTGTTCTCCGGCAGACACCGCTGACGGTGACCACGCAGCGCTGGTAGGGGTCGCCCCATACCCACCCGACGGACCCTGTGTCTCGAAATGAGAACTCGACGCCAGTCTGTTTGAGGACTGCCGTACGAGTACAGAATGATCAAGACCGTACTCGTAAATAGGCTAAGCTCCTCGACGTCTCAGTCTGGCATGAGGTACCGACTCCCGAGTGAGTAGTACTTCGTTGTCAGAGCAATTCTGACTTCGGGCCGGAGTGCAACTATCTCTATTCTAGCTCGCATACTCGGTATGCCGCTGGAGGGCCACAAGAGCACTTCCTTGGGGCAAAATTGTTGGTTCAAAGCACCTGGAGGGCCACAGATACTCGGTACATTCATTGAGACCCTAGGGCATCTCGATGCGCGTCTTCGGATAGACATAATGGTGGACTGATGGTAGGGAGGAAGGGGAGACTAAGGTACCCGTAGCAGTAGCCTGTACCCACTCAACTTAGAGCCGGCCCCTTGGGCGTTGTGGTCTATCTGGAGATAGTCGAAACAAAGCTCGTAAAGTTTAGGATTCCCGGTACTAGCTAAAGTTGTGTGTTACGATCGTCGTCAGGACTGATGAGATGGAAATTACCTACCGTAGGTTGGGTCAGTACTGAGTGTTTAGCTCAGAGTGACACTTTGGTTAATATGGTGGTCTCAAAGTGAGGCGCTCTTTGGATGTTCAGACTCTGAAGAAGATTTGGCCTTTCGTTTTGACCATCGGAAGAAGTTCCGATGCATCCCTTACATAACAGGCTTTACTCCGTACATGCTTGAAGCAAAGGAGCACTCCGGACGGGAGCGAGTCTTGCTACCGTTGTGTCTCGCTAATTTAGTTGACCTGGATCCAGCAAACCCAGTCTGCCACGTTCACAATCTGGAGATGGGGTTTGTGAATACGAATAGCCGATTCAAATAGTCGAGCAATTTCTCGAAAATTGCTGCACTTCGAGGCTTCCCAAGCAGTTGACACTCGAGGGGGCGAGAGTGGCATGACAACAGTGCTCCTCATGAGAAGGCCCGAGTGTCTTCGAGGCATGTGTCAAGTTCCTTCAACTGCCGTGCACATATAAAAACGCCCATGAACTCAAATGTCGCGTACAGAGCACCCAAACATTGATCATTTGCTGATCTTGTGTCGCCCAGGTTGGAAATGTACTCGTAATTGGCCAGCTTGCGGAAATGCCTCGTCGGTTGACTCTTCGATTCAGGAAGGGATTGCATACTCGAGATGCGTCTACGCTTGCCCCATCAATATTCTCGGGAGCGCTCAGAGTCGGATCCCCTCGAAGGCCTGCCCGAGTCCTTGGAAAGTCAAGATTATCATCGTCGTTGTTACGGAGTAGACACTTAGTTACAAGCATTTCATGGGTTGAAGTCGGGGCTGGACAGCCTTTGGTCTGTTATAGATTGCCTGATTCATTGGTCGGGGGGCTGCCAGTACAGGGGGCACGATTCTGGCCTTTTGCTTGCAATTAATTAGATCAACCGGCGGCCTTGGGCATTGGTCCAGCTCCTCGGACTCCTCTAGGTGAAACTTTAAATCAGAGTTGGTCTGCTGCCCGACAAGCAAGCTTGCCGAGTGCGGATACGCGTGCAAGAATTCAATCGATTCAAGTGAAAAATTGCACGAATACTTTTCGGGGACATAGGAACCTTTGGTCGAAGACTCAAAGGTCGTTGTTGTGGAGCAGTGGCTCGATTTGGAGGGCAAAGGGCACCCAGCCGCATTGGTGTGGCTACATTAATCAGCCCGGCTTCAGGCAATGACGGGATGTGTGGATTTTATGCGAAAACGTACGAGTAGGCTTGTGTGCCAAGAACGGGATTAATGGGTTTCTGGTCATGATACTCGGTAGAAATCCGTGAAATATCCGTGAGCAAAGCAAATACACCGGTTCCGATGTTGGGCTCGTGATGTGGGCCAGAGTCAAAGCATGGACCGGCGGGGTTTTGATTGGAGCCAACGGGATGTGTCATGGCTTTGGGGGTTTGGGGTGACATTAACTCTTTGCAGCGATCTGCGTTCAATTGCAGCCCTTTGGTCGAGAAAATAGAATATCAGGAGCATGAATAAGATTGCATTGCCATCTGCAGAATAAGAAATTGTGGAGCCAGCTGCACAAGTAGGCAAAGTGGGTGTGGTGGCATCATTCTGTACTACTCGTAAGTACCTCGAAGAACTGTCGTAGACGACGTAAACCCTTTTCGAAAGCTGGAGGAAAAGTTGAGGGCAGGGATCAGCCCTGGAGGCTTGTCGACAAGGCGGCTTGCACCCGACCTCGATTTGTCGCTTGGGAAGTCTTCACCTGTCCCACGATTCTCAGTGCGACAGAGGCGCATGGATTCGTAGTCCTCCATACTCGTGCAGTACTGCAGTGGTGAATTCTCATGCTCCACAACTGTGAAATCAAGGGATTGATTAACATAGCAATCTTGCTCTCTTCGAATTGTATGGAAATCTATTCTTGTGCGTCGACCGATTCATACAGCCGAGATCATGTCCGATGGGGCACCTTCTGTGTGCCAAAAGTTGCAAGCGAGTGACACTTCGCGGCCTCCGCGCTTTCCGAGTCCTGCGGAGCAGGAGAGGATCAGAGTTGAAGGAGTGGAGA